GGGGGTATAATTAAAGAAAAAGCGCGTGTAATGACGAATAGCGTAAATTTCCTTTATAATTTCTAGTCCTAAATCATCTTTATTATAATCTACCTTACTAACCAATCGCTTAAGTATTTTTATAATTAGAAGTTACTATACAAAAAATTCTATATTTTCGTCACTTAATATAAGGGGGTATAAACTGAGCCCTGTAAACTTAATTTTAATTATTTATATATTTACGGTTATAAAGTGTATATAATAACAAATACTATACAGAAGAAAGAGTAACGGCGTAAGAAGCTTTAATTAAAGGCTTAGATCGGATTCTTTATTAGTTATACTACTTCCTCTATTTATTAAGTTTGGAACCTATAAATTAATTATATTATTGATATTTATGATGTGCTCTTTGATGAAGATTTAATTTATTTAGAGAATTTTAATGATTTTAAAGAAGGATTAAAGTTAATTAGCGACGAAATAGCCGATTTATTAAACCGAATTAAATAATTTTCTTAATTATTTATACGATATGTCGAACCCTTTAATACGATTTAAAATATAGAACATAACGGTTTTACCCCTCTCTTACTATTATTCTTTGATAATAAATTTTAAGAAGATAGTAACGAAACCAGTTTAAAATTATTAGAGCTTACTGTTTAAAGTAAAATATTTATTAATTTTATATTTAGGTACTTTACCCCGCTAAGTATACTATTAAACTCCTTTATTATTAGGCTTATGATTAATTTATTAGAATTTATCTCTTTCCTAATTTTTGAATTATAGGAAGTAGTATTTAATATTAGAAAATTCGTTTAATTAGTAGAATAACGGTAGGATAAGATAGTTATAAAGGTAAAAATTAACTATCTAATTTTTAAGAGTAGTAGGTTGGATTCTATTAAATGTTAAGACCTTTCTCTAATCCTAAAGATTTATTACGATTTCGAATATTATAATTTGGGTAATTTCTTTAAGTAAATAGAGGAAATATATCTTGATAGCTATAAAGAAATAAAGTTCTAAGTTAAAATAAATAAGAATATCTCCCGTATTAGAAGTCTTTAAATCTTCGATTATATATATATATATATATATATAAGTTTAATATGTATAGTTAATTATTAAAGGTAAAAGTTCGCTTTATAATTAAAGGAGATTAATAATATAATTATAGTAAGGAAATATATATTTCTACGTTAGCTAGCCGTTTAGTTCGATTAATTATTGCGTACGCCATTAAATTTAATTTCAACTTTATTTAATACGATATAGGAAATATTTTTATTAACGTTTATTTCGATAAAGAAATTTATATATATATACTCCTTACTTATTGAAAGTATAATATTATTTTTAAATTCTTTAAAGCTCTCTATAATTTTTAATATACTTCTTTATTGTCGTAGCGAGAATTGAATAGTATTTTTAAAAGCTTAGGGTTTAAACCGTTATTCGAAAACCTACGTATTTTCAAATATAATAGAATTTTAATCTTCTATTACGTCGATAATATTATTTTTACTTTTAATAAATTATAGTACGATAAAGTTATTCGGGTTACGAAGAAATTAGAGGAGAAATATAAGTTTATTAGCGGTAAGGACTTTTAATAATTTTTAGGTATTAAAATTATTCAAAATCGAAAGGTAGGCTATATTTAGTTATTTTAATAAGAGTATATTTACAAAATTATTAAATTGATTAAGAATCCCTATACCTTTACCTTCATTCTAATAAATAATAAAGAATTTATACCCTATAGTAGCGTAGCCTTTTTCAATAAAATTCGGAAATATTAAGTCGTTATCGGTTCTATAATATATACCGCTATAATTACCCAGCCTAATATTACCTTCGCTACTAACCAATTAATTCACTATGATTATAATCCTAATCCTTGATATTATAAGGCTATTAATAAAATCCTATATTACTTTCAATTCTACTATTAGTTATTATAGAGTTAATATATATATAATAATAATAATAGACTTATAACGGATTTACGAGCTTAAATAATAGTATATAAGTATAAAAATAAAATGTATATTTTTATATATAAATACTATTTTTATAACCGGAGAAAAATTCCGGTCTGGAAGAAAAGTCCGATTTGCGATAGGGATCAACCCTAAATAGAATCCGGAAGAAAACCCAGAGGAAAATCTAGACCTCGACCTTCGTAGTCGAATTCCGGCCTTAACGTTAGTCAAACGAAGTCATACGTAACTTTATTAGAAAGAACGGAATATAATGTTTCCGACCATATAAACGGTTTCGTTATATAACGACCATATAGAGTAGAAGTAAAAAAAGAAATCTGAGAAGACTTTTGAGTTCGGATTCGAATTCCGGATTCTATAGCTAACGTATAAAAATAACCAGACTACCGTCAAAATGATCGGAAAATAACGATTCCAAAAGTACAAACGGTTTTGTCACTCGATAACTCATTGATCCAAAAAGTCTATTTGAAGAGGGCTTCCCTCGAGGAAAGGGGAAAAGAAATGTATCTTGGACATTTATCGATATCTCGACTAATTTACTACTATTCCCTATATTCTATATATTATTCTGCTCCACTTTAAACGCTCTACACAACCGTATTGACCGTACCTTCGTACCGTATCCACTCGTCGATCGATACCTTCCAATATCTACCATAATCTTTTCCTTTATTATAGTACGTTAATAAAATTCGAAATTACTTTAAATATATTATATACTGATAATTCTCTAGATTAAAAAAATTTATAAGGATTTACGATTAGCCTCTTTGGTAGTCTAGTTTATTAGGACACTATTAAATAAAGAGAAACTCTATTTGCATAGCTATGTTTCTCTATCTGTACCGTACTCCACTCTATCCGACCAATCAAAAGCGCTGCATTCCGCTTCCCACTTTTTTATCATTTGGTCAGCGTATTTGCTTCGCCGACAGGGCATTCGCATTCCCGATAGGGCATTCACAGCCCCGAACAGCGCATTCGCAACCCCGACAGGGCATTCCAATCTCCATACCCGACAAGGCATTTCTTCCTCGAAAAGCGATTGAAATGACTAAGAAAATTGATATGCGATAGGAATTGACATGCGACAGCGCCTGCAATTGACCTGCGATATAAAAGATGTGCGAATGTTCTGTTGGAAGCTACGAATATTTTGTCAGGAATGCGAATGCGTTATTCGGATGCTGTAAATGCCCTATCGCGGTCCGGGTGGGCCGTGGGGTCGATGCGCGCTGGCAGGGTTAGGGATATATATAGTAAAAAAAAGTGGGTTACGGTACAAATAGAGAAACATAGCCGTGCAAATAGAGTTTCTTTAAATAAAAGACGGTATCAATGTTAATAATAGAAGTAGAACTCTTTTCTATTTTAAATATAATAAAGGAAGCTATTATTATTATACGTTTATATAGGGAAATTAATATTTCCTTTAATAAAGATATCCCCATCATCGGTTATAATAATACCTAAACGGTACGAATATTTACTATCGAGGTTATAAAATTAATAACCAAATTTAAATATATCGATATCTATCGTTACTAATTAAAGTAGGAGATTATAAAAGGAAGGATCCACATTAAATATTTAAAAATAAAGAGGATACTAATTAACGGTCTAACGAAAGTTCTAAGATAATTGGAGCATAAGAAGTTTTGCGAACTAATAGGAATAGCGAATACACCAACTTATAAAGAGATGGGGATAAATAAGGAATTTCCGGATAATATTCTAAAGGATATTCACAATTTGGCTAGAGAAATTAACGTACTAAAAGAGAAACTCTATAAATAGCTTCACTTTTACCCTATTTAGAAAGTTTACAAGTAAAGGAGTATATCAGATTCAAGGGTAGTTTTAGCCATACTATATAGAGGTTAGCGCTCCAGCTACCTAATATTACTTGATTTCTGAGCATATTTGGGTTACCCCAACACCTCCTATACCTTCTGGGCGAGTCAGTCATACACTCTTTAATCAATCAATTCTGCACCATCAAATTTAACAAAATACTACTAGGGGGTCTCCTTTGTCTCTGCCTTTGTATGTGATATCCACTGGAGGAGCAGTATCCAGGTCCAAGAAATTGGCCCAAAAGGGAATAGCACCTCGCAACAAAACTCCCTCTAAAATACCTCCCAACATCTCCATTCTAACAATTATTTAAGTTTTTTCACTTTTTAATAAGGAAACTACTAGAAAAAAACTCATTGACATGCTCACGCAGTGCTGAATATTTATTTTCGCAACTCAGCTAGCTCCAAAAGGGGGCTTTTTGGGTGCATTACTACATTCTAGGTTGCAGAGCGAAAATGTTGAAGGGACATGTTAGAAAACGATAAACGGCTAGAGAATTTCCATTTTGGGCCAGTTTTTTGGACCTGGATAACGACCCCCATCCACTGAAGGAGAGGTCGGGAACGAATGATCAACTCTCTTGGCCCATGATCTAGCATATAGCCCGCTGCATGCGCTTTGTAAATGCTAGCTGGGTAGACTCAAAATGATCCTTGGGTAGACTAAACTTACTTTTTCAGGCGCCCAGCCAATCTCTAGCCCCCAACCGCGCCTATCAACCTTACTATCGCTAACTACTATCGCCAACCAAGTGTATTTATACGCGCCCTCTTTTCATGCTACAATTCTTTCGAAGCTATCGTTATCTCCATCGCTATCACTATCGTTGTTGATGTCGTTGTCGATATCAATATCAATATCAACATTATTATTTTTATCTCTATTGTCTTGGTATTACCCTAAGTGCTAGGTACTTTTAGTAAGCTAATTACCTTTAGCAGGACGGAGAGGGCGAACTTCCAGCACCATCCCCAGTACTTATACGGTGGGCAGCACTAATAGTGAACGCTTCACGTACAACACCTGAACTAAGGCGGCGTTTGAGACAGTAGTATAGTAGGCGACAATTGATTAGATTGACGACACTGAATAACTTCATAAACATCGTTTGGTGCCCCCCCGAAGGTTTTGCGCGGCTCATGGCTGGGCGCCCGAAAAAGTGGGTTTAGTCTACCCAGGGATCATTTCGAGTCTACCCAGCTAACCTTTGCGTTGTTGGCAGATTCTGATCTCGCTGATTGAATTTTTTTTTCATTGATTCCAGTGGATGGATGGAGTGGGAACCGAGTACGCTCGCTGGAACTTCGGATTGGAGCACCTCTGTCTTCTGGAGCTTCTGAAGAGAGGGTGGTACTCGCACTGGTACGTATCCCTCCGACGTCCAATCGCCGGGATACCGTCGAAAGACCCAGGAGAGGGCCGAAAGAAGTTCGGAATGTCAGGGTGTCAGGGGGTCCGACTTCACCGGAGGAGGTCGGGTCGGGTCCCTCTTCTCTGAACACAGGCTGGGCTCCATTATGGCGCCGCTCCGTCCTTGTGGCACCTCGCTGCACCGTCACCCTCTCACAGACACTTTCACCGTTGTGTGATAACAGCCAGAGATCAGCTGTGATCTCGGTGAGCCAAGCATGGCCAAGAGAACCACGACTCAGGGCATTTGTTTCACCTTTTGAAGAGACGGTAAAGAGGCAGCTTGGCTTCTGTTGTTTAGGAGCCCCGTTCAGAAGGCCGGACAACGGAGGACTGAACAGAACGGAGGCTGGTAGGGGATGCTGCCCGGTGCCGAGCTCAACAACGGAATGCAACAGACCGGAATGGAGCCAATCATGTCCACGCCAATTTCTGACCCTCCCTTCGGGTACCGCAACTGCAGCAAGCAAATGGTACTGTAGCGAGAACAGCCAAAAAGACAGGCTATCCACGGCTACCGTAGCACCGCCAACCATCCCATGTTTCTTGCGAGGGAGTCCGTGCACGCCCCTATACTGGGCTGTAGTAAATGACTTCGTCATTCTTCGACGATTCAAGTTTCTGTGTGTCTTGGATTTTGTGCGTGGGTCTTGAAAATCCTGACAACACTTCATGCTATGCTGATGCGTGGCTGTCGGGCCTAAGAGGCAGGGCATCACCTCAAATCATTACACCCGCGTTATCCGCAGCGTCAGCCTTGTACTATAGTGACGAAATTGTCATGGAAATGGGACGGAGGTTCTTGGTTGCTAGCCATCAGCAGGTTTTGCGCAATTGAGATCTAGGGACCCCCCTTTACGTTTGTTCTCCACAGGACTAGTAGGAACCCCCGCACCCCCGTACAAACAGGAGGCTATAGTAAAATCTCTCTACAGGGACTCCCTTCTCTCGGCGGCTTCGCCGTAGACCTTGGGTAACCTTGCAGAGAGACGTTCGATTTTTCTTTTCGCATCTCCATCTTTTTGGCAAAAAGCTTTGGAAGCTTCATACTGGTGCGCAGATGGAAGCTACTGTACCCCAAAAACAATTTCGCATGAGGTAGGGATGAGTCTGTGAAATGATTTGCGTTAGGGTCCCACCTACCGTATGCCCAACCAGCAAGACAGTTACCTGCAGAAGGCTTGCAGCTGACTGTTTGCTGATATGGATGGATGGTAGGGCTTCGTGAACCACAAGCTCACAAGACTCAGACATGTCGGTGTCTGTCATCCCGGAAGGAATTCCCCTATGCGGCTGTCCGCAGAGAGCAAAAGGGGGGTTGAGTGTTTGGCTGACATGCAACATCATGAACATTCCGCTTCTTCAGCTTTGGCCTCTCTACGGTGGCCCAAGTGTTGGCTATGCTCAATTGAAAAAGTTTGGTCAGAAAATGGCCCGTGCCAGCTGCAGGCACTAGATTCACACTAAAGGGTAGCTTCTACAATCCAATGCAACACCCTCTATCGAACTAATGAAGTAATGAAGCAATAAAGCAATGAAGCAATGAAGCAATGAAGCAATGAAGCAATGAAGCAATGAAGCAATGAAGCAATGAAGCAATGAAGCAATGAAGCAATGAAGTAATGAAGCAACCAGAGGCAACGGAAGTCAATTGAAGTCGAAGGGGTGTAATGAGCTGAGACTCTGAGAGTTAATGAGATTTGGGAGCCTCGAGGTTTGCCAAGATTTAGGGTAGCAGTGCAAATGGATCCCCCGGTTCTTCTCCAAATTTTGGTTAGAGAGTGAATGAGAGCCTCGAGGTTTGCCAAGACTTTTTCAAGGTAGTAGTGCACATAGATCCTTCGCTTCTTCTCCAAATTTTGGACTTTGGGGTAGAGTATCAATGCAAATGGATTTCCCTGTCCCTCTTGCTCTCTCCGGGCAATAGGAATGAATGAGAGTTGATGAGAGGTATAAGAGTTGATGAGAGGTATAAGAGTTGATGGGAGTTGATGGGAGTTGTGAATATGATGGATAATGTGATGCCTTTAGATGGGGGTGAGTCTTCCAATTTGAGTATGCAAGTGATATGGAGGCGTTGATATAAAAAGGCTGGCAGCTGGGTGCAGCTGAGAGCTCGAACCAACTTTCAATTGAGCATAGCCAACACTTGGGCCACCGTACCTCTCTAGCGAGCCTATCGTTCGTGGCGTAGCCAAGCTGAAAGTCATATCCTACACTCTGCCTATAAGCACCAATCTTACCTCATCTCAACGTCTATAGAGATTATACGCCGGTTTAGAGTACAAGTCAGCTCGATGGCGCCTGTGGACCCCTATAGATAAAGCTTACGATACTGAGAAAAGTGCATGACACGCTGAGGATACTAGAGGCGAGATAGGCAACGGTGGCCGTACGATGAGGAGCTCTGGGAGGATCAAGGAAGAGGATACCAGCGGACAAAAGGGAACTGATACCCGTCTGATGTCCACTTTGACCGTGGGAACTGTCATCATCAGAATTCGGGTTCAGCGACCGTAGCGACGTCTTGAGAAAGTTGCCTCCACTCCCCTTCTGGTACGCTTCCCTCTCGCTTGTCCACGCTACGAGCCTACGGCTCCTCTGGGAGGACCTCTGAATGTGGAGGCTGACTCCGTTATGTTGACGTTTGTTTAATAAACGTTGCATTTGACTTTGGGGGTGGACACCGGCGATGTGACCCTCCGCACCACTACGTGCTGCGTATACCAAAAACGACCAAGCCGCCGGCCGCTGCTCAACGCTAGCCGGCGTGGGACTGACTCTGACTGTGACAGCCACATTCCGAAGGTGTCGTTGCTGTCGTCGTTCGTGTTCGTCCAATATTGCCTGTGTTGAAGCGAAAGGATGGATGCGCACAACGCAACCATTGCGGGCACAGTCATCCCGAAGCGCAACGCGGCCAATCAGTCAACATTGCGAATAACGTTAGGGGCGGTGTCAGTTGTGTGTTTCGATGGAAAAGACACCCCACGCTCGCTTGACGGGAGAATAAAACGAAACACCCGGCTGACCCCGCATTCCGAAAAGGATCGCATGGCCGGAGATTTGGTATCGGATTTTGGTTGAAGACAGATTTGGAAATCCGACGGGAGATCAGACAGCACCAGACGATCAGGTTGCGCGACAAGTGTTCCTCAGCCTCTACCGAAACCGCCATGTGGAGGGCCAGGCTGAACTGCCAATCCTCTTCCACCGACCACCGCTGATCTTCGATAAGCAAGCACCGAATTTTCTCAGAAGTGTGCCATGCGCTCGCCAAGCGCTTCGAAGAGTGGCCAAATCCACGCCTTCGATAAGAGCACGTTCCGACAGTTAGGGCGGTGAAGCAAGAAATTGGATCTTGTGTTACCGCACCGGTTGGATGGCGTTGGATGTCAGAGAGATGACTGCTCCCGTCCAACGGAGTGTGGGAGTGTCACCATCTCGAAAAGAGTCAGGACCCCCAATATCAAAAAGTGACATTCCGAAGGCCCCTATCCATTTCACCTCGGTTCGTGATGACCTTGAACCCACATTTCCAGTTGTCTTTTGTGACCTCATGTTGCTTCGTTGCTCGGAGGCAACCGAATCAAGTGCCGAACCTAGCGAATTTTCACTTTGAGGCGCGAGAAGCAAGCGCTTCTTGGCAGAGCTGTTTCAACAACTTGGAACCGGAAGGCCCATTGGTTGAACTACACGCTACCCATCTGGCCACGCCTGACTGTCTCAGGAAGAAGATTTTGATATCGCGGGCCCCGAGACAAACCGGCCCTTTTGCGCGCTTGGCTGTGATAGTCCTTTTCGCAAGGCGACAAAGTTGGCAGAAGCAGCTTTTCGGCGATGAAGTGGTTGGCAAAGGCATGGGCGGAGACGTTAAGCGTGCGGCTCGCATGGCCTGACTTGTGCATAACACTCGCATTCATCCGTGCCAAAGCAGGAAAGGTCGGTCTTGTCGGGGGAGGATCAACATGTAGTGTTGCGCATTGCGGGACGAATTTGGTGATTCCCGGTCATTTTGACTCCCTCTGGTTGGACCCGACCCCTCCTCATTAGCCCTATGGACCCTTGGTGCAATGGCTGCATGAGAATCTCGGTCGTTGTCCGATGGCATGCGATTGCGATGGCGTGGATGGACGACAATGAGGGATTAAGATAGACCACGGGGTCCAATGTGCGCTCATCATGGGAATAGCGCTGTGGTTTGTGATATGATAGTCGTTGTTGTCGGTCCCTTCAATATGGGAGCATGGGCAAGCTCGAGATGCTCGATGACAAGCGTGACCGGCCAGAGGATCATGAGCCCAAGGTTTCAAGCGCTGACACACCCGGGACGCCTAAACGAGATATCAAGCATTCAGCCCAAACTGAAACGAAGTTTAACTTGCCGGTATTGACCTGCTGAGGTCCTTTTCAGGTCGCACCGCATACATTATGCCCTTGAGGTTATTTTATGATTTGCAAATTCCGAATGTAGAACAACGTGAAGATGCAGAGAAGGAGGTTGTGAAAGTGATAAAGGACATGGCAGTTTTGAGATGTGCCGTTGTTGCAATGGTGTTTGGGGAATTTTCATGATACTATTGACAAGGTGCAGGTGAGCCAAAGGCCAGGCAGCCGTTTTTTGACTTCGCAATACGGAGCCAGTGGGAGCTTGAGTGGTCGGCTTCGCCGTCGCTCTGTTCGGAAGGTGGTTCGTGCTCCGCTGTCGGCGGGAACGTGGCATGGGTGTGTCGAACAACGTGGACTTGCTTGGACGAAAGCTTCGATAGACGGATAAAGTTGATTGCCTAATTTCTTGGCGCGCAAAGTGTTAAGTCGGTGTGTCGTCTCCTTTTTGTTGCATCATCGAAGAACGGGAGTTTCCGCAGAGCCAAGAACCATCCCGACCGTGCCCGACGTCAAGGTTCTGGGGCTTTGCCAAGCTTTTGGTGCTTCGCTGGAAGAGAAAGCTCCCTCCAGTCTTCGAGGTGCTTGCTGAAGCTCTCAGAAGACGGGCCCCGCACAAACATTATTCCTTGTTCCCGGATCCCGGCTAAGCGAATTTGAGGTCGGTACTCCATACTAGCATTGGGCCATTGGCAAAACTGCTTGACGACGGAACCACCGATCGCGACAACGACGACGGCCTGCCCTCAATTGAGACCGCATATCACCATGAACTCCCTCCGTATTGCTCGTGCCGCCCTCCGGGTGCGCCCCACTGCCGTCCGCGCCCCCCTCCAGCGCAGAGGTTATGCTGAGGCCGTCGCCGACAAGGCATGTTGTTGTTCAAAAAGTCCCAAGCTCCCGTATCGTTATCATAGCTCTAACTGTTGTCGCATGTCATGTAGATCAAGCTCAGCCTTTCCCTCCCTCACCAGGTACGACTGCGACCCGGTCCGATCGATGCTCGACTACGCCCATCCGATGCCACCTTGACATGTGCCCGAGAATGCCATCATGGTCCAGCACCAGGCTGACGAGTTATTGCCGCATATAGGCCATCTACAAGTCCCAGGATGTCGTCCAGGTCAACATCCCCGCCGTCTCCGGTGAGATGGGTGTCCTCGCCAACCACGTTCCCTCCATCGAGCAGCTGAAGCCCGGCCTTGTCGAGGTCATCGAGGAGAGCGGCAGCAACAAGCAGTACTTCCGTACGTCATAGTCCTCCGCAACCGCAACCGTAACCGCAGCGGCAGCAGCAACAACAAATGTCGCCATATCAAAGTACCCTTTGGGCTTACACGAGATGTTCTAGTTTCCGGTGGCTTCGCCGTTGTCCAGCCCGGCTCCAAGCTCAGCATCAACGCCGTTGAGGGTTACGCCCTTGAGGACTTCAGCGCCGAGGCCGTCCGCGCTCAGATCGCCGAGGCCCAGAAGATTGTCAGCGGTGGTGGTAGCCAGCAGGACATTGCTGAGGCCCAGGTTGAGCTCGAGGTAAGTTGGGGAGGCGGATAGTTGGGCGCGGTTTCGCCGTTTTTGTGGTTACTGACAATATGACGTAGGTCCTCGAGTCCCTCCAGGCTGTTCTCAAATAGATGTATCATCATCCTTAATCCTACCCTCATTGTAGCATACACCAAGATTCCCTATCTTAGTTAAGGAGAGAACGTCTGAACATGCTGCTTTGAGTGTGCACAGATATTGCCTATTTAAGGCCACTAGTGATCGGTCATCGTGACTGTCGCGCCTGAAAGAACAGCCGTTTTATTCACTAATCTATAGGAAGGCACGAGCTTCGCTCACATGAGCAACTTCCGTTTGGCGAAGGGTGAGTGTACCTTACATCCTACAAATTCTTGATCACCGACAACAAACTTCCAACTCCACAACCTCAACGCCTTACGCCGAATATCACCCTCTCCCTACGTAACCTACGATGAACATTCTTAATCAACCTCTTACCCGACCTGGCGTTCATTTTGTCGCGCTCAGCAACTGAAAGCGACACAATACGAGACGCCCATTCCTACTCTGCGATACCCTCAGAGCCCGCATAGTCTCATTCTAAAGCTTGTCTCGTTACCACTCTGGCCTTATCAAAGGCTCAAGACACGACTTCCGCGGCGGTTGATAGTATGAAACGCGATCGGAATAGCGAACATGTATGTTTGTGCGCAACTAATCTTACCCCTAGAGTTCGAATTTACTGCACCCTGACCTCATTTTCGGAGAATCAAGCCACCATACACCATCGTTTCAGGTGACGTCTAACCAGCAGCTGTGAAAATATAGTCTGGTTGGGGGCGCAAGTCTGCCGCCGAGGCATGTTTCGTACAGCCAGCGACGCACAAGAGGACAATCGACCCGGGGGACAACCCAATCGACTTCAGGAACCACGCATTCTGGGATAAGTCCTGGCAAAACCGTCCCAAGGACAGTCCCAAAGTGTCGCCTCAGTTCCGAACATTCTACTCGCCGGAAATGTTTAACCCACGATCAAAAACTAACACACCCAAATATCGCGAAGGCAATCCCTCGCCTGGTTATCACTGGATTTCGGAAGTGCATGACTCATCTTCCCGATCATCTGGGAATCGCACGGGCCCAGTTGTCAAACCGTCGCCAGTTAGCGGTCAGCGTATGACTGCGAGGCAGCTGTTTGACCAGTACGACATAACACCGCCTCCCGGCTAGTTATCGGACAAAGGGGACGAAGACGACGAAGAAGACGAATCGAGAATCAAGGAGCACCACGACAAACTCCAGGCCGAAGGTGTCGACATGTCGAGAGTCCGGAGGTTCTGGAAGATATTTCATTGCCATATATGTGGCGGTGATGTCAAGGCACAACTGTATTGTCCCTCTTGTGGTCACCCATTCTGTCGAAATTGCCAGCGGGAAGTCGTTGCGGAGGAGAATGTCACAAAAGTGGTCACAGCATCCCAGGCTCTTGACCCTTTTCAGTCGGTTGATCATAGTCCCAACACCGTGGAGCCACCCATGCCTACGGAGAAGCCGATCAGGAAAATTCGCAAACCAGATCCGGAACCTGACGAAAGGCCAGCAGTAACATCATCCGCAGCGGGTGAGGCAACGACAACAGACATCCAGAGTGGTGCCATTGGGAAGAGGGAATCAGTGGTGAGCATTCGAAATTCCCATTCTTTTGATGATCCCTTTTGGCATAACCTGTGCTCAATCTCCCTCTGAGGTTTCGCCGACTTTCTTCCTTTTGCTCCTGTACAAGATCAGAATGTCACTTTGCCCACTCAGATAAATGGTCTAGTACGTTGACTGACCATCTGTTTAAAGAAAAGCAACCGCTTTGTGGTGGCCGACCGGAATGCCAGATCAGTAGTTTCTGATTCACGGGCCTCGACAGCCGAACCCGCATTGGTGTCATCACCAGAAGCTTATGCACTTGCACAAGCCGGAAACGCCAGTCAAGATCCCGCAGGTTCTCAAGAAGTAGAACATCGCAAACGATCCTCCAATGTGCAAAATGAAACAAGGTTAACAAGCCCGCCTTCTGAGACCAAAGACAGGCCATCGTTGCATCAGCATGCCTTCGCCCCGGCTACCGAGGAGTTCAGCCAGGCCATTACAAAGTGCACGGAAGGAACACCCACACTAAACATATCTTCATCTGTCCGCAATGCACAAAATACCCATATTGTTTCATCGGAAGAAACTCGGGGTACCCTTGAAGCGTTTTCGCCGTCCCCCGTGCACCCGGCCTTGCCTCCACCCCTTTTTCTTCCTCCTCGTACAATGGTCATCGATGTCAGAAAGACACCTGATACGAGCAGGTGGATCTCACCACCAAAACCGGTGGCTGCTGTATCGCCGTCTCCTCCTCTGCCCGCTCAACCTGGTGTGGCAAGACAGTTCTCAGCAGTGAAACGACAGGCTAGAAAACTCGCGAATGGGCCAAGCTCACGGGCATCGGAGGAATCTCCAGGAGCGGACGCCGAGACCGTGAAAAGTACCAGTGGTAGTAGTGTTAATGCTACTAATCAGTATTATATGCCCAAGGTGAAGGTCTCCAGTCCGCCGCTATGGTTAAAATTCCCATCGACGAGAACAGGGGGCAATGCCCAGCGGACGAAGAGAGCTGAACCTCCCGCAAATAACACTCGGACTGGAAGTGTGGCCAGTACGGCTACAACCATTACTGGCGACAGTGGACGAACTGGTGCTTCTGTCGGTAGTCATGCCATTAAGGAGACATCAGCGCCCGAAACTGTCACTAACCCATATTTTCCTCAGCTTGATCAGCAAGAGCAACAGGCTGTCAAGCAAGGCGAGGAGTCGCGTCACGGGGTACATGAGCGACAAGGAGAGCACGGGGGTTACCAACATAGCGGTGATTTCCATGAACAGACAACACTACATGGGCACGCCCGAAAGGTCAGCCGCAAAGTTAGCGAGGATCTGAAGGCGCGGATTCTCAGTTTGCCAGTATCTGAACAGGCCTCCAAGCCAAGCAAGGGGAACCGGCATCCGCTTCAAGCAGACAGCAGAAGCGGCAACAAGACTGGACTGGCCACAGTCATCAACCGAATTTCAGATATGCAGTCCGACCATTCCACCTACTCGGGCCGTTCTACCCCCTCAACCATTCGCAGCGGGGTCACAACTCCGAAATTACGGCCGGGCCGAACGCTTACTCCAAGTTCAGGAAAAGGTGCAAAGCGCGCCGGCGGCGATAGACGTCACAGCCAGAATCGAACGCCGACGCCAACCACCGCACGTTCCTCCGGCAGCCATAGCCAACAGTGGCTACAGCAACAGCAACGCTCGTCACTACATTCGGCTCGGCAGCCCACTGGACAACGAGCCAAGCGCCCTCAATCACCTCCAGCAGTTGAGGATATACACCGTCAGAGTTACAGCGATGCTACAGGCTTGTCGTCCCTTCCCTCGCGCTCCTCGGTGACATCCTATCAGACCCGTGATGCCATTATAGACAGGACAGAACGCAGCAACCACAGAACAACAACTAGAAGGGAGAGTGAGACGGCACCTTTGCTTAACTCCAATGTTACCTCTACGCCCACTGCTAAGATGATAGGCAACAGGCCACCACCGAAGAAAGCCCCGATTGCGTCGTCTGCTGATATCCATGATCACCGTAGTGGTCTTCGTCGGGCTGATCGAGAGAGGACGAGCTCTGACGACGAGACGCCGCCGAATGAAGGTGATTACGGACACACAACATCACCACCACCACAAGAGATTGTAAGGCAAGCGGAAGGGTCGTCGGAAGAGGAAACTGGTTGTCACCATGACCCAGGTACAGGTATTCACGGGTTGACGATCGTGTTGCACCTCAAGGGACAGGAAGACTTGGTCATCAGCACGGATCTGACTCGCGAGGCTTCGGGCGCGGATGGCGCCAGTAGTGTGACTATGAGTCTCTCTCCTATTGTTCCTCTGTCGCCGCAGTCTCCGAATTCTGGTCACAGGGTGGCTTCACCTTTTAGGATCATATGATGGCTGGGTAGGGAATCAAGTTGTTTGGGGTTCGTGAGGAGAAAGGTAGTGATGGGATAGAGAGTATCATTTTTGGTAGTAGGACTAGTGAGTAGTGAAACCGATCATCGATATTTCTTTCAAAAGTCCTGGTTTCTATTTCCCAGTTGACGATTGAAATACCACCACACCGTACCTGTCTACAAACCGTATCTCTCCATCTGTTCATTAGTAATGTTGTAGGATATCCAAATGCGGTATCAACAAATAATGGTCCTTTTCACCTGCTGTGAACTCCATCTTCCCCCGTTGCTTGGATACTAAGGTCAATCGAGGTCACTCGTCGCTGCCAAAAGAAGTGGAAGCTAGATAACTGCAACAACCAGCGCACTCCGCTAGCCAAGCACGGACCAACCGGACGGTGCGCTAGTCGTTCGCGCTTGCCAACGAACACTGAACCCTGACTGACACTTCACATGCTGCCCGAGACCCGGAAAGAGACAACCGGCGAGTCCAACCAACAACTGGCACTGACGACCCTCGTTCGACACTCACGAACAAAAGAATAATCAACACGTGGAAAGTCGACAGCGAGGCGACCGTTCGTCAAAGACCGCCAAACTCGCTAGTCTAGGTAGACCGACACTGACCAACGACGACCACTCACTCACCTCGCTGGCACATTGGAAGTTCGAAAGAGATATCGAACTAAGCCATCCAACCACTCATCATCACCCAACAAATCACTTACCAAGAAAAAGATGAAAGACTTGTGGAAGCCATTACTCGACAACAACACTGCACTAGCAGCGCTTCTACAGACTCTTACCGAAATCACCCCCTCACAATGGTGCCAAGCCTATTACCTCTTTGCTGCGGGCGCGGTGGTGGCTGTCGCGGCTATGCCCAAGGAGGTGAGGAGGTTGTTGGTTGATTATGGAGCGAGGAAATCTCAGTCCTCCGAGTCCAACTTATCTCAGTCTCAGTCTGGTGGAGCTGTGTCTGAAGCAGGAGGGAAGGAGAAGGGGAAGAACGACACCAGCAGGAGGGAAGCCAAAGGCAAAGAAGCTAAAGCCAAGGAGAATGGTTACGGAAAGTGGCTGCTCTCACTAATCAACACACTCACCTCTTACGGCCAAGTTCCGCACTCATGGTTTATCACGTTTTACGTGGCTTCCGTGGTATGCTCGCTGATATGGCTTTGGCAGTTTGTTGGTGATGGATGGTTGTTGAGGACAGTTGCATCTAGTCAAACTCAAGCCCGGCATGCCTCCTCTCCGACTCCGGCGAAGGGAAGTAGTAACGAAGGAGGAGGAGGAGCGGGAGGAGAATGGTCTTCTTCAGTTACAGTTACTCTCGGCCAAGTCGGCCTGGCTTGGACCATGATGTTCCTCCAGGGAAGCAGGCGGCTGTATGAGGACTCGTTAGTGCACGGAAAGTCCAAGTCTACCATGTGGATCGTGCATTGGGTTTTGGGATTGAGTTATTATCTGTTTACTAGTGTGGCTGTTTGGGTTGAGGAATCTGGTAAGGTGTTTCCTGGTAAAAGTGTTGTGGTATTTTGGTGTGTTAACATGAGTGTGTCTGTCTAGGGGCCATACTGGACTACCAATCCACAGGAGCCATCGACTACGCCATGCCATTCTTCAAGACGCTGGTTGCTATCGTCATATTCCTCTACGCTTCGATCAACCAGTACAGATGTCACAGGCACCTCGCCGGGTTGAAGAAGTATTCCCTTCCTGAACTGGGCCTGTTCCGCCACCTGATTTGTCCTCACTACTTTTGCGAATGCCTGGTCTACCTTTCACTCGCGATCGTTGCCGCTCCCAAGGGAGAGCTGCTCAACAAGACGCTCCTGTGTGCTTTGGCGTTTGTGGTGGTCAACCTCGGGGTGACGGCGTCAGGAACGCGGAAGTGGTACGCCGAGAAGTTTGGGAGCAGGGCGGTGGAAACGAAGTGGAATATGATTCCCTTCATTTTCTGATCTTCTATTTCTTTTTTGTTTGTTTGTTCGTTCGTAACTCACGGACGACGGTTAAACATGGGACCCAACTTGCTCCCCAACTTGGAGACTTTCAGAACATCGCGATACGTGAGGCTGACCCGAACTCCCCTCTGGTTTTCCCCATTCTCGTACAGCGATGGCTCGCGGAGGAGACTCCAGTTTGCAATGGTCTTCGACGACATGTTCACGTCGGCCGAAAGAGGGTCAATGCCATGGAGGTATTCAGTGTACAGGTCCGCGGTGGTGATCAACAGGCTGCGCGGCTCCTGGAGGATCCTCCACACAGGCTCCGGATCAAGGGCCCCGTCTTCCTTGGCCTTGTAGAGGTTGAGACACAGACTAGATCCGAGACTCACTGTGCAGACCACGGGGTGGTATGCCGCTCCGTCCTTGTGCGGCATGATGCCCGTGTTGGGAGGATATTCGTTGATAAGGACGTGGTTGGGTCGGCCGTGGGGGCTATCCGCAAAGATGTGCTGCTGCTTCTTCTCTTTGTCATCGTCACTGCTATCGGACGAGGACGGCGATACTGGGACCGAGAGTAAACGCGAGATGATGGGTTCTTCCAGCCAATCTGGTAGTGGTTGGCCATCTAGCAGGGTGTTTTTGACCAGATCCGAGGGCCATGTTTGAAGTCGGCGATGGGTGAGTTGACGCCATCTTGCCTTGGGAGCTCTCTCAACCTTTTTTGACCCGTCATGGTGATTAGAGAATGAAGAGGGAGCCAGGGAACGACTTGCTAATCATAATGATACCTTTTCAAGAATCTGCTGTTCCTCCTCTTCACTGATGAAATCTGCGATGTAGTAGGCCGAGGGCGGCAGGGCTGTTATACGGTTCGCCTCGAGGGAAGGCGGAAGGTTGACTTGGGAGGACGCCATTGTGTCGTCGTCGCCCAGTGCTTGATGCTATTTGTTTGCTCGTTAATGCTGAGGTGAGGCTCCAGGCAGCGATGGGGAGGGACGGTCGGTGGACGGTTCGATGGACGATCAATGGTATCAGCGAGTCGTTGGCATCAGTTTCATGGCAACGAATCATGGGCTCGAGATGGCGTGGATGGCTTGGGAGTGTCTGCGTCATCAGCACCAATGATACTTAGCAGGGGGTGCGTGTCTGTTTTGGGGTTGTCTTTGAGGGCCTCCGCTGTGGGTCCTCCAGGAAATGCCCGCGGGCCCGCGATTCCGCGATTTTTGGAGACTCAAACCCCCAACCACGCCAATGTTTGAAGAAGTAAAATCCGAGTGTTGAGAAAAGCATCAAGGCAGACCGGGTCGGCGATAAAGGCAGCATCTTCCTACCTCCCAAGACAGGCCCCCCTGGCTCTTCCAGCCATCAACGGGTGAAGCAGCAGGGCGCGCCCAAGGACCAAGTCAGGCTGTGAAACATCCATCAATGGCAACACACGGAAAAAGCGAGAGGTCAAGCATCCAAGCATTGGACGGAATTGCTGATCCAAACAAATGCAAGCCGCCACCGCCCGTCTGACGGTGAAATGGAATCGAGACCCGGGGTTACCGCTGCAACACACCTTTTCCGTGTCAGGCAGGCTCAGGCAAAGTCTGCAAAAAGTCATTACGCAGTCGAGGCAGTATGGTCTGGTCTATCATGTCTGTCTGGGAATAGCGGCGGAAAAAGGAAAGACAACGGGGATGAATCATCCATCGGATAGGGTGAGGGTCGCAACATGAACGAGTCCATTTGAAACCCTCTTCCGTATCTTGATGCCGAACATCACCAACCACCGCATAGCGATGAATCCCATCATCCCATCTCACCCCAAACGGGACACGGCGTACGGACGGCAACCTAAAAGCTGAGACTGTCACCATGACTGACGGTCAAGGAAATTGAAAGCTGATGCAGTGCAGCATTGCAGCAGCAGCGCAGAAATGCATCATCATCATCTCGAGGCAGGCAGAAGTGCAAACTCTTGTTCACACTCTGTTCACAACACTCGGCACTGCGACCCTATCAAGGTCGATTGTGTGAGGTAGGACTTGTACGTCTGACCATTGGCTCAAGTGCGCAAAATGCAGGCGGATTTGCTGGATTCGCTGGAACTCCCAGGTCTCCATCCGCCCCCTGGTGCATTGGATTTGCAGCACCAACAGGGGGTTTATCACCCTCCGTAGCAAACATCTGAGCCAATCAGTGTCGAGGGTGGCGATCAGACTTGTGGAAGCTTTTCTCTCTTTCCCCGACCAGCAGACGAGAGGTGAGCAGCAGCAGCCAGGCCCGCAGCACCTGCACCAAGCAATCCGCGGAAAGAGAAAAGGTGTCTTGGTGAGAGAGTCCGTGGTTGCTGCCGAGTGGTGAGTGTCGGGTCGAGTGTCCACTGTCCACTGGGAGGCTCCTCCCATTCTCCTCCGAATGATGGTATCGTGGACCCCAGAAATGGACTTGGACAAGTTGTCAACCGCTGTCGTGGCCCAAATCCCGTCTCGGCTTTCCGTTGCATCGGAGGAAGAAGAGGAAGCAACGGAAGATGGACGGGCTTTTTAGCTTCAACTTCAGTCTCTTTGGAGATTCCACTTCTCAAGAGGAATGCCCGCAGTGGCGGTCACACACTCCAAACACCGCCTCTAGATGGGCCGGGAAGTAGCCGGTTGACCAGCTACACTACCAGTCAGCCAGCCAGCCAGCAGTAACAACGCCTCTTTCCGAAACTGAAATTGTACTCCTTCCTGCCTTCCAGGTTACGTTCTACAACAGTTGTATCGAAATTGAACCTTTCATCCGTGAATCCCGCTCATACTCAGCGTCGAGTTTCATTGCTCTACATTTCCAAACGCAGACTTCCATCGCTTTGTACTGTATATCGATTTTACTAGGTACCTCTACTCTGCTAGTGTGCTCACACAAAGTGTTCTACCGTCATCTTTTCTTTCCCATCCATTGTCATCGGTCCGTGTCCAACTCAATTCAAACTGCGGCTCGCCTCAAGTTCCAATTCCATCCGCCAGGATCTGTAATTTCCTGGTTTTCCACCTCAACGAACGGCTCGCATTCCATCTTTTTCGCCATTGAAGCTGGACTGGGGAATTCGAGATCGGATTTAGCGTGTCTCTCTGCTGTTGTTACCATTTACCGTCCTTGACCCTCCCGTAACTTTTTCCTCATCGTCCACTGTTTAGGGGGTTCTGCGGTCACGTCTTACAAGTTCCATTTGTCGGGTCCCTCATTTCTCAGGAGTTGAGAGATACGGATCCATCCTTGACTGCTGGCAATTGGCATTGGCATTGGCATTGGTATTGGCAAAAAAGTCAAGAAAAAGTACCTGCGCAGCTGTACCTACCTGCCTGACCTTGCCTACCTACCTTGTCTACCTTGCCTACCGCTGTCTTCTGGGGCGGCTGTGCGGTAGCGGATTCCCCGTCATCTAGGATTACCGTCTCGACTCTCCCGTTCCAGTTCCAGTTCCCGTTCCAGTTCCTCTTCCAGTTCCATTCCCGCCTTGTCACGCCCTCGTCGTCTGCGCGAAACACCGACTCAAAGACTCTCTCACCACCACACCCTCCCAACGCTACCTACAGTTCAAATCACACAACCAACTGCGCATCGTCCCCCGTCTTCAACCTCGACCTGCTCCCCGTCGCCAACTCCGTCCCCGGTCTCCGGATCCCCCCAACTCCCTAAAGCCCCGGCCGAGCAGCGACCAGGATGGTGCAAAACGGTGTTTTGTTCACTCAGTAAATGACATGGATGCGCAGAATGCTGTCGAGCCCGCCTCCAAGAAGCCTGCTGTCAGAGCTGCTTCGCCCAAGCGCCAGGGCAGCGATTCCGATCAAGCCAGGTCCTCCACCGTGATCCGAACATCATCGACTTCGACTACGCAGTCGACCAGTGCGAGATTCGACCCCATCTTCAGGAGCGACAAGAACGATAGAGATAACAAGCATCGCAACAACGAGGACCACGACGACTCCTTGACGGCCGAGGGCAACAGCGACGCCGAAACCATTGTGCTGCCTGGCAAGGACGGCCACCACTCGCCCGTCAAAGTCCGCAAGCCCGTCACCAAACAAAACGACAACCGCAGCGATGACGACGATGTCGTGTCGTCGCACCGCAAGCACGCTAACCACAGCAGCAGCAGACAGCAGCAGCAGCAGGACCGTGAGAGCGACAGAGGCGATCGTAGCGAAAAACCTGACAGGAGCGTCGCGGTCGCAGGTAATGGCCCCAACGGCTCCAATGAGGGCTCAGTGGGCTCCTCCTCGATGGGGACACTGGGGGCCAAGAAGAGGAAGCTTCCCGACAAGGCAAAGGCCAAGAATGGCTCGAGTGGATTGAGCTCTGCGCCAGAGTCCCCACCCCAGCGTCGTCGCCGCTCGTCCAACGGCCACTCAAAATCAGACTCCGAGCCCGCCCCGGTGGATTCCTCCAAGCTGCCAGCACAGTCTACACAACAGGACAAGCCGGTGCCGCCCAAATCGCTCGATAACAACAAAGTCGTGCCTAATAAGCGGAAGCACCCCAAGGCCGAATCTGACGACGAGGCAGAGCCTCCCAAGGTCCGCCGCCAGCGCACTTCAGGTTCTGGCCTCGACGCTTCCCGCAGACCCCATCCTCCCCCACCGAACAAGTCTTCCTCCCATCATGAACCGCACGCCTCCACACGAACCAGATCGGTTTCCCCCCACGCCCGAGCTCACCGTCGAAGCATCTCAACTCAGCTTCCTGGTCATACTGCCCACGGATTGAGCCTGAAAAAGCGCCGCGTCCCTGTCCCCCTCCATTCGGCCGACTACTTCTCTGATGAGTCCTCGGAACGCGGGAGCCCTCATCCGCGCAGCTCCAAACTGCGCAGTCTCGCTACCCCGGCCGCTGCCGAATCCACACACTCGCCCGCTGGCAGAATGGCGCCGCACAAGAAGCACCTGGACGCCCACGGCCAGACCTTCCTCGCCCGAGCCTGTGCCAAGGGCGAATACAACGTCGCCAAGCAGAGGCTGCAGGAGCGCCCCGAGGACATCGACGTTGCCGACTATGCGGGCAACACTCCCCTCCAGATCGCTGCAATTAACGGTTTTGACGATATTGTGAAACTCCTTGTCGAAGCCGGCTGCAACCTCGATTGCCTCAACAACGAAAAGGACACGCCGCTGATAGATGCAGTGGAGAACGGCCACTATGAGGTCGTCAAGATCCTGCTCGATGCCGGAGTGAACCCGCGCAAGGCCAACGCATATGGTGAGGAGCCTATTGACCGGGTTAACGAAGACCACGACAATGCCGACGATATCAAACGCGCCATCAACGAAGCAAAGCAGAGGATGGGTGAGCGTAGGCCGACCTCTGAAGACCACCACTACGATCACGCAACCGATGCACGCTCATCTCACGGTCCAGACAGCCCTCGGCAATCACCTGCCTCTGCCTCAGTCAACCCGTCTAGTGGACGGCGTGCCGGTACCGTTCGCGCTACCAAGACCAGCAATCATCTTCTTTACATGCCCATGGATGACAAGACGCTTCGTGCAGCCGCTGCCAAGGGAGATGAGGAGACTGTCCTACGGATTCTTCAGGTTCGGGACCAGTTCGACGACCCTGAATCCATGGTTGCTGCGGCTCGTGGTGGTCACGATTTGGTCATGCAGTTGCTGCTGGCTATCGGAGGAGCAAACCCTGATCCGCAACCCATTTCGACCAACGAATATTCGACACCCATTCTCGCCGCCATAGGCCAAGAAAACATCAAGGTCATCCGGCTGCTTCTGGACCAAGCCAATTTCGATCCCACCAAGAAGTACAAGGGAGAGACCTACTATGAGATCGCGCGCAAGAGACGAGGTCCAAACTGGATGCAAGAGGAACATATGCTGAAGGAGGCATTCGACGAATATAAAAAGAAACCCGGTCCCAATGCTAAGAGCCAGAGATCGTCAAATTCTCGGGAGACGGACCGCGAGCCTAGGCGCACACGAACCGAGATCAAGGATGACGCGCCAAAGTCCCATCGGAGAAGAGCTTCAAGCCCCGTTAAAGAAGCCAAGAAAACGGTACCCTCGAAAGTCCCAGCTAGTCCTCGGGAGAAGAGGCGTTCGGATTCCGTTGCCACTCACCAGGAAGATCAGACATCGCCCAAGCGCGGCCCTGGCCGGCCCAAGAAAGACGACAAGATTCCAACCATTGCCATTTCCGATCGTGAGGCATCACCCGCAGGGAGAGTCGCCGCCAAAGCCAAACGTGCGGCAGAACATGATGTTGCCGCTGCATCATCCGAGGGAGAAACTCCAAAGCCGCGCCGTAAGCTGATTTCTGGCAGGGAGCTCAAGGGTGAGCGTGAGAAGCAGCGTCGCGCCTCTGTCACATCAAATGGCTCTTCATTCAGAGATCAGCCATCCAGTCCACGAGATGAGTGTGAAAAGCCTCAAATGATGGAGAAGTATCATGACCGGACGAAGGCTATCAGAAGGGACGAATCTCGTGATCGATTATCTGTTTCTGGTGAAACCTCCGGCAAGCGACACCGGGCCAGTGCAACCCCGCCACACCCGGGGTCTGCTGCGGAGAAGGATATGTCAGAAGTTCCTACTAAGAAGAGACGGTTGGATGTTGAAGGCAAGGAAAGACGTCTCAAGCCCAACTTGGCCGAGGATCGCCACCTGAAACCTTCTGTGTCCCGAGAATCCAGCCTTGCAGCACCATCTGACGGCAGAATCAGATCTCGTAGTAGAGACGACGAAGACCGGAGATCGACATCAAAACCCAGAAAGTCAGAATCCACCTCAGAGCACGTTCGTCATGAGTCCAGCAAGCCCACCATCTCGGAACCCAGTATCCACGTCAAATCAGAAGACGGGGATGTGGAAATGGGAGACGCGGATCAATCCCCCCGGGAAGCATCAAGTCGACATATCCTGGAAAAACGGAAGCTTAATGATGAAATAAGAAAGAAGCAAGCTGAGATGGAGGCAGAAGCTCGCGAACTGAAGAGAAAAGAGGAGGAAAGAAAGCGCAAAGAGGAAGAAAGAGAGCGCGAGAGGAAACACCTCGAGGACGAGTCCAGGCGTGCTGCTGAAGCTGAGAGGCAACGCCAAGAGGAAGAGCGGAAACAGCGACAAGCGGAAGAGGATCGGAAACGGAGAGAGGAGGAAGAAAGGAAACAGCGCGAAGAGGAGGAGGCACGCGAACGCGAACGTGAGCGTGAGCGTGAGCGTGAGCGGAAGAGGAGGGAAGAGGAGGAGGAGCAGAAGAAGAGAGAGGCTGCAGAGAGGAAACGAAGGGAACAAGAGGAGGAAGAAAGGAGAAGACTGGAGCATGAGGAGAAGGTCCGAAGAGAAAAGCTTGAACGGGAAGCGGCTGATGAAGCACGCCGTAAGCGCGAGGAAGAACGCCGCAAGCGCGAGGAAGAGGAGCGCCAGGAAAAGGAGCGCAAGGAGAAGGCGTTGCGGGAAGAGGCGGAACGAAAGCGTGTCGCTGCTAAGGAGGCGGAAGAACGACGAATTCGCCACGAGCAGGAGGTCATTCGCATCGCCAACTTGCCTCCTGCGCTCCGGTGGCTGGAAGGGGCTGCAAATCCCAGAATTCCACAGATTGCTGAAAAGTTCAGCATCATGCAGGGAGTTCGGTACGACTGCATCGATCCCGAGGCAACTGGGACGCCAGAAGGCAGAGAGCAGTGGTTGCTCAACACGCAGATTGCGCTGCTGTTGGGAGAGAAGGACCTGCGGCTCTCAAAATGTCAGTTCTCCCCGCACCGGATTGAAATATTGCCCCCAAATGCTGACCTTTGGGTGTAGACAACTCATGGACAAGGATACCGGTATCAAAGATCGCCAAGCGCGTGCTTTGGCAACTTGAGTCGGATCGCTATGCGCTGACATCTCCGAATCTTTACGACCTCGGCAAAGAGCTCCCTGGATACTATGGCACCGACGACACGGACAGCATCGTCTACCGTGTGACGCAAAAGCTCCGAAGTGCTGCCTGGGAGAAATTTGCTGCTTTGGAAATGTTCTTTGTCAAGGTATGGTTCAGTCGTGTTTTCCACGGCTCAGACGATATAGCGCATCAGCTAACTTTTCTCATAGGCCTCGGATTTCTTGCGTATCATCCCTACGATGCCTCACCTACGGGACATTCGGCTTATTATGGCCTATCGCGAGCTTCCGGAGAGTGAAACATACTTCAGCAACTTCCGGCCTTTGGAAAAGTGGAAGAATGACCCGGATGCGGGCCGAAACCATGGCTTTGCACCTGGCAGCAAATACTTTGTCAACGGCCAATTCATCTGGGAGGAGAGGCCGAAGGTCGGTATGGTCAGCAAGATGCCTTTCGAGGAAGAAAGGGTTCCCCGCCGCGGCCTAGCACCTGTGAGGCCGGATGATCCAGAGTACGCCGAACTCTGCAGGAAGCAAGGGCTTGGGCATTTGTTGGGCGAGACTCAAGGCTCGCACCTCTTGTCCAACGGCCACCGGTCAGCATCCCCCATGAGCACGACTTCGTCTTCGAACCGCGTGAATGGAATCACATCGCCAAGGGCTAGGGCTGTCAACGGGCACGCGCATGGGCATCACCCAATATCACCATCTTCGGAGACTGGACCCGCGCAAGCTCGTCCGCTGCTTAATGGCCATCATGGAATGCTTAGCGGCGATGAAGAGGATTGATGGGTTATGATGTGTGTCAAGGGTTGTTACGATGTCGAGATATACTGGGTCACAAGAGGGATGAGCTCAACTACGAATGCGTTACGCCCAAATCTGAGAGCTTTGCTGGTTTGTGTATTGGGCGAGGTTAACCAATGGGACAGGTCATGAGGAGGAGTCCAGCGGTCGATGCCGAACAGATCAAAGAGTTGTGTAGAAAAGGATGAAGCGATGGAGTGTAAGGGGTCATGATCATGTCGACCCAACTTTTGCAGGTACCTTTAGCGTTCATGTTACGGTATTATCATGCTATCGTGTACAAACAAGTCAGACAGCCTTTTGTCTTTATGAAAGCATGTAAATGCGGGCGTCGGCCGGCACCTTGTCCAGCCATCACCCAGTGAATCCGGACTGAAAGGGGGGGAATCGAAGTCATAAGCATCGAAGTTCGAATGAATGAATGGTGGTATGAATGGGATGGAGTTGTGGCGAATAGCTGGGTGTTGGTTTGGTCCGTGTTTGTTGGGTGGTTTCCATTATTGTGGCTTGACATTTGATGATTGAAGGAAAACAGACATGCAAATTGTGAGCATTGATGTCTGTTGTATCGTGTATATATCAATAAGAGAACTGTAACAAAAACCACCATGCGAGTAAAGTGAACCAAGTGAATTCTACGGAGATGTTGTCGCCACATTGTAGGTAATGGAAACAGCCCGGGCCCCGGGCGGAGAGCTGCCGTCGAGAGGGGACGGCGTACCGAAAGTCTGTCCGGTGATATCAGTGTATACGGAGGTAAAGGAACTTGGGGCTTCCGTGGGCCTGTGTGAGCGCACTGAGCAGGGCCGCCCGCGCTGCGGCGATTTTACCGCATCGGCGCGGCGCTGAAACCATGAAATTTGCCCCACTTCCACCTTCAAAATTCCCAAGAAACAATCAAGACAATCATCAACTTGGAAAACAACCGCGCTCCGTCCTGTCACGACTGAGCAACCCTAGTCGCCCACCCATAGTACAGATACGCCATCGCGTGAGAGCTAGCAATCATGTCGACCACGGTGGACAAGGTACGTATACTGCCCCTTCGCATTCCCGGTATGAGAATATCATGTGGAACAAGGAACTGACCGTGGATGCGCCCGCCGCGCCATGACAGATCAAAGAGGTCGAGGCCGAAGTGAGTCTTTACTGCCCCCGATAGCCCCCGATTTTCGAACCCCCCGATACGGCACCCATCAGAGAGGACGAGAAGTTGGAAAGGCCGGAGCCAGCGCCACAGATGCAGACAGACGAAAAGGCTGTTCAGACGCCGTGGCACTGGAGCTGGAGGAGCGCGACTTGGACGATGAGATCCTACCAACGAACTGCCCCTCGAAGATGAAACGAAACGACGCAACAAGGACGAGTCCCGGCTAACGACATGTTTTCTTTCCCCTTCGATAGATGGCCCGAACTCAAAAGAACAAGGCGACATCCTACCATCTCGGACAGCTGAAGGCCAAGCTCGCCAAGCTCAAGCGTGAGCTGCTCACACCCTCGGGCGGCGGCGGCGGTGGTGGTGCTGGTTTCGACGTCGCCAGAACCGGTGTGGCCTCGATCGGTTTCATCGGCTTCCCCTCGGTCGGAAAGAGTACGCTGATGAGCAGGCTGACGGGCCAGCACTCTGAGGCGGCCGCGTACGAGTTCACCACGCTTACGAGTGTGCCGGGTCAGGTTACCTATAACGGTGGGTAGCCCGTTTTCTTCTTCTTCTTCTTCTTCTTCTTCTTTCCAGACTGAACTGACATGTTACTTTAAAAATAGGTGCCCCCCTACAAATCATCGATTTGCCCGGTATCATCGAGGGCGCCAAGGACGGCCGTGGTCGTGGTCGTCAGGTCATCGCCGTAGCCAAGACGTGCCATCTCATCTTCATCGTACTCGACGTCAACAAGCCGCTGACGGACAAGCGCGTCATCGAGGCCGAGCTGGAAGGCTTCGGCATCCGCATCAACAAGGAGCCGCCCAACATCACGTTCAAGAAGAAGGACAAGGGCGGCCTGAACATCACCAGCACTGTGCCCCTCACGCACATCGACAACGACGAGATCCGCGCCGTCATGAGCGAGTACAAGATCTCGTCGGCCGACATCGCCATCCGCTGCGACGCCACCATCGACGATTTGATCGACGTGCTCGAGGCCAAGTCGCGCTCCTACATCCCCGTCATTTACGTGCTCAACAAGATCGACGCCATCAGTATTGAGGAGCTCGATCTGCTGTACCGTATTCCCAACTCGGTGCCTATCAGCTCTGAGCACGGCTGGAACATTGACGAGTTGATGGAGGCCATGTGGGAGAAGCTCAAGCTCGTGCGCGTGTACACAAAGCCGAAGGGCAAGATGCCGGATTATTCGGCTCCCGTTGTGTTGAGGAGCAATAGGTGCACGGTTGAGGATTTCGTAAGTTTTTCTTTTTTTTTTTTCATCTTCATCCGCCCTGGTTGGGTGAGAGAAAGGTTTCGGGAGAGAATGCGATGGCTAACAGTTGATGAACCACAGTGTAACACTATTCACAAGACTATCGTGGATCAGTTCAAGGTTGCCATTGTGTACGGAAAGTCTGTCAAGCATCAGCCTCAGCGTGTTGGTCTTAGCCACGAGTTGGCTGATGAAGATATCGGTATGTCTTGAAATTCCCCCCTCGCCTACCGTTAGAGATTGGCTTGCTAACGGACCAAACAGTCACCATTGTCAAGCGATAAAGGGTTTTCGTGATGAGTATTCTTGACGATGTGTTGTGGGTGTATATGAGACGAGACGAGACACTCACACCACGGACGGTGGCCCGGTTCACGTACACTAATGCTTGGTCGACGCGACACATTTTCGAGCCGAACGCAGACTGTATGTGGGCTCGATCGCTTGCTTTGACCACGGACGGTATAGTAAACCATGGGTTTGATCATGAGAGAGGAAGCCTACTCGGTCTTTGCGTGCCGAACGGGAAGCCAAATTGCTTCTTCCCATCACTGCACGGCAGTTCATCGACAGAGAGACTGGACCGCGTGAAGAGACCTGGGGCCGATGAAGTGTCAAAATGAGGGCGGAAGGTTCCAAAACAAGGGAAGGGGGATCAAAAAGGCTTCTATATAGGATAGGATCAGATCAGATCTAAAGAGCCAAGATCATGACGATAATGAAATCACATATATACCAAGTGCCATGAAGGTTGAGAGATACGTGTGTTAAGCTGGCTCTTTGGTGTTGGCTATAGCTGGGGATCACTGTCAGGCCAGGGCTTCTGCTGATCATGGAAGGATGTATTGCCACAGAGGAGATACATAAACAGTGATATGGACTGACTCGATTGTAAGAGGAAGAGTGACCTTGCACTATTATCATGTCCAAAGTGCTTGGTGGTTAAGGGTTGAGGCGATATAACCACCATGTACAACTTGCAGTCAACCAGCCTCCTCCGTCCCCCTCGTTCAACTGGCGGCCATGCGTACAATAGCATTAACTCGCCTCGTACGATGTTAAAGTTCGCAGAAATAAACCAATGGGCAGGACGGAGGACGTGAATAATTTTCTAACCTCCGCAAAACAGTTCCTACCGGATGTGCTCAGGTGGCTAATATGCCGGATAGATTTACATACCTACCCTTTGTGCTGTATTCGTGCCCATGAGTCACTGTAACTTGGTTGTTTTTGATATCACCATCCTCTGATCGTCATGAGAAGGCTGGCGGGGACCGGGAAGTGAAAGGTTTCGAGAAGTCAATGAGAAACCGAGGTCTAAGCATCTCTAAAAAGCCTGCTGATAGGTTTGGGGAGAGAGTTTAGAATACAGATTCTCTAACGAACAAGTTGAAAGCAGATTTTCGTTGCCTTCTCGACGGCTTATAGACTGGTTTGATACATGTTTGTATCCGATTCTCACCCGGATATCGATTCAAACCCGAGAATGGGTTGACAACTGGTTTACATTAGGTTACCGAGAAGAGGTCGGATAGAATCGTGTGTACGTCGTGTCGGGTGGTATTAAGTTCATTTAGCTAGAGATTCTCAAGCCGACACTCCAACGTCTAACGTTATGCTTTCATTCTTCCTCGAGTGACTATTCCTCCTCGAAATGATCCTAAGATTTATGTGTCCAGTCCGATCTTCCACTTTACTTTCATCTCATCGACAAAACTCAGTTCGTGACATTCAAACTTACCTCCCCCGTTCCCTCTATACTCGATGTTCTCTTCCGAATTGATCAACATTCATTCAGTCCGATCCCAGTCTCTTTCTCGCGCCCCAACCCAACTCCAAGCACAGTTATCCTCCCTCTCACCGCTCCTTCCCTCTCAACTCCGAGTCGACTCGATCTGTAGCTTCCCGTCATGGTACAAACATCTCTTTCCTTATAGGTAAGGTATTCACGCACTTTCCCTGTCCTCTCAGTACACGTCAAACGTACCTTCCACTCAAGGGCATCGGTGGGCACCTGTTTCCTAGATATGTGAAAATGCTTACACAAAAGGCAAGAACTACCTACCGCCTTTGACACGGACTGGACTTCCCCCACCTTCCCGTCCCTGAGTGTCACAGGAGCGCCTACTCTATCAACTCAAGTCACATGCTCATCTCCTCTTACTCGCTCTTGCCATATGATCAGCGTGGGGTGAATCATAAGTGCAGGATGATGCGTGCAGTTAGCTTGGTGGGGGACGAAAATCCTCGTCCTCTTTTCCCCAACTGAAGTCTTCACCGGGTTACGAGAGAAAGCGAGGGAGCCGGACTTGGTACCCGGACTGCGCGCAACGTGTTGTATATTATTGGACGTTGTCGCCAAGGCTCGGTAGACAGAAAGGAAAGTCGTCACTGTTTACTCCTCTTGATGCCCGCCCGCCCGTGTGTGTGTTTGTGGCATGCCATTCGTGTTTAGATGAGTGTCAATGAGAGAGTGTCTATCTACACTACATTTCATGCCTCAGGTCTATGTAAGATGCGAGGTTCAACGTTAAGGTCTTAGCATTTGACCCGTTTTAGTCCCCAGATGCATGTCTGAGTAATTTTACAGCAGAGTTTGGTTGTTATTACCCGGTGATGATGATGATGTCTGTTGTTGTCTGTTGTTCTTGTGTCTTGCTGTGATATCCCAACTTGCTGTACGCCCACTCACATGTTTGAGAAGTTTCTCTCTCCTGGTAAAGTAATCCAAGGGAAAGAACTAACATGTTTCCCAACTCTGAATGAAGGTCAAGTGTGAGGGTAAATGGCGCTGATACCAAGTTGCACCGTGTCTCCCTTAAGCCATGGCGTGGATTCTTCTCTTCCATTACACCTTACTGCACACTGGATCTCCCATGACATACATTGCGAGCGGAAAACATCACCGTGTACCAATTCCCTCACCTCTGTTTTCCAGCATGATGAACAAAGGCATCCACTCACAAACTTCTACGCCACTACAGACTTCTACGCCATTACAGACTTCTATGCCTAATGATGAAGATATTGGACTCATCACACCTAACGATAAAAACAAACTCACTGCCCTGCCATCACGCCTCAACTTGTTCAGCTTTATCTCAGTTTTGGGTTTGTTTAGACTTTCATGCAATCAAGCCTTTGCTCAACAAGACCGTGGTGTTTGCCTCCACTCCCTGGGCGTCTCACAACCTCAAACCAAAATGTTGTTTTCGATGTCCAATGACCAGTTGAGAGTGATGTTTGAATTGTCTATACGATGAAAAAAAATTAAAAAATTGGTTTACAGCCAAACCAAGCAAACACCCCCACGCAAAGCAAAAAAAAATAAAATAAAAAAAATAAAACGGGGTTGTCGATGAAGTCAAACTTACCTCTCTACCTGATTGGTGTATCAACCATTCAACCACTCGGGCTCATCAACCTAACTCAAGCCATCAGTCATCCTCAAATCATGAATGACACTGACTGACTGACACTGCAACCCTCTGTCTACCTCTATCCTTGTACCAACAGCCAGACCGACCTAAAGAAAATGACTGTCAAGCTGCAATCTTCTCATGTCTCAGATTGTCAGATCTGACGTCCCATCATCCCATCTCAACCAGCTCTCATATTGTAGCAAATTGATTGACCATGATCCAGACTACAGAACTCCACCCCTAACTTCCTGATCTTCCGGGGCACTCAGCAAGCGAGTATCACCCCAGTGTCATTGTCTCATCTTCTCATTTCCTCACGTAGCAATCAGTGTTCTCGTTCTCATCAGAAGTATCAATGTCGATAACCGAACAGAATGTGGGTGGAAGATACCCAACTTGGGCCCTGGGTTACTGTTGGCTTTTCTCGAGCTTGCGCAACTTAACCTCTCTCTAACTCCTTTTGTTGGTAGTCTGTAAGCAACAGAAACGCTTGTATCTGTGATGCACAGAGAGGAGACTAAACTGCCGAAAAGGGGTATGTAATACGCATCCTACCGTATGTTGTGCGTGCATGTATAAAGGGGGTGGGTGGTGATAGTACCTGTGACATCACTTCCCAGTTCCAGCCGCATTACAGATTTGTTCAGGGGTAAAAGGGGCAAGCGGAGAGGTACGCAAAGAGAAAGACCGATATCGCACGATTCAGAGTCATCAAGCGACCGAAACTGCGGCTAATAGTGCGCTGGCGCTACAGCTCGTCTCCGTTGGCCTGGAATTCAGACCTAGTCACTGTTACTTTGTCGGGTGTGGTTTGTTCCAACGAGGCGTATTCAGGGTAGTAGTGTATTTGCTACCACCTATTGTGTTCAAAGTTCCGTACTTGGACAGTACCGTGCCCAGGTACGGTAGGGATATCGTCAAGTGTGGTGTGTGTAGGTGGTAAGTGGTAGGGACTAGGGAGTGAGTGAGTGGCCCCGGATCTAAAGTGCATGCATGTGTTCGTACATGTAGTGAGGTAGTATGTGGGATGACAAGACAGGGCAGGGCAGAACGGGGACGGGATAGGGGTATGTAAACAGTTTAAAGTTAAGGAACAGGCTGGCCTCGAGATCTGCGGCCACCTTTCCCTTCACTCCCACCCCCTATCCATGAATTCCATATGCACTCCGAACAACCCAAGAGCGAGGACCAACGCAAAGGATTGCGCTAACTAACTCCAGCAGTAGGACCCTAGGAAGGGGGACCGCTGTAACGGCTTGGTAGTTGCAGTTGGTAGAGCAAAAAGGTTATGCAGCAAATCTAGGACGGTGGTGTCGGTACGCAGTAGAGGGAAGGGAAGGTAGGGAACAGGCCTGCTGTTTTTCGTTGCTGGTAAGGCAAGATGGCCTCTGGTTGGGGTCTCCCAGGGTCAAAATGCATTGCAACGGCAACCCGGCAGATCCGCAGATGAAGTCGCTTCCGCGGCCGGCCGGCGCTTAACATCCAAGGCGCCGCTTGAGGGAAGCATCCGCGTATGACGGGTGGACATATGTCTGCAGTCCGTTAATCATCAGATATAGTAGTTGAGGCCGATATCTGGACGTTTGGGCGCCATTGTCTCGCAGGCATGACGACGGAGGTGTGCAGATGATCTGATCCCGAGGACAAAATCCTCAAAGTCTTTGTCCTTTGACGCAGGTCGGCGGCAGCTATGGGATAGGGCAAGCGTCCCCGGGAACCAATCTTTTTGCCGGCGGAGCGCAAGGAAGTACCCGAGGGTTTACGTCCAGTGGGCGCCGTAGTGTACTCGTCGGTTAGGTTGATGTGGGCCTCGCTTACATAGCAAGCCAACCGACTCTCCTCGTCCCTCTGAGAGTCGGGATTTTTACATGTATCTTGTAAGCGGTGTATCTTTCAAAAACCCTAATAATCCATATCTCTACCAAAACACAAGTAAAAAAGATAATAAAATATTCAGATTAATAGTCTCGATTACGCGTATTCAGTAATATATTTCTTTTATAATCAAATTATCGTAATATATTGTTATAGTATTGTAAAATCTTTATAGCCCGTACTCATAATACAATATCCAACTCCTCCTCTTCCTCCTCTTCCCTTTATAAACTCCTATTACTATTATTAAATTATTATTAATAGTAATTATTACCCTTATACGGTTTGCGGACACTTTTAGCTTCTTATCTACCACTGTTATAGTTATTGTGGCAACCTTCTCTTCGTTAGAGTCTAGATTGATAGCCTTCTCCTTCCCCTTTTTAAACCTCTTTTTGGAAAGGTATAGTATTAATATAAATAGTCTAAATAATAGCCTAACTAATACTTATACTCGTACTTTTACGCCTATTAAATAAAGGTATATAATAGGGAGTTCGCTAAGGATATTAATACCCTTGTTACTTAATATAAATTTAATTAATAAATTACTCCCTCTACGAACCTTCTTAGCCCGCTTCTTACTATATATTTTAAAAGGTACGAAATTTTTATTATAACTAAGAAGGGTAGCTTTCCTTGTAAATTTATAGTATAAATCCTCTTCGTCTTCGAAATTAGCTAAGAATATGTTAAAGTTTTATTTAGGTTAGAAAACCTTCTATAACTTTATCTTTAATATATAATATAAATAATTAAGACCCTATTATTTAGTTAAAAGGATACGCTTGGTATTATCTGTAATAACCTCGTCCTACCCTTCCTTAAATTTTAATATTATATTATATTTTAGGTTGTCTTTAATAATATAAATAAGGCTATAATTGTTAAGGATGTTAATTTTATTACCTAAATTAGGCTTAACCTTCTCCTTAACTTTAAATTTATATAGTAATTACTATTTAAAATTAGGGTTTTCCTCGAAGGCAACCTTTTTAATAAAGGTAAAGTTCGCTCGCTATATTTCCTTTAGTCCTTCCTCTATATTAATTACCTTTTCTACTACAACTTTAATATTAAGAACCACCTTTGTATAAACTCTATTACTAATGGCTACATATTTACGAAGGTTCTACTTTATACTTTTGCCTCGATGCGGTGTTTGTAGTGTTCTTACTAATTAAATACTAGCTTCTAGGTATTAATGTATATTTTAAGGGCAATTTTAACTTCGTTATAAACCTTCCTAATAAATAAATTATGCTTATTAATTGATTATTAAATTGTTAATAATTCTAATGTACGTATAACTTTATATAGAATTATAAATTTTAAAGCGGTTAAGAAATAAGAGTTCTTGCTATACTTTTATAAACGCTCGTAATTTATTAAGAGGAATATTAAATCTAAGAAGCTAGAGACTAATCTTCTCCTATCCTTTATAAATATTACTACGTATAAACTTAATCTCTTTAACCTTTTTCTAATTATTTAAAAAGATTATATAATTAATATTAATAGTCCTGCTAATAATCTCGTTTACTAGAGCCTTCTAATAAACCTTTTTAACTGCTTAATAAACCCCTATATTGAATAGTTAAAATATATAGCTAATATGTAAGGGTAGAGTATAAGGTATAATATCGAAGGCCTTATAGTACTATAAAATGTACAGGTCCTTATAAATTTCAAACCTATCTATGAATAATATCCTATATACTTTTAGTTTTTTAAGAAATTTACTACTATATTATTAATATTTTAGAGAGCTTAAAATTTTTTAAAAGGAAGTAGGCAATTAAATAATAAATTAAACTATTCTTCTATAGTCTTATTAAATGAAAGACATAATTTGAAAAAGTACTTATTGAAATGCTTAATTTATTATAATATTTAATAAGTATTATTATATCCAATTGATATATTTATAATAATAACGTCTAAATTTACTTTGTAATTAGCTTATAGATTATTTTAAACTTATAATTAAATTAATATAAGGGAGATTAAGCTTGATTATATACGACGAGAGGAGGTTGGAGCCTTATTATAATTTATACTTTAAATATTAGGAAAGAAGGGATATTCTTTATTATAACCGATATAGTATTAATAGTAATTAAACTTTTTTTAATATTAGGGTTAAATATAACCTTTCTTATACGTGCCCAATTTTTAATAAATAATACTTATTACTATAATAGTTAGTATGGGGTTACTTAATAAAGTAATATATAGGAATATAGTAAGCGGTTTATACTTTTATAGTTCCCTTAATTTCCCTTACTTAGAAGGGAGATTCATTTATATTTTAAGTATCCTTTTTCTTAATATTAAAGTTATTATATATAGCCTTTACCTCTTTAAATTAGTTTTTAAAGGAGTCTAATTGAACTAAAATACTTATCCTTTTTATATCCTTAAAGTTAGCTGTTTTAAATTCAAACTCTAGGTATTTCTTACGCCAATCCATAAGCTACCTTCTATATAGCTAAATAGAGGGGGGAGATGGCCGTTAAATTTGCAATTAGTTAATCAATTTAATGAAGGATATATTATTTAAGGGGAAATAGCTATAGTTAATGATTTAAATTATAATATTGAAGGCCTTATTATTGCTAGGAGTTAACGTTAGCAGGCAATAAGTATTTATAACCGTAGGTAATGGCTTCCCTTTTTAAATAAACTGTACGTATTTCTTTATGATAGGTTTGCCTATATTGTGATGCTTTGCAACGCCTTTTATAGTATAACTATTACCCTTACCTTTACAGTTATTCCCCTTCGAATTAGTTTGTATTATACGTTTCTAGCAGGCGAGGTAATGACGTATAACTTTTTCCGCCCGCGTAGTAATATTAGAATCGAAATGCGCTATAGTAAATAAAATGATTTAGTTAAGACGAGCAGTTTGAAGTTATTCACAATACTGTACGATTAAAAATGATAAAGTTATGACTATGTAAGGTTTTTGATAGATATACCGCTTGCAAGATATATGTAAAAATCCCGATTCTTAAAGGGACGATGAGAGTCGGTTGGCTGGCTGTAAGCGGGCCCCTAAAGGGTGGCCCCATATGGCTGTGGCCAGTGCGTGCACCTAACCGACGAGTACATGCTTGGTCCATCGGCTAGGACCCCACAAATGCTTCGCCAATGCCGAATGGCGGTCCGGTCTAGCAGCTTTCGGATAGACCTTGTGCCATGCATGGCGCTATCCGGCAACGTGATGATCAAGCCGTGAGGGTTTCTTGCTTCATCACCACATCTCCGGCCCAGAGAGAACGCCAATGGGTCGCATGACGTTGAAGAGAAACCTCCATTGGGCCTTGTCTCGACACATCAAAGCGGTATTGGAACCATGAGAGATAAAGAGCGAGCGAATAGCTTGTGAGAGACAACTGTGTCCAGTTAGTGAATGGTAGGGAAAGGACTATTCGACCCCACCTGTAAAAGGGAACCTCCACGCTCTTGAGAGCCATTTCAACAAAGACCGAATGATTGCGAGAGGAGTGAAAAAATCATGCGATGCTACTGACCACGCCCACACCCCTCTCCGACCTTTCAGAATGCTCCTCTTGCCGCCGAGGTACGTATGGTTCTTGAAGGGGTCGCCGAGACCCCGCAGAAAGCACTGCCTTATCCACGCGATAACGGTGCTTCAAATTTTGGGAAAGTTGTCCTTTTCTTTCTTGTTGACTCGTGACTCGCCCTGATCGACGTTCAGTTTCAGGGTCTAGAGAGGCGCTAGACGCGGCTGTCCCAAAAGCAGGAAAGCCGAAGCCGAGTTCGCAGTCCGGGGTCATATTTGCACCCGTGAGACACAAGCAGATAGTCAGAGAGAGTTATGAGGACCGAAAGCAGAGGTCCAGGCGAAGCTTGGCCCAAATTCCCCTTGAGAAGAGGAAGCAGTGAGGAAAAACTGACGGCGTGGGGGAGAACCAAACCTTTGACAATAAGGTGGGTTTTTTAAGGAGGCTCACATGCAGCATTTCGCTTTTTGCTACACATGAGGGTGGGTTACTACAGCACACGGAGTTCCCATGGAGTCCAGTGAGTGCTTTGGCTCACCTCCCTATAGTTTTCTTTGCTGTGAGGGCGCAGGAGAGGCATGCTGCCGCTTCCAGGACCAAAGACACGGCCGTAGAGGCTCAACGACGAGACCATACAATTCTCTTGCTGCCCAGACACGGGAGTGGGGTCCAATTGGGCTCGAGGAGAGAGGATCACGGGCCCCATGAAGGATGCGGCAGTGTGAACGGCCAGGCCAATACGGCGTCATAAATTTGAAGGGATTTGCGCCGGCCCGTGTCGCTGCTGAAGCGAGCAAGTCTTCGGTTGTAGGTTCCGCTGTTGCATTGTGGCTCTTTTGCTGCTTGCGGGCTGAACACTGCGTTTCGGCTTCGCATCAGAACCTCTTCCCATCACGTCGAACATGGTTATTTCCCTGTAACACGCCCGGTTGATGTTGCTGATCTGTCTTGAACTCATGATGGCTTTCTGCTACGCAGTACGTATGGCCTCGGCGGTTCATCCGTAGTAAGGAGCCACGTTATGAAGTTTTTAGTCTCTCGCCAATGCCAGATCCCGAGTGATCATACCCGTTGATCCTGTCGCTCACCAGACTCCTACGCCGAAGGGCTGCCGGACTCTGGCTTTTAGAAAGAAGAAAATCGGCGCACGCCATTCGTCCTGATCTTCTGCACTAGGCTTATTTCGGAAGCTTGATGCTGCATCTTGAGCAAATCCTAGGCAGCTTTTCTTGTGGAATGGAGTTGTCAGGGATTGAGAGCGGCTGACCAGTGGGATGTTAGCCGTCGACACTCAATTCGCTTGGACCTTACCTTTTCTGCCCAATGACGACAGGGGAGGGTCTGGCTGAAGCTGGAAGTATACCCAATGACGAATCCATACTGTGTGTGGTTCTCCGCGATTGTTGGACGACTTCCCATCTCGACGGCCGTCTCGAGATATCGTTGGCCCTTCAACACGGCCGCACAAAGATGATGAAATTGCACCGCCAACAGCAACAAACGGTAAAAGCTAAACTCAGAAGCAGAAAGGACAATTGCGACTGCCAAGGCGGTCCGTAGCAAAGCCATGGAGCGGCCGCGACAACGACCTCGCTTGTTAGTAACCGGAGCGATGTGTGGGAGCGGTGCCATTCTGCCATCCTGCCATCCTGCCCATCCACATGGAGCCATGGACCACGGGCATGGACAGACGTGAAGGGATCGGAGGACTCAAGGAGAACCCCCGGAAGCCTCGGGATTTCGTTACGGTAATAAACGATGAATGTTACGTCGCTGGAGAACGCTTCCGCTTTGAGACGGGCCTTCTCTGGTTGCTCCCTTCCCAAGTCGCGTTGGAGAGACTCTGGGCCATGGTATCTTGGAGCTTGGCGCGGCTTGAGCCCTTGAGCTTGACGCGATCAGATATCGCATCTCGCGGCATCGTTTGTGAGTGTTCAGTTGCGGGTTGTGGGCTCGTGTTGGACCTCGATATTAGATATTAGCCCTGTCCCACATGACATGGGCCTCTCTTTTTTTGATTATCAAAGATTTGAGATATTGATATGCTCCTCCCCGTGGTGGCAGTGACTGACAGTGACTGGGCGTTGACCAGCTTGAGGTCTTGAGTCCGGGGTCCCTGTCGACTGTCAATAATAATTATTGACTCTCCCATCCGAGTTTGGGAGTTGGCGGCTCACGGCTGTCAGAATATCAAAATATCGCGGCGGCGGCGGCCCAATTCTTCCAACTTCAACGGCCTCATTTTTTTCTTCTTTTTGCGCTATGCAATCTCTTGGAACCCGACGACACGAGCCATCGGGTGTTGGTATGCCTTTGTCCCGGAGGATTCCGCCCAGGGTGCCTGGAGAGTTAGTGTAGCATCTATAGCGTCGTTCAGAAAGAGAATGATCGACCCGTTTGAGATTGGAAAAGAGGAGAATGATGGAGATGGAGACAAACTTGGGGGATGGGTGTCGGGATCTTTGCGGGGAAATCATTTTGGTTTGGCAGGATAATCAGTGAGCCATTGATATGGTAGCAGCCAGTAACACTCACCTGATGAAGAGAATTTTGAAAAGGTGTCAGTCGACTTGAACGGTGGTGAGCCTGAGGACCGTGACGGGTAACTGCCAGTCAACCTGGCAAGCACGATCCAACTGATGGCTCGATGGCTTAATCCAGGGACAGGTAAGGATGGAAGGAACTCTGCGTATCCAAGCTGCCAGGTGGCAGTGTAGCTGGGAAAGAAGCTGGGAAGCTGCGAGCTGCGGCCTGGGAGCTCCCGCTTTCTCCAGTTTCCAACTCTCCATCGACTGAGTGATCTCAGGAGCCAGGGGACGTCCATTGGATTGGACTCTAAAACTCAAAAGGAGCTTGGGCGCAGTCGGGTGGTAGCATCTGGGTCAATGGGAATGCCTGCTCATGGGCCGCCATTGGGTTTTGGCGGGTTTTGGCGGCGTGGGCGTTCTATTCCCAACCATGCACGTTTTGCTTTTAAACTCGTAACTGGGACGACCCCTTGCCGCAGCTGAACTCTCCTAACGTCTTTTGCCCTTGTTTTGAATACGCAGCAACTCCAAAGTGAGGTCCACGAAAAACAGCCTCTCGCTCGATGGGAATAATTGCGGGTTCTGCAGCCAACCGTTCATCCATCTGTCGCCGGCTGTGGTGTAAGTATCACTGCCTTGCCCGGGAGCCGTGGATGACGGCAAGCCTGAAGGGTAGGGCGGTAGGCAGTCCCAGGTAGAAGGGAAAAGGGTCAAAAAAGACTGCAATCAGCCGTTGTCATTCGGGTGCTGGTGGTGGGAAGAGGAAGTGAGGCCCTTTCCACCTGCAAGCCTCAGCCAAGAGCAGAAAAAGAACTGGGCGTGTGGGCGGTGCTCTTTGCCGTAGGATTGAATAATGCCATTGTTTCATCTGTTAGACAAGACAAGCAGACAAGACAAAGAAAAACTCCGGCGCGCAACGTGTTCCGTCCACTTCATGTCCATCAGCTGAACAAACCAGCATTTCCACTAGGCAATTTCTTGCAAGAGTGGCCTAGGTGGCCCTAGACCCGCGGATTCGCACCCGCGCCTTGTCGATAGCCTCAACCCCGAAATGACTTGGAAACCAGATGCTTGGCTGATGCTGACGAGCGGCATGCTTGTGGGAAAGATCAACGTCTCCCGACGTCTCTAGCCTAGCGGCCGTCCGGCCACGGTGGAGTCGACAAGAATCCATTTCCGATCTCGACGTTGCGGACTGGAGGTTGCGGGTCAATGATTTTGTTGTCTTGGGTCTGGGAGAGTTGGACCAGATCCCATGACGAAAGCGAAAGATGAGATGCGATTGAATTGTTGCAGTCGCCATTTCCGTACCTTACTCGAAGTCCCGTCTGTGGTCAGGAACCGCCCTATGAGAGCTTTGACAAGGTACCAACGGGCGACCACGGGCCCATTGGAGCGACCGCCTTTGTGCTGCGCAGCTTTCGAGAGGCATGATGTTAGATGTACCTCTCAGCCAATAAGGTACTTGCATCCATGCCTGCCGTGCCCGCTCCACACTAAGCAGACTCCACCCAACTCCCCACAACATTATATCTCGGCGGTCCATCCTTGCTCAGCAGGGAAAGGCAGGCCAGTGCAGGCAGGAACGGCTCGCAGGTCGCAGTACAGTCCGCAGTCTGGTATCGTCCAGATGACATTACACCGTACACGCCGTACACGATCCAGAAAATCAGCCAAGCATCGTCGAGATGGCTCGTTCACGACTCTGATTCGCATCTTTGGAGCGCGACTTTGTCCCGCATAGTCGAGATTGTGGAGGTACTATCTGCACACGAGGTCGCTTGTCCGTCGAGTGAGATTTGTGACAGCATGACAACGAGGTATGTTAGAAACGATCTTCTGAAGTTCTGCTCCAGGGTATAATTGTGTGGACCAAGTGGAAGTCAAAGTCATTCTTCACGACGGTGGCTGAACCCATTGGGGCCATTGGAAGCCACTGGAGCCATTGTGGTCGACGGTTCGCCTGTCAAAGCATTGAATGTCTGAATTTCTTTTTCTTGGTCCAGAATCCAGATTGGCCCTCCTTTTCCCGCGCCGCCCGCTCTTTGTCGCTTGCTTCCATGCCGGTCTGGAAGAAAGATACATCCTCTACCTACAATTACCGTAACGAGCCCGTATGACAATGGGTGTGGTAGTACCGAGTACCTTGGCCGGCCGTCCAATGCTACTGACTTGCAAATTGCCCGTGCTGCCATGCGACTGCCTATTACAGACGTATGAGAGCTTTGGTATTCAAATGATATGCCACTGGAAAGTACCTGGTACATCATGAGGATTGCTCTGGTGGACAGCGGTGGTGGTGCCTTCCACTTCCAATTTTCCTAGCACGCGGCCCTTTCCTTTCCACTCAGTCACCGCCGTGTCTCAGTTTTTTGAGGAATAGCTCAAGCTCAACCGAAAGACATTGGATCTTCCCGTCTTCTGGCCTCGTTCTTTTCTCCTTCGCTTCACTGCAGCAGCTTCTGGCACCCGGCCGTCTTCCACCCGGGCAGTTCCCGCCATCCCCGTTGAAGTTGTCTTCGTCTCTCCCGAGTCCCTCCGCGTTTTGGCGTCTGGGCCCCACCGCAAGACGGGACCCAACCAAAGAATTTGTCAAGTGGTCGAGGCCGGCAGCTGGCAGATACCTTACCTCTAGAAATTCTGTCTTTTTTCCCATGAAGCGTCAAAGAAGTCCAGGTCTACAAGTCAGTTCCAAACCTACACTAAGCTCGGCAGACTAGCGGGAATTTCACGGCCCATGCTTGTCGACTCCCATTCGTCATATGTGCTCGAAAAGGCAACTTGTTATCATTGTCGTTATTATTACTGAAACCCGCCTTCAACGATCATCTCCAGGGCCTCCAGGGCTTCAAGGGCTCACGATAGGGCAAAGCCAGGCCCGTGGTATTGGTATGGTGTCCATCGATGGACCACTCTCGACAAGCCTCCGGTTGATGAGGTTACGTTTGGCTCTCTCCATCGGCCCTTGTCGCCCTTGTCGATAATAGTCTGGATTTGGCATGGTATGGATGACTTTTTTTTCCAATGGCCCCATGCCCCTGTCCATATCCATCATCTCTCTCTCCGTCTCTGCCCATGTCGAACCCGTCCCCGATGAGTCCCTCTCTCTCCCGTCCAATGTGGACATGGGGAGCAGGCTCGGACAAGACCAAGCCCTCGTCCTCTGCCGCAAAGCACCACCACTCAAGTACTCGACAGCCCTTTCTCGTAGAGACAGAGTGGGCTTCAGGTAGATGTGGTTTAGCACTGGAACTCTAGCAACCAACTGAACACTGACCCCATCAACGTTGCTAGTTCTCGGCTTCCTTCTACCTTTCTGCAATTTATCCCTCTTTGTTTGGTGGCCAGTGGTTTGCTGCTCGGCTCCTACGCTATCCGTAGCTCATGATTTCTGAGATTATATTTCTCCATATTCTCAATATCCTCAACGTCCTCAACATCCTTACTCGAGCCATCGACACTGGAGAGATCCGTCCAGATCCATACGCTATCTAACCCACCCCCCTAACTCTCGTCGTCAAGCTCACACGGTACGATACACACCCCCCCCCCCCCCCCCCCCCCCGAATTTCTCTTAGCTTCTTTTCTTGCTACCTGGTAGGTCCCCATCCCTTCCCCCCGTGGTGCCCCCAATCCACTCATCCGCACCCCTGCTCGAGTATACACAAACATCCTTCGCCTACATAACTAGTAGATGTAGCCCCAGGTTGCCCTCCACCACCCACATGCCTGTCTGCTGTGCGTCTGGTTTCTCCGACTTACCCTATCTCAACCCAGCCCAGTCCTCTTCCAGAGTCCCGATTGCTTAGGCGGACGTAGCTGCGTCTGTCTTGCAGCCGACCTCTCTCCCTACTGGCACGGCTCCCCTTGTTTGCTGCCCACGGCTGCTGTCGATGCAACTGCTGCTGCTGTTGCCCGCTCTGGATACCACGGATCCCTCCATAGAGAGCCCTTCTGCCGACCCGAACTTGGACCTCGATTCCCATCCATCCACCCATCCATCCATCCAGTCATCCAGTCCTCTAGCTAAAGCAAGCACCGGGCGCCCTTAGCACTCGACCTCCACAAATAGGGCAGTTTACGCCGCCCAAAGAAGCAACTGATCCGCCTTTTGTCTCATCGGCTACCGGACGGTCACGTTGCTTTGCCCGCTACGGCACTGTCTCGCGGCAGGAATCTGGAGAGAGCTTACACAGTACATACCTCGACTGCTTGTCCTAGCCTCCAGCTATCTTTTGGATACCATCCAGCCGACTCTGCCGACTACGCTACGCTCATTCATTAACCTGACAAGAGGCGCTGCTGCTCGCCTCCTTTTTCGTCCAGCCAGCCCACTTCAAGACCTGACCGGTGCGGTTGACCTACTCAACCGCCACCTCGACGGTCCTATACCCGGTTATCCTACCCCAAATCGCTTCTGCAGCCCCGGCACAATAGCACCGCTCAGGCGTTCTCAGGGCTTGCGACCCCCTCCCCGGCCAGCCCATTACCGACCCCGTTCCGAAAACCATTGGCTCGCCATTTTATGCACCGCGACTCCTAGACGTCCCGACCAGCTCCTCCATATTGACGGACCACTTTCTACTCCTGCTAGAAAGAGAGTATACTTGGCCCCTCCAACCGAGTGGCTCGTCTTAAAACCGATCTCAACACCCACCAACGATATTGCTTCGGCTCATCACGTCCATCGCCAGCATGCACGATCAAATCATTGGCACGATAGGCATGGACCAAGGAAGTCACATCGCTCATGACAACAACACATATGGAAACAACAATTGGGTAGATATGAACTCATTCCACCACCAGACCACCATGCCGGACTACGGCGGCAGCTACGGTGGTTATATGCCACCGATCTCTCATGGGCTGCCCTCCGAATCACTAGGCAGGATGCCTCCTCCCCCGCCTCCTCAACATCATGTGCCTCAACCTCATCAACATTCTCACCCCCCTCTTCCAATGTTGATGATGCCCCAAACGACGACGACTTGGCCGAGCATGTTGACGAATCCAACCTACGGTTCACACCCTTTCCCGCCCGTCGCCATCCCCCCGGTAACAATGCCGCTCAAGAACTCCAAACTGCCGGCTATCCAGACAACATCACAGCCCAGAAAAACACTCACCGACGAGGACCGTCGGCGTATGTGCCAGTACGCTATGGATCATCCGACGGCCAAGCAAACGGATATCGGAGCCCAGTTCGGTGTTGAGAGAAGGTAGGTCATGATCTGTGGGAGTTTGTGTTGGTTGTGGGACCTAGTTAAGCTGACAACCTTTTATTAGCACCGTGTCCAAGGTGCTACGCCACAGGGATAAGTATCTGAATCTTGAGGACCGAAGCAGTTCTCCGATTAAGCGTAACAAAGTCAAGGGCGCGGATGTCGAAAAGGCTCTGGCCAACTTCTTCCGAAAGTCTCAGGACCAAGGCGTTCCAGTAACTGCCGAACTGATCAAAGAGAAGGCGCGCTTGTTTGCAAGTACCATGGGTGTCACGGGAGATGATTTTCTCAAGTCAGGAAGCACAGCATGGCTGGACAAGTTCATGCTCAAACACAACATTGGGCCGAATAGGCTACTTCGTCGTGCCTCCGAAGCCAACATCAGTAGCAGCATGCGAGGATCGCCCTCTTTGAGCACATCACAACCGTCAAGCGCCATTTCCCCTCTATCCCCCTCGGGACACACATCTCCATCTATACTATCGGCAAATAGAAGTGAAGGGGAGAAGGATAACATGGCGAGCTACATGGATTATTCGACTGAAAACAGCTATAAGCACTCGGGCTCACAGAGCGCAACCTCGTTACATAGCGCATTTACTGACGCGGGAACTTCGACGTTCTCTGGGAGCACCCTTAGCCCAACAGCATCGTTCAGTTTTTCGCCTGATCCTAATGCCGGAGCATTTCTTACAGCAGATCAAGCCAGGCAGCTCCCGCCGGGAAGCGGTGTCGGGTCCAACTTCCAAAGACCAAGAAGCCAGACATTCCCGACCTTGGATCTCGAATACCTGAATCAACAAGAATCAGGAGACCCGTTGACGCCAAAGTATCATGTGTCATCCACGGGACCTTCTTCGGCCCTTGAGTCGCCTGCCAATGAAGTAGGCGCCTCGCACTTTGGCATGGATCACATAATCACCTCACCACGACTCCGTCACAGTAGCAGCAGTGGAAGTCTCGCTGGACGGTCGATTGCTACACCGCTCAGCGCAAACCCTACGTCTCCCATTTCTCCTACTCAGGAGGATGCAAGAAGGGCCGCGGACACCCTACTCTCATTCATGCAGCATTCAGGTGGATTTGTGGACCACGATGAATACATGACGGTCGTTAAACTCACCGAGAAACTGCGGCTTCACCAGGCACAACTTGCCAAGAACACAGCAGTAGGAATGGGCGGACTTTCTCGGATACCAGAGGGCGATAGTGAGATGCAGAACGCTGCACCAGCTTCGATACCCAAAGTGGAACAGGCCATGGGGACGTAAAGTTGGATTGGATGTTCAGAGATACCCTACGCCGTCTCAAAACTGCCCGCGCCTCAAAGCTCTGTATCCTCAGAAGAATTGCCGAACAAGCTACAGACAGACCGCTTTCGATGCCACCCATTACCGGGGCATGAATCGAAAGGAATACCTGGAAACTATGGAGTCTGACTCGGCTTTTGTTTTATCAAGGAGACGACCGGTTCAAAACTGGCCTTTTTATGTTCGCCTGCACATTCCGTACTTCTCTTCTTCTACAAAGATCTTTTTATACCCCCTTTTTCTGTTGTCGTTTTGATCGACGGAGTTGTCAATATACCTCGCACGCTGCGATAAGAACCTACGCTCACGCGAATAAGGAGTCAAAAATCCTCTTCCCAGCTGTTCGGCTGCCATTTCCCTTCGATTTATTGCTTTCTGGCGTTATCGTCCCATTTTTCGCGCCTTCGAAGATCAGGCCTCCAGTCTCATCCATGGCTCTGTTTGGTCTGTCTTGTCTTGTTTGACCGCGGGCCTTTCTATTTGGAAGCATCTTCCAGAGAAACCACGCCGTCGCCTGCAACCTTTCCCATGCATCTACTGGTTTACCATGTTTCATCATCATGTTCACTATATCAATCTTTGTCCGCAACTCTTCTATGTAAAATTGTTGGGTTTCTTGTTTTGGGTAACACCATGCCGCATTTCATGTTTGATCGTCTCTAGCTGGACCCTCTTACCGAGTTGTCACATTTTCGTCATATGTATTTTTCTTGACTACCAACGTCCCTCTTCCTTCGAGTGCGAAAAGCTCTTTTTTTGGGAGGAGCCAGCAAATGGTTCCCTTCAGCTGTCCTGGTAATAAGGATGGTCGTGAGGACCTTGGGTTGGAGGAAAAAAAGGCGATTTTGGCGACTAGCAACGGTATCGATTCAGTATGGACGGAGTGAAACTGGGCAGACGCGAAAAGAAAGAAAAATGTAGGCACTGCTTTTTGCAAGCCTTTTCAGGAGGTGTACAGTGTTGTATAGGGCGTGTCATCTGTACTTCTTTGCTATTTTTTACACCTACCTTTTGCTTTTGAAAATCGGGGAAAGCCGGGAAGCTTTAAGTCCGGGTTGTGTGCGAAAAGCTTTGGGATCTCTATAGCTCTGTTAAGTGGGAAGAACTTCAGTTTCTTGGTTCATATGTTTTTTTTGTCCACCTTCCCCTCTTTTGCTTTCGGCATCTTTCAAGGACTTGTTTTATATTTCCCCTACTTATATTTACCCGAACCAGCGTGGAAGTTCCGTGAAGGACAAACCAAAAGACGGAGGGAGGGATCAGGCAGAGGGAGGAACGGAAGGAAAGCTGGACGTAGGAATAGGACAGAAAACGGATAAAATGGGGGCTTTCCGATGAAGAAGCACCATCCATAGCCACCGTCAGCATACCATATTGGTATATAACACTCCCACATCGCAATTGCATCGCTCTTTCTCAAGCAAACTAACATGTTTTCTTGCTGTTGACATTGTGAACACCCATGGACTCCCCCAAAAAAACCTAGACTGCTAATGTTACTAATACACAAACCAAAACCGCCAAATTCGTAACACCCATACAGACAGACAGACATAACACTCGTAAAAACAACGACCAAGCCCTATTCAGTACTCTTATTCGACCCCCCATTCAAGCAAGCCTCTCCTCCCAAAGCTCGCTAACCTTCTTTTCCGCCAACTCAGGCATCAACCGCACCAGGATCAACTCCAGCATGGAATAAATCAGATGCTTGTTCAGATACGCATCGCTAAACACATCCAGAATCCCTTGCTCGATTTCCGTCAAAATCGTCTCTTCGTCTTCGTTTTGGTCTTCGTCAACTTCGTCAATTTCGGTTTCATCAACGTGAGCTTGACCGCCTGCGGCAGAAGCGGCGGCGTGATCATCACCCGCCCCTGCATCTGCATCCGCAACATCCGCGTCTAGCTCTTGCTGACGATGGGCTTCATCAACATGAGCGTGTTGGTCCTCCACCCTCTTGGCTAGTTTGGTTTTGGTAGCCGATGCTGCTGCGCGGATGGCGGCATCGTTAGTGCTACCACCACCACCATTACCACCATTACCACCATTACCAACAGCAGACTTTTGTGAGCCACCAGTAGCAGTAAGAGAAAGCTTGCTACTGCTCCGACTATTGCCCATACTAGAGCTGCTGCTGCCTGAACGGGGATCGGAACTGGTGGTGGTGGTTGCTGCTATTCCCGCCGATGCTGTTGCTGTTACCGAGGGTGATGCTGACCCCCTACGGCCAGACCCAGGCCCAAATCCAGGGGCAGGGGCAACAGACAGCAAGGAAGAAAGTGATCCAGACGACCCTGACCCCTGTTGATGAGCTGGGACTGGGCCGCCAGTAGTACTAGCAGCAGCAGAACCAGGAACCACCGCCTGCTGGCCCTGATCTAGGCCGCTTTTCTTCGGTCCGCTCCCGCTCCGCATCTGTTCCATTTGTGTCTGACCTCCCTGCACCTGCACCTGCACCTGCTTCTGTGATGAGTTTTGAGGAGCAGCAGGCTGGACAGTGGCAGAACCGGCATTGCTTGCCCCCCTACTGGTCGTAGAACGAGAGGCACCGGCTAGTGCTACTCCCCTTTTGGCATCCTCTTCACCTACTACCATAGACGCGTTAGTAGTACCGGTACTAACATTGGCAACTGGCCTGGTGGTCTTTAGGCCCGCGGCCCTGGCCTTGGAACTGGAATTGCCGCCAAACCCGCTACGGCCACCGAAATAAACGGACCCAACGAGCTTTGCCATGAATCCAGGCGAAATTAGCGCCCAAAGATCCTTAGCACACCTGCGCCTTAGCGCAAGCAGCTCGTCTTCGGACAAGGGTGCCGTCAGGCTCGAGGTCCCTGGCAGATTATTGGGGAAGAGTGCGCCTCGCACACTGCGGAGAAGTGGGGGTAGACCTGATGGGTCCAGGATGTACTTGTGGACTGCGTAAGATAGGAGCCTATGTCAAGTCGTTTTGGTAAGTAAAACTGCCTTCTGCTAGTTATTGGCCGGTCTGGTTTTCTTTGCCTGAACGGGACATGTGCATTTTTGCGCTTCTTTGCTTCTTTCCGGTGCAAAGTGTGTGTAACACTCGGAAGATATCTCGCTTCTATGCTCTGGGGGACTTTGAAGGGGAAAAGGGGTGTGTAATGGAGGTATGGTGTTTCATTACGTGGGGAAACAGGACACTCGAGAACGAGAACTGAGTGGGAGCAATACGACGGTGTGTATGGTGCGCGCAAACCGGTGTTTGTGTCCCTTTGAGTGTGTCTATGCGTGTGCAGCGTTTGATTGAAGGATAACGGGCTCCGACATTTCTAACGGTGAGAGTAACTGCCAGTATCCCATGGAGAGCATCTTCGTTGTAAAGAACGATGTCTCACAGCATGAGTATGGACAGTGTAATTCATGGTATGGGGGGGAAAGAAGTCGAAGGCCCCAGATGCTGATGAACCGGGGCAGCTCGTATCAACAAACAACCATGACACCGCCGTGAAGGCCCGAGTTACTGAACTGGGAAACGACCACAACACCATGTTCGTGAGCTCAACCCCAGGTACTAACATGATCCGCTGGTCCTAGCCATGGATGGAAGCGCGAGGGCGAGCTCCTCACTTCCATTGTGAGTGCGGGGAACCAGGAAGACCAAGCTCGGTGGGGAGATGCTGACATCGGCGACGAGGTCCATCGGCCATGGGTCGTGAAGAGGGCACTTGCACAAGAACCCTGCTCTTTACCAATTTCCTCCCGAGATCCATGGAAACTGGACCACCGCACAGTGCAAGAGACAGGGTCCCAGTTTGGGGTGAACGGTAGGCTTGTGAGCGCGAGGGGGGGTGTCGAGAAGCAAGCTCTCCGTGCCAAAGCATCGTGGTGCCCAGGGTGTCGCAAAAAGCGCTCAGGCGCGATACACCTTGCGCAATATCGCAGATATCTGATCAGCAGATCCTCCATCGTGGATTTTGAGTCGCAGATTGCGCGCCAATCGAGCAGTCCAGAAGAAGGATGGATTGGCAGTAACATGCCGAGACGAAATGACTAGTCATTAGGACGGCTGCTCTTTGAATTGGACCAAGACACCCAAGACTTCGAGGCCGGGGACAAAGACGAGGCCATCCAGAAAAGGACAAGTTCCATCTGAGTATCGCAGCGTATGGTAGAATGTCGCTGTATGATGCGCCTGGCGACGAACACGGCAAACGGTGGGGTGTGTGGTAAGGGGCGGAATTCTGGCGGAAAGCGACCTCGGTGCCGGTTGCTTCTGGTGGTCTGTCTCATGGATCTGGATGATGAGGATGGGTCGAGGAGGGGTGTCGGATCCTTGTCAATAATCCCGTCCGGCGCGTAAACAAGGCTCGTCGATGGTCCGTCTAGTAAGCCCCGCGAAGCCCATGGTGCAATGGGACATGGCCAGGGCCACATAGCGCCCTGATTGGCTGGCTGCAGTTGGACGTTCCGAATGCAGGCATTGTGGGATTGGAACACTTGGGGTCTGGCGGTCGCCGATTCGGCCGCAGGACCTTTTGGGGGTGTGTTCCACAACACCCGCCTTTATCCAAAACCCTTTCAACAGCTTGGCATTGGTAGATGTATCGCGCCCGCTGACCTCGTCTCTGCGGCCCAAGCTCCAGCACTCGGTCGATATGCCTTGGTAGGCCGCTCCTCCCAGATCTCGTGATGGTTGCCAGTCTCTTGCGTGCACTTGCACCAGTCTCGATATGGGTGGGTACGCCTCCAGATCCAGTGACTTGAGAATCATGCGGTGCGACAGTTGAGCGTGCAGAGGGGAGTAGGAAAGTGAGGGAAAATGGCAAGGAAAGAGGCTGACCTACCTGTCAATGCTCCCATCAACACCACCCAGCCTTCCTGGGCTTCTCATCATGATCCACTGCAACATGGACACTGTGCCGCTGAGCCACGCCATCCGGCCGTCCATCTCGATCAAGTTCGATATTGCTGACCAGCATCTGAATGCCAAAACGGGTGTCTTGAAGCGTTCTGGCTCCACATCGGACGAACCGGCATGCTTTTCGAGATCCAGTTGAGTCGTATGGTGAGCCGCCACTTTCTCGTATGCTGTCGCGCTGCGAGACAAACGAGGTGGCAAGGAGTGGGAAGTGGTCAAGATAGTGATAGCCATCCTCACAAACGATATCGAGAGAAAGATCCAGTGAATGAAGGTCCAGAACAGTGCCTGGATCGACTGGATCGAGGACGAACTGCGAGCTTGTACCGGTACTTTGCTCTTCCTTGGGGGCAGAGGCTCATTTTCGACAGATGTGCGCCGTGTAATAACGTTGGACGCTATTGAGAAACATTCCCAGATGAACCAAGGCTCTGACAGCTTGTTGGCTAGAATATTTCCGATTATCAGCTCCGACAATATCTGGCCAACCAGGGCCACGAGACAGTTGTTCTGGAGATCCTCAGTGGGCAAGAGCACGGCAAGCACAGCATGAACCAGCAGCTGACGATAGGCCGCCTCATTTTCGGCTTGCTCAGCTATGCTCTCCGGGCTTCCTGAGCACGGGACGGGAGACAGAGCGGGCAGGGGGCACAGAGCGTGATAGATCTCTCGCGCATCCGTCTGGAGGGGAGACTGCGTGATGGGATTGTGAGCTGCTCGATAGGCTACATAGTCGGACAGAACATGTTAGCGTCGAACCCGAAATTGGTTGGTGGAGCTACAACAGACCAGTGACATGCCTGTCGAGAAGATCGGGCAGCTCGTCTAGGAGCAAGCTCTCGAGGTCGACATTGCGAAGGCGCTGCTCAAGCGCTCGGGTGACATGGGCAATAAGCTGGACGATCTCGGCGACAAACGAGTCGTCGGGGGTGATCTTGTTGTACCAGTTCTGGACATATTCCCGGAGGATGATGGCAATCAGTGCGTACAGCTGCAGGTCGACATCGTTTCGACTGGTCAGAGGCGGTAGCACATCCTCGATCGATATCGGCGGCGTGGTCTTGCCCTTGTCCTGGTGTTGAGGACACAAGATGCGCCGGATCAGATAGACGGTGGCCTTGTCGGAGAGGGGGTCTGTCCGATGCGAGTTGGACTGGGGCGACGGCGATCCCCGTTTGGTCCGTGACCTGGTACTGGCCTTCAAGTTGTTGTTTGTCGACGACGATGGTTCTGAGCTTGCCTTGGGAGTTCTTGGTCGTGGGGTTGAGAGACGAGTGGGAGCGGGGCCCTGACTCTGTGCAGTGACAGTGACAGCAGGGGACGCAGAGGGCGCAGAGGGAGTGGGAGCAGCAGCAGCAGCAGCAGTCGAGGCAGTTGTCATGACGGGCCAACTAGCGGTGTCCAAACATTGTGCCCCGCGCGCACCCCTTCATATCATAGCGCCGTCCACCCTTTATGACAATTCAGAGCCTGGCAGCCCTTTGAAGCGCAAGAAGCGGAAGAGAAGAGAAAATCGTCGAGGTGTGATCGCGTGTTGCGCGGTGCAGTGGTTGGTGAACAGGTGGTGCTGGTGCATGGCATGTTGATAGTGAGTGGTCCGGTCTTGGTTCAGCCTCCCGTCCCGCACCTGTGGTGGAGGGCGAGCAGTGGCCCATGCGATAAGGAAGCACCTGCCGCTTATCAGATGCCATTCGTCCAAAACGGGTAGGCGGTGAGGTCGGCCAAGCCAAACATGGTCCTTGCCGTAGCAACCGATGACCCTTGAATTCGACCTTGGTCGAGCTTCCCCTGAATGAATGTCAACAAAGCACGGTAACCTACGCAGCTAAAGCGGAACCATCTCGACCGCATCAAAATTCCCCAAATCCGAGTCACCTCAGGTGCGGTTTGTCTTCCAGTACAACTTTCGTTTCTGATCAAGGATCCATACTGCTTGCAGGTTGAGAACCTCAACACCTGAAGCGTGTTATCGTTGCACTTCGCTTGACCGATGTTGGCCGGAGTGTACTGAACGGCTGGGCGAGACGGACGAAACGGACGGGAAACTCCTTCAAAAAGAGACTGACTGTCGTCGATGAGGCTCAAGCTGTCATCACCCTTGCCACAGCAGACTGCCGTGACACAAGGCACTTGCTGCATGCGGCCCGAGCCTGACCGTTGCAGATCAGTGCCTAGGCCCACAACCACGAGACTGTCTGTTCAACAGTTGAACACACATCTTGGATCCGACACCCGTAACATTTCAATCCGTGTCGTTGCTAAGGGAAATGGTACCAGAAATTCCTAAAGTGTAACATGCCGATGTGGCCGTGACAATGCGTTTGTTCGATATCCCTATTATACAGTATGGGTCCCTAATAGCCCGGTTCCTAACACCCACTACATCTTACAGGGTGCAACGACCAGCATGCACATGGCTCACTTATACAGCAATGACGTTGTCCTTGACGGTCGCCTCGTATCTGAAAAACACTGTTAGCAGTCGAACTTGACCTCCTCCATGGGGGGAAAATATAAAGAGAGCACTAACCTCTTGCCGCGGAAAGCCCACACACCCCAGTTACCGGCACTGATGTCCTGAGGGTCAAGATCGTTCAGATCCCACCGGAGACTGCGGAAGGTGTTCTCGCCAGGCTCCATAAGAATGTCGAATTCACCCTTGGCCTTCTTGTTGACCCACTCGACATCACGCTCCATGTCAGCCTGCGTGTAGCCCGTAGCAATGATAGGAGCCTTGGTCTCGAGAAGCATAGGCAGCGTTTCCTCCCACTCGTGGGAGCTCGCCGGGTGACCCAAACCAGGGTGGAAGAGGACGAAGCAGTCGAAGTAAGGATCGTGAGGGGCGAAATAGCCCGTCTTGTGGATGGTATGGTAATAGTCCACAATGGTGCTGATCTTCATGGTAGGCCACACGCGGTCCTCCACAACCGCACCGTAGGGGTTCTCGGGAGTACGAGGCGGGAGGGGAAACTCATCATCGCGGTTCATCATGCTCTCCGGTCCGATGAAGATCAGATGGAATCTCGACAGGGGGAAGAGATGGGCCAGCTGCACCCACGCATCTCTGGGCAGCGACGACTCAGCACGAGCACCAAGAATAAAGAGGCGCACGGGGGGGGCCTCTGGCCGGAGACCCTTGATGGATTCGTTGCCTCCACTCTTGGGGGGATGCAGGGTATAGCGAAGAGCCGTCAAACTCTTCAAGCCCTCCACGGTGAGGCGATTCCGGATGTCGTACGGGCTCAGCTCGTGAAGAACGCTGCCGATCGTGAGAGGATAGGTCAATAACCTAGTCGCTTGTCTCATGCACCGGTCATCGTTGACAGCTTCAAACTGACGGGTATACATAAAGGTGTCCCAGTTGGTCATGTTGACCATGGCATCATCCATTTGCGGACCGGCGTAGTTGAACTCGTAGAAGTGGCGGCCAGAATGGAGGTCGTGGTCGTCTTCGTTGATCTGTCGCAGAGTGTCGCAAATCTTAAGATGATTCTCGTAGTCGTCCATCCAATGCTGCTCGCTGCAATATACCGGGATGCCGCAGTCGGGGCACTCGAAATCGACATGCTTCGGGGGCTGGGAGCCAGACTCGGTATCGACTTGGTGGGTGGTCTCGGAGAACTGCCCTGGGCGATGGCTGTGGTGAGGGCAGCTGGAGTGCTGCCTTATGAAGGCTGCGCGCTGGCGAATCTTGGGAATGGGCGAGTTGGTGAAGGAGTGGAAGAGGTTGTCCTGCTCGAGGATTGGCTTCGAGGGGATGCCACTACCGGCCACATCCTCGTTGACGGCAAACGATGTCGAACTGCTGGCCTTGGATCTGGACTGGGCAACGACAGAAGGAAGCTTGCTGGTGATCGAAGTCTGGGTCGGGCGCGAGACAGTTCTGGTGATGCCACCGGCTTGCCTCGAGCACGAGGAAGAGCTTTGTGCCCCGCGGATGGAGCTGACGGAGCGTTGCTGGGCTGACTGCAAAAAAGCAGCGCTTTGCCTGCTCTGTCTAGCTGTGAAGGACGAACATTGCGAGCAGAGCTTGGACAGCGCCGGGCGCACCGCGCGGTCCGCTGGGAGGGCCATTGGGAGAGAAAAAAGGTCGGATGATGTTCGATCGGGAATCTGGATCGCCAGGACTCGATGCGACTTTCCAATTGGATTCGACTTTTTGGCAGCTCCTAGCAGTCCGGGGTCCCGGGGTCCCCAATTCCACTTGCTCTCGTCCGTTCAATTGACCCACTTGAGCTTGTTTCACCAGCCACAATTGTCCCTAAAGCTCTGACGTTATGCGGGTCAGAGAGCTACGAGCGAGCCACAGTCGCGGAGCCCGGGCCAGGGGGGAAGGTGGCGTCTACAAAGTGGACGTACCGCTGCAACCTGAGTGACTGCACCAATTGGCCAGCTCCATCCAAAGTCGATGGCGACCGACTCCATCTAGCCAGAACCTACGAAGAACCGTGTTTTAATTTTTGCCGAGTTACAAGTCGCTTCAACTACAACAATATTTCGACGATCTAGCTGACTTTCGCGCATTGGTCTTCTCAGCATAACGACGGCAGCATCAAAGGAGCGCAACCGAGTCCTACCCACTTGCAAAACCGACCTCGAGAAAGCAGAGCCGCGCCGGCTTTCTGCGCCCAGTTGCAGCCATGGCGACCACGTCGAACATGTTCCTGTATTCCTTGACCATCCAGCCACCCACCGCCGTCACGCAGGCTCTGCTTGGTCAGTTCTCGGGAACCAAGGAACAGCAGATTCTTACGGCGTCTGGATCGCGTCTAACCCTCCTTCAGCCTGATCCCCGCCAGGGCAAGGTCAACACCCTGCTGTCTCATGACATCTTCGGCATCGTACGCGCCATCGCGTCGTTCCGTCTGGCCGGCAGCCACAAGGGTGAGTAGCCTCACCGTCACCTCCTCTGTTGGACAATATAGTGATTCTGGATCCGATCCCCAGGTGCTTCTGGGTAGAAGGGCTACACGCTTGGTCGCACACCATGCGCCCAGGCCCGCGAGTCGTCTGGGGACTTGGGACTCATTGAAACTGGTAGCGGGATTGTGCTAAAACCCATGTGCCACCCAGACTACATTATCCTCGCCACTGATTCGGGCCGTATCACGATTATCGAGTATCTCCCCAAGACGAACAAGTTCCAGCGCATCCACCTTGAGACTTTCGGCAAGTCGGGCGTCCGCCGAGTCATCCCCGGCCAGTACTTGGCCGCAGACCCAAAGGGAAGAGCCTGCCTCATTTCGTCACTCGAAAAGAACAAGCTGGTCTATGTTCTCAACCGCAACTCACAGGCCGAGCTTACCATCTCGTCACCGCTAGAAGCCCACAAGCCAGGAGTGCTGGTGCTGTCTCTTGTTGCCCTTGACGTCGGTTACGCCAACCCCGTCTTCGCTGCGTTGGAACTGGACTACACGGACGCGGACCAGGACCCTACGGGCCAAGCACGAGAAGAAGTCGAGACACAGCTTGTATACTACGAGCTTGATTTGGGCCTGAACCACGTTGTACGCAAGTGGTCGGATACTGTCGATCGCACTTCTTCGCTACTCTTCCAAGTACCCGGTGGCAATGACGGCCCCAGCGGTGTGTTGGTCTGCGGCGAGGAAAATGTCACATATCGGCACTCGAACCAAGAGGCGTTCCGCGTTCCTATCCCCAGACGCAGCGGCGCCACCGAGGATCCCCAGAGGAAGCGTGTCATCGTCTCTGGCGTTATGCACAAGCTCAAGGGAAGCGCGGGCGCCTTTTTCTTCCTTCTTCAGACGGACGATGGAGATCTATTCAAGGTCACCATTGACATGATCGAAGATAGTGACGGCAACCCCACCGGAGAGGTTAAGCGCCTGAAGATCAAGTACTTCGACACGATACCAGTAGCAACCAGTCTCTGCATCCTGAAGAGCGGCTTCCTGTTCGCCGCTAGCGAGTTTGGAAACCATCACTTTTACCAGTTCGAAAAGCTTGGCGACGATGACGAGGAGCTCGAGTTCAGCAGCGACGACTTCCCGACAGACCCTACCGCCTCGTATAACCCGGTGTACTTTCATCCCAGGCCACTTGAAAACTTGGTCCTGGTTGAGAGCATTGACTCGATGAACCCTCAGGTTGATTGCAAGGTTGCGAATCTGACGGGTGAGGACGCGCCCCAGATCTACTCTGTCTGTGGAAGTGGTGCGCGGAGTACTTTCCGCATGTTGAAGCACGGACTCGAAGTGTCTGAAATTGTCGCTTCAGAGCTTCCCGGTACACCTTCCGCTGTATGGACGACCAAGTTGACCAAGTACGACCAGTACGACGCTTATATTGTGCTGTCATTCACAAACGGAACTTTGGTGCTCAGCATCGGCGAGACGGTAGAAGAGGTCAGCGATAGTGGTTTCTTGACTACTGCGCCCACCCTAGCTGTCCAGCAAATGGGTGAGGATGGCTTGATTCAAGTTCACCCCAAGGGTATTCGCCACATCGTCCAAGGTCGTGTCAATGAATGGCCTGCACCTCAGCATCGCTCGATTGTTGCTGCCACGGCAAACGAGAATCAGGTTGTCATCGCTTTGAGCTCTGGCGAAATTGTCTACTTCGAAATGGACTCGGATGGTTCGCTCGCCGAGTATGACGAAAAGAAGGAGATGTCGGGAACCGTCACATCGCTGAGCGTTGGTCAAGTACCGGAGGGCCTCAAGCGAAGCTCGTTCCTAGCTGTAGGATGTGATGATTGCACAGTTCGCATCCTTAGCTTGGAACCTGATTCAACGCTCGAGATGAAGTCCATCCAAGCTTTGACAGCCGCACCCTCGGCTCTATCCATCATGTCCATGGAGGACTCGTTCGGTGGCTCCACGCTCTATCTGCACATCGGATTGCATTCGGGCGTTTACCTTCGGACAGTGCTGGATGAGGTCACGGGCGAACTAACAGACACTCGTCAAAAGTTTTTGGGCCCCAAGCCCACCAAACTCTTCCAAGTATCCGTTCAGGATCAGCCATGTGTTCTTGCGCTGAGCTCGAGGCCATGGTTGGGCTACACCGACCCAATTACCAAGGGCTTTATGATGACGCCCCTAAGTTATACCGAGCTTGAGTATGGCTGGAACTTCAGCAGTGAACAGTGCTTGGAAGGCATGGTTGGAATTCATGCCAACTACCTAAGGTCAGTTTTCCCGCACTCTCTTGGCGTCCACTTTGCTTCAAATGATGATAAAAGGGAATCCTATGCCTTCGGGTAATGAGGTAATTGATGCAATCATACATAATTGTACCAATTGTTCCTTCTGAAAACCAGCATGATACACCCATCCACTTCGTGTACGTTTATCTTCTTCACAGACACTGACATCGGCTACAGAATCTTTTCGATCGAAAAACTGGGCGATAACATGATTCAAAAATCCATTCCTTTGACTTACACACCTAAGCGCCTGATCAAGCATCCTGAACAGCCATACTTTTATACCATCGAATCCGACAATAACACCCTTCCCCCGGAGCTGCGGGCAAAACTTCTGGAGCAACAAACCAATGGTGACGCAACGATACTGCCGCCAGAGGACTTTGGATATCCCAGGGCCAAAGGCAGATGGGCATCGTGCATTAGCATTATTGATCCTATCAGCGAGGAACCGAGAGTCCTCCAAAGGATTGATCTTGATAACAATGAGGCGGCAGTCAGCGCGGCCATTGTACCCTTTGCCAGTCAAGAGGGTGAAAGTTTCTTGGTGGTCGGCACAGGCAAGGACATGGTCCTCAACCCACGTCAATTCACCGAAGGCTACATCCATGTTTACCGATTCCATGAAGACGGCCGGGATCTGGAGTTCATCCACAAGACCCGAGTAGAAGAGCCGCCTATGGCACTCATCCCGTTCCAGGGACGTCTGCTTGCTGGCGTGGGCAAGACACTCCGCATCTACGACCTCGGTTTGAAGCAACTGCTCAGAAAAGCTCAAGCAGATGTGACGCCCACTCTCATCGTTTCCCTACAAAGCCAGGGTAACCGCATCATTGTCGGCGATCTCCAGCAGGGTATCACTTATGTCGTCTACAAGGCCGAGGGCAACAGACTTATTCCCTTTGTCGACGACACCTTGAACCGCTGGACAAGTTGCACTACCATGGTCGACTACGATTCCGTCGCCGGCGGCGACAAGTTCGGCAACATCTACATAGTCCGCTGCCCAGAGCGCGTCAGCCAGGAAACTGACGAGCCTGGCTCGGAGATCCACCTGATGCACGCCCGCAACTACCTTCACGGCACACCCAACCGCCTGAGCCTCCAGGTCCACTTCTACACTCAGGACTTGCCGACCAGCATCTGCAAGACCAGCCTGGTCGTCGGCGGCCAGGACGTGCTGCTATGGAGCGGTTTGCAAGGCACAGTTGGTGTCTTCATTCCCTTCGTCAGCCGCGAGGATGTCGACTTCTTCCAGAACTTGGAGAATCATATGCGCGCTGAGGACCCGCCGCTTGCGGGACGTGATCATTTGATCTACAGAGGTTACTATACCCCCGTCAAGGGCGTGATCGATGGTGACTTGTGCGAGAGGTTCAGTTTGCTGCCGAATGATAAGAAGCAGATGATTGCGGGAGAACTTGATCGCTCGGTGAGGGAAATCGAGCGCAAGATTTCGGTACGTGTTCCCCTGGCTTTGAAGATGTAGTTCACTTACTAACCTGATTTCTTCACAGGATATCCGCACCCGGTCTGCCTTCTAAACGCCATCCATCGTCATAGGTGAGAAGTGTTGGCTGCGAGCTTATGGTTTAATGTATATGAAAACTCCTTGCAAAAGCAGCGCGTCGTTCGAAAACAGAGTTCGGGATGGATTTAAGCGCTTGTTGTAATGTTGACTTAGATTACTGCTGTTGATTCAGCTCAGGCGCTCTGGTGGTGGTTAGTGGTTTTGGCGTTTATTGTGTGTATGTCGCTGTGCTTATATCTAACGATGGAAAGAATAGACAGGCAGAATGGTATATTGCTACTAAGAGAAAAGAAAAGAGAAGGGCTATATCGCATGGCAATACACAAGATTTTGAGTACACAAAGCATGGCATCATCATAACTACCTACTGTCCAGTCCTACTACCATCTCCCAGAATCCCCTACTTGACTAACCTACTTCCCAACCGTAGAGGCAGGAGGAACCAACCTCTTCACCCCACTTATCCACGTCCTCCCCATAACCCTCCCTTTCCCCTTCGTCGTCCCCCTCCCCTGATCCCCATCCCTCAAAGGATGTTCCCTCTCCCACCTCTCATCATCCCTCAACGCCTTCACCGCTTGCTCAACATCAAACCCACACCCCTCCAAATACAAAACCGCAACATCATAATCCGCCACTTTCGTCCTCATCATCCACTTCCTTATCTTTTTCTTTTTCTCGATTTCTTCCTCGCTCTCCACGGGAAAAGGAGAAAGTGAAACGCCGGATGGGTTGTATTCCCCCGGGATCAAGATGGTGCGTCTACCGCGGGCGAACAAAAGCGCGGAAGAGCTGGAATGGAAAGGGGAAGAGGAGGTGGAGAGGGAGAAGAGGGGGAGGCGGTTGTGGGCGAGGAGGATGGGCAAAGGGACGGAGTAGCGGAGGGAGAGGGAGGGGAGGGTATCGTGCGGGTGGAGGTGGTGGATTGTGTCGGGTACTTTTTGGTCTTTTGATGGTTTGGGGTCTTGGGTTTCTGCTGTGGTAGGGGGGATAGCTGAGGAGGAGGATGGGAAAGGGGTGTAAGGGGGTGGTGAGGAGGATGGGGGAGGAAGAGAATTGTTGAAGGCGGTAGGGCCGGGGTATGGTGGTGGTAGTGTGTCGTCGTCGTCGTCGTTAATGTTTTGTTCGGTTTCTGCTCGGTGATGGTGAGAGGGAGGGCGATATTTGGGACCGTGGGGGTTTATGGGAGTAGGGTATGAAGAGGAAGATGATGATGATGATGATGGGGTCTGGCAGTAGGGACAGTAACTGCTGAAACGGGGGTTGTTCTGTTTGTTGCGCTTGGTTAGTAAACTGTCTGTCATAATCATAAACATGGCCATCAAGGTGCTTTTGCGTCGCTTGGCAGGGCGTGCTGTGCGTAGTTGTCAAAACATGACTGACAGCTTGGTGATACTTACATATATACAGTTACCGCAAATCACTCGGCCGCAGCAACTCAATCGGCGATCGTCCGGAAGAGGTTTCTCGGTTTCCAGAACGAAGCGGGGGACCGAGGATAAAAGGGTTGCACAGGTGCAGCAGGCGTCGAGCGGTTGTTGGGCCATGGTGGCCTTGTTGTTCTCTGCATCAAGCGGGACGAGCATCTCTCTTGTTTTACGACGAGTTCAAAACTTGAAAATCACAACTTCCCGAGTTGAAAATATGATCTTATTCAACATGGAAGGGTTAACAAATCCTCATCAACAGCCGGTGGCGATCCTGTTTCGGAGATTGTAGGACTTACACGGCATGACGCACGAACCACCACCGGGTGGTTGACGTCGGTAATGTGGGGGCTATATGACTTATCGATAAGAGCATCGGTAGCCGGAGGGCAGCCCCGCCTCCCCGCGCTCCGCAAGTTCGTGGGGGCACACGAGGCACGGAACGTGTTAGCGGCTCTTAGCGCTGTTAGGGACCTGTTCGTTATTTCACTTTCAGGTCGTTTCTTGAGGGGCACTGCGCAACATTTGCGCTTCCAAATATTTTCACCTCTTGGGTGAGCAGAAAATAAGAGCTCATCGATTGCGTACAACTTGCGGACTTCTAATAGATCAAGCGCCTGGTCTGAGGCGAAGTTTATCGAACCATGAATCGTGAAGCTGACGAGTCCGGTCGGCCAAGCTATCAGGCTCTTCACCAACCTCCTACCAAATCCTGCCATCTTTGCAGGATGCAGATGTCGTTTGGTGTCGTCTAGAACTAGGGGAAGCTTCAGTTATGACATGTCTTCTAACCAGCCAGACGGCGCATTACAACTGGCCCGGATCACGATAGACATTGTCCTCGCTTCTGCAACCCGAACGGAGATTTTCTGGCGTGATACAGCTGAGCAACACGACGTCAATGCGGCCGATATGACTGACCTGCACAAGCGCAGCAGAATGGTCGAGCTCCCGGGAACTTGTGGCTTCGTAACACCTTGGGGCATGTCGAGTTTATCGAAGCTTCATGAACCGCAGTCTACGGTGTAGGCCCTTGAGTTCCAGAAGGGCCATCAACATGGGATGTATCAAAATTAGCGTTGCTTCTAGGGCCATGACAAGAAATATCATTTTAATGATACCGAGAAGAAAGCAAAACCAGACCGGCGGTAAGCTAATTTGTCGAGCCCTATCACCAAGCTAATTTAGAGGAAGCAAGGTGAAGTAGCATCGGCGAATCAGCCGTCGGTTCCAAAGGTGTGCCTGGGTCGCCATTGCCCTTGCTTTTCATGTTACCCTAGGGAGAGCGAGAGAGGAGGCAGCTAAAGAGCAGAGAGAAAAGCAGAAGCTGAACCAAGCATCATGGCCGGGCCCGTCCTCCACGCTTGATGAGTGGTTCGCTTGGAGCAAAAGTTCTCCAGATCCTAGAGAGTTGCTGGGAATCGTTGTGGGGTAGCAAGCTATGGCACACGGCGTATATACATGGGTAGGTATAGTCAATGGGATACAGCATGAAGATATGTACACTACTGCGCAGAAGACGGTGGGGTTGGGTTCCGAGACGACGGGATAGATCTCGATTCCACTTGCTCCCCCCGGCTCATGGTCGTAGAAACGGGCCCGAGGCTGTGTTCCCGGTTATGTAACGGGCGGAGTTCGGGGACCTATGAGTTCGGGGACCTATGCCTACGGATAGATATTTATGTCAAAAGCAGTCGTCTCGAGGTTTTGTGAAAGCTAGGTAGCTGAAGCTTGCTCTTTCTCTTTTTATTCCACCACTCTCCCACGCCTTCCTAGCTTTCGGGTTTCTCAACCCTCTCACAGATCTACATCACCAACCTCATATATCATGGCGGTAAGATTGCCCGTGTATAAACCGAGCAAGAAACGAGGAATTACGATCCTAAACGATAATACGACAGGTCTCATATCCCCAAATTGTACTCTTTGGCGATTCCCTGTTCCAGGGTGCGGCAAGTCTTGAGGACGGCTTCTGTTTCCAAGCCGCGGTCCAACAGCGTAAGTGTTCCTCTCAGCTGCTCACGGGTCTCATATGCTCAAAGTCTTCTAACTCACTTCCAGAGGTTATTCGCCGATATGACGTTGTCAACCGTGGTCTCTCCGGCTACAACACCTCCAATGCCCTGAAAGTCCTACCCCAGATCTTCTCTCCGCCGGGTCCGGGCGTGCCCAAGCTTGCCTACCTTGTAAGTTTACACTCCGTTATCTTATGATGAACTTGGTCTAATCAAGGAGCAAGTTCATTCTCCTCGGCGCCAACGATGCCGCCCTTCCTCAGCCTGTCAACAACCAGCACGTCCCCCTAGACAAGTACAAGCAGAACCTTGTCTCCATCATCACCCACCCCAACATTGCCGCCCACAACCCCAAGATCTTCCTCGTCACGCCCCCACCCCTCGACGAGCTGAAGACGTCCGAGTATGACCTCGGCGTTCGCAAGCACCGCGTCAGCGCCTCCTACTCCGAGGCCGTCCGCCAAGTGGCCGCCGAGCACTCAGTCGGCTTAATCGATCTCTGGAAGGCCGTCATGGACTATGCCATCTCCAAGACGCCCGGGTTTGAGAGGTCCAAGGGTAACTTGGGCGATCCCGAGACGGGGGAGAGGGGACATCTGGAGAGCTTGTTGCCAGATGGATTACATTTGAGCGCGGAGGCGTATCGGGTCTTTTACGATGTGGTGAAGCCGCATCTGGGTCAGGAGTGGGAGGGGACGAAGGATGAGGAGAGGGTTGGATATGTGTTGCCGGACTGGAGGGTGGCGCCTTGGCTGGAGGAGGACGTGTTGAAGCCTTGGTGTTGTACCAAGATATGAGGTTGTTGGGGGATAAGTAATAATGCTAATTTTACGGGTCAGAGTTCTGAGGACTCGGTTCCAATCCCAAATTGTGAGTTGAAATCATTTGAAGAATCGTGTTAATCGTTGTGGGGATATGATGATAGTTGAGACTTTAATGGTGTTGTGGGGGGAGCTAAGCTAGGGTAGCTGTCATGGCGGGGCATCATAATGTGCACTTTATGTCATTTGACGTCGGCTTATTTCGATGCTCTTCGGGCTTGAACGGTGTATGACATGGACTGTTGAAAAATGAAAAAGTGAGGGTAAAGCCAAGTTGGTATTGACATTCAGGGCAGGACGATGGCATTGCTCTTCGTGATCTTAAACGGGATGGACAAGATGGGATTAAAGGAGGAGGTTGGCGGCGTGTGTAAGTGGGAAAACATACCATAAATTCGACATGCCGCCACCGCCGTCGACATGTGAGACTGCCGCCCGTGCTCTGCCGGCCTCCAATGCCCCGAACTGAATTCCCAGTGAGTTTATTAGTCATCCGGCCAGCGTTCACAAAGTCGAATGCCCCTGCCTTGGGTGCTTCGCTTGGCCTGCCTTCCATGGGATGAGTGCCGTCCAGCCGTCGCCCACCGTGGGACCTGGAGTGGGAGTGTCGGGTGGTTGCAGCTTGATGAGCATCATTGGGCAGGAGCAGCCTATCAATCGCCCTTGCCGCGGACATATCCATTGAGCACTGCGCATTTCTTCCCAGTGCGGCTTGACAAGCAGCAGGCACCTCAGTCCCGTCCTGAGCCGTCCCGCAGGCTGGAGAACCCGCCGAAAGAACTCCACCGAAACCGTCCACGACGAGCCTTGTCTCGCCCAGCGCAACGGCGTCTTCTTTTCCAATTGCACCTTGTCCGGATTCTCCATCTTCTGCTCGCACGCACCACCTCAACAGTTCTCAACTGAAGGGACACACGCACCAAAACACGCACCGCACACACAACGTCGAGCCAATTCAGACCTTGACTTTTTCTTTATCTTCAAAACGGACCACGCCGTCAAAGGCCTCGAAACAGCTTCCTCTATAGCGCACTCGCATCCCCAACCTCTTGTTTGCATTCCGCCGAGCACTAGAGTGTAGCAGTATCCTTCGGTTCCGCAATCCAAAGACGTCGGGCCAACGCCGGCCTCATCCCTCCACTGATCATCGCGTCCCATCCTTCCCGTCGACCCCCGATCACCGCTCCCGCCAGACGTGCACTTGACGTTTGTTCACTAGACGCCATCGAAGCTTTGCCCAAAACCGTTCCCCAATTCTCTCTTGGGTGAAATAGGCCGAACGACATTCACGCCCAAGCTCCACCTGCGGCCATACCCAGTCTGTCTCTGGTGGATCGAGAATACTCTCAAATCTCGAATTCGCTCGCTACTCCCGCGTCAACCCAACTCCCCTCGACATCTCTTCCTGGCATCACCGCGAGCCTTGCTATTTGGTGTTTCCTTGACAATCCCTCCTACCGCGCTCGTTCGTGGTGCTGGTCCCTGTTCAACGCCATATACGTCTGTCGACTCCCCTTGGCGGCCAGCAGCCCCAATTTCGCAGCACCTCGACAACAGTCCAAACCCGAACCCCTCACGCTTCCGCTATCAGCTCAGTGCCTCCAACGCCACCCAAAATTGTACAAGCAAAAAGTCTTACGTTGGTAGTGTCTGGCGAAGGATACACTCAGGTGTGTGGGAACCATTGCACAAGACCACGGTGGTCCTTTGCGGGCGATGAGGGGGAGGGTGGACCTCGATATCTGAATTACAAACAGGGTCGAGGTCATATCAAGACGGCCTCCAGCTTGCGACAGGCACAGTCATACACCAGTAAATACGCTTGAAAGGTCATAGTCAACATAGGAGTTGCGACCCATCCTTTCCTTGGTTCACCCTAATTCTATTTCCCGATCCCTCCAGTCCGCCAGCTACATTGGGCACATATATCCAACGTCGACAATTCGCGATCACTCCCCCGTCCTCACCATCTGGGCATGGATCCGCGCTTCATTGTCACCCGCGAAGAACTATACGATGTCCAGATGGACTTGAAGCGCCTTCATTCCATCCAGCATCAGCACTCGGAGCGGTTACGATTGTTGGAAAAACGCCAGGCTGACGATGCCGCCTTGAAGTCTGTTTGGAGTTCGCCGTTCCCAAGTATGCTCGGGACTACAACCCCTCAGCATGGTCAGACTTTCGCAGCTCATGATAGTCCTTTCGTCAATCAGGGCTTCACTAACAACACTTCAGGGCCAGTTCACTTGCCAGCCAACGATTTGTTTGACGACCTTGACGAGCAGGGCCAGAACTTGCTTGGTAGACTGCACCTTGAGCCTGAAGACGAGCCTATACGACGAGGGGCAGCATCGAGGGCGAATAGTGTGCGGTTCGATGAAAGCGCTCTGCATGGATGGGGCGGCCATCATGGCACCCGTCACTCGACCGAATATGGCTTGACGCGCCCTGGAAGTGGCATGGGAGGCCATCCGATGACTGAGCGCTCTTCGTCTCACAAGTCTGATGGGAGGCATAGCTCTGCCGGCCATTCTGTTCATTCAGTGCATTCCAACGCCTCTGGCCGAGCTAGCAGTCTCGGTCTTGACACCAACTTCTCGATTGGTGGCATGGAGGATGACTCTCCCGTTGATGTCCCGGAACCTCCTCCAGGGTTCTTTTATCTGGGCGCAGCTCCGTCGATCATCCGCTGTTGCTTGACTGATAACATCACCAACAAAGGGTTGCTCTATGCTGTCGTCTGCACTGGTTCTCAAAAGTCAACAGTGGACTATAGTGTGGTCAAAGACCTGCACCTAACCAACCAAATGCAAAGAGGAACGGACGGCATTTACAGGATCGATCTTCCGGTTTACCTTACCGAAGCTAGAGTCATTCAGTCCAACTCTAGGTCTGTCAGCCCGATTCACCCACTGCCGCCCAGCATCACATGTTCTTTTGAAGTGACAGGCATGGACCAACCAGAAACTCCTGAAACCAGAAAGAGCATTCGCGTCTTCATCGGTAACCACACGTTGAGGTTGCATAGTGCGGACCTTCTGCTTTCTCAGAACTCCATGACCTTGTATGGCACCGGCCGGGACAAACTTTCTGTACCTTTTGTTCGACCCGAGGATGATGCGGTGTTCAAGAATCTTGCAGTCACCAATATGGCCCCTGGGCATAAGCCTAAGCTGAACGCTGCCGCGCCCGAGTTTGTTGCTGGTGACAGAGTCGCGAAACCGTCGGCCAAAGGCAACGAAGAACCGATCCCCAAGCAAAATGGAGATATCGCCTCGGAGGGAGCACTGTTGTCCCCTGTGAGGTCGCCTAGTCAACCAGTCAGGACCACCACTGAGACAACTAGCACATCATCTGAAGAGGGTGGAGAGTATGAGAAGGAGCAACCTCAACAGCAGCAACAGCAACAGCAGCCGCCGCCACCGCCGCCTGCTCCAGCCGATCCTGTAGTCCCTGAAGACGTCTCCAAAGACGGTGCCAAAGAAAATGCTACGCCCACATCAACGACCGATACCGCTCGCCGGGAACCTAGCGCGGCCATCAGGACTCCGTGGAGACAAACGGCTGCCAGTCTTGCCGACAAGGAAAGTACCCCGCTGAGCGGCTACCAGCCAGCTGCAAGGGGTCGCAGTATGAAGATCTTACGGCCGACGAAGATATCCTCCATTAGCAGCATTAGCACTGTCGGTCCAAACTCGCCGTCGACTACCCGGTCAACGGGTGCGTTCGAATCTCCCTCCATTCCGCGGTCTAACGGAACCGATCTGCGACGGACCAAGGGCTCAACAGCTAGCGCGGCGGCGGCGGAAGGCAGTCAGAGCAGCACTAGCAGTCCCACGGTAGGCAGTTGGGGTCCCTCCAAACGCAGTCTGAGCACCAGTGCTAGCGCTTCCAACCTTGGAAACTTGGAAGGTGGCAAGGGCATTGAGACTAGGGAGCAAAGGTCCTCGTCACTGGCAACCACGGTGGGCAGTCCCATGCATCAGGATGGACTCAAGACGCCGACAGCTCCCAGATCGGCCACGAATCCTCTTGGTAGTGCATCTGCTTTTGCCTGGATGGGGAATAAAACGACGGGTAAGGCGTCTGCCAGCCCGTTCTAGAATATGGTGTTGCAGCGCGAATACCAGGAGCAGGAGAAAGGTCAACCATGGAAAAGTTTAAGAGACCCTAGTTGTTTGGCCGTGTCCAGCATCCGTATGTTGAAGCCTCAGCGTGCCAAATGGTGTTGCCGGATGGAAGCGAAGAACCGAAACTACGCATACAAAAGTGAAAAGCAATAGCGAAGGGAAGCGAAGCCACGTTGGGGCGCACAAACAGGTATCACTATGTCTTAAAAAAGCTGAATAATATCGAGTATTGTCGAAGTTCAAATAACGAGACGTCCTGTGCCAGATATAACTCTGTGTGTCTTGGAGCCCAGACTACGGGCGAGGAAGGGGAGAGGGTGCGAGGGTGCCTTGTCCGACTCACACGTCTGTCTGCCAGTGATATGCGAGGTACCTAATTCGATCTCACATACTCCCACCAGGTGGGTTTATACGACCTCGCACATTCTCCTAGTCGACATCTACCGGTCGTACTTCCAAATATTCCACGCTTATATCCCGACGCCGGCTACATGTAAGTAAAACTATGCCCTTAATCGGATCTACAATGTATGTCCGTCAATATCGGCCATTTTTCTGTTCTCTTGTCTCTTCTGCCGTTACAATAGTACCACCTCGATACCAGTGGATAAATTCCACTGGGGCACATAGGCATGGAGACCATCTGCCCAGCAACATTTACCCGGCTCTGGGCACTATCGTGCGTTGTCCACGTATGCGGTGGTTGAAAGGCAAGTGATTCTTGATATACTTCAAGTTCATTCGGTACTTTGTCTGTATGTGGTGGTATTATTACCTTAACCAAGATAAAGACGAGTCCACTCTAGTTCAGGAACTATTAACGTCACAAGACCACCGCCTATATGTGATATTGAAAAGGACAGGACTCGTTAACAAGACGTAAGCAGCTTAACGGACAGAGTTCGGGATACTACCACCGCCAACGTTGAACCTCGACTGATATTGGGACAATTAATTGCCTATACACGTGATATGGCTCTGCCCTCGCACGACAGGATGAACCAGGAGACGGGTTTACGGAGAAGGACTTGTGAGGGGAAGCATGAAACGACCCTTTGGTATTTGGTCTTCCAGTCTATAAGACCAGGAGATCATTCCGCGTCAAAAGCTCAATTTTATATATTCTCGAAATGTTCGACCGCTTTCCCAGAGCGACACTCGAGGTTTATCAGTTGAAATTCACGACAACGATCCATACCGAGAGTAGTACCAAACCTCGCGATGCTTCCACCCAAGTCCGGAGCCCTTTTGGCCCTAGCGGCAGCCATAGCCCACGCCACTGCCGCTCCCTCCTCCTCCAACCATGACAGTCCCTTAGCCTCACGCCAGGCCACCAGCACCATAACCGTCGACCTCACCAAGATCTACCAGACCATGGACGGCTTCGGCTTCAGCCTCGCCTTCCAACGAGCCAACCTAATCACCAACATGTCCGACAAGACCAAGCAGCGGGAGCTTTTGGGACTTGCTCTTCAACCGGACCACCGGCGCGGGGTTTTCCATCATCCGCAATGGTATCGGGAGTAGCCCGGATAGTCGTGACGACCACATGAACACAATCGCGCCGAATCATCCCGGCGGGCCAAAGGTCGAGCCACAGTACGTGTGGGATGGGAAGGATAGTGGGCAGTTGTGGGTGACGCAGAGGGGGGTGGCTGACTATGGGTTGCAGAATGTTTATGCTGGTGTGTCTCTCCCTTTTTCCTATATATGGTTTTGATTTGCCTTTGTTTTTTTTTCCTTATCTCCAGGGGGGTTCATTCAAACCAGATAGAAAGACTGACCAGAAGAAAAAAACAGACGCCTGGTCCGCCCCCGGCTACATGAAAACCAACAACAACGAAAACAACGGCGGCACCCTCTGCGGCGTCCCCGGCGCCACCTGCTCCTCCGGCGACTGGCGCCAAGCCTACGCCGACTACCTCATCGCCTACATCCGCTTCTACCTGCGCTCCGGCGTCGCCATCTCGCACCTGGGCTTCCTCAACGAGCCCGAGTTCAGCGCCTCGTACGCCAGCATGCGGTCCACGGGCGCCCAGGCCGCCGACTTTATCAAGAATTTCTTGTATCCGACCTTGGTAGCACAAAACCTGGCCGAGCAGGTCGGGATTGTTTGCTGTGATAGCGAGGGGTGGGGGAACCAGGTGCAGATGACGAATGCGATCAAGAGCGCTGGAGCTGAGGGGATGTTGAAGGCTGTTTCGAGTCATACGTATACGGGCGGACCGTCGGGGCCGATGAGTACGCGGGCGAGAGTGTGGTTGAGTGAGCAGTGCGATTTGAATGGCGGGTGGGATACGAAGTGGTATGGCAATGGGGGCGCGGGGGAGGGGTTAACGTGGGCGAATAATGTTTATTCGGCGGTGGTGAATAATAATATCTCGGGATATGTGTACTGGTGAGTTTTTTTCTCTTTCTTCTTTTTTTACCCCCCTTCCTCCATGTGGGTTGGGTTTTGTCCTGGTTGGTGATGGATGAGACTGGCTGACCGAAATAACAAAACAGGGAAGGAGTCCAATGGCCCTCCCCCAACACCAACGAAAAGCTCATCCGCGTCGACAACTCCACAAACACCTACGTCATTTCCAAGCGTCTCTGGGCGCTAGCCAACTGGTCTCGTTACGTCCGCCCCGGCGCCGTCCGCGTCAGCACGGCCGGGCGCCCAGCGGGTTGAGGACGGCCGCGTTCAAGAATGAAGATGGTAGTATCGCCGTCATTGCTATCAGCTCGTCCGGGTCGGCTATCAATGTTAATGTCAAGATCACCGGGGCAAGCGAGCTGGGGACGGCGACAGTGGAGGCGTATGTGTCGGATAATAACAGGAACTGTGAAAAAGTTGCCGGAGCGGCGAGTATCAGTGCGGATGGGACGATTACGGGGACGGTGGCGAGTAGGTCGGTGACGACGTTTTTTGTGCCGGGGCAGTGGACGTCTTAACTGATACAGGGGAGAGGGCTTTGGTTTGATGTTGGGCTGGTGTACTGTATTATTGTACGTCTTTGATCTTGTGATGAGGCGGTGTTCGCTTGGAGTGTCGTTGACTCGTTGTCAGTTACTGAACCTGAGGTGGCTCTCAATACATAAGCTCTTATTTCGGGGAAAATTAGCACATACGGCCATAGATAGTGGAAAACTCGGGATCCCGTCCGCTCTCCCATAGATAAGCCACTAATCGGAAGATTATCTATGGGAGCCGTTTTCGACAGGGGTTTGGATGACTCAGCTGAAAACGCCGCCCTCGTTTCTAGAACCGTTTTCCCATTGCCTTCGCCGTCGAGTGCACCGTTCCACTTACGCCAAGCCCAGCTGAGTGGGCTAGGCATACACTACACAAGGTGCTTACCCCTGCCATTTACTCCTGACACCTACTCAGAAGGGGAGTGGTTGGCTTTTGGGAGGTGTGGTTGGCTTTGGTGAACACTTTTCTCCGTACGTATACCCTTCAGGCGAGTTAGAAGGGCCTCAAGATATATATTGCGTCTTTACCCTCAGATTCCTGACTGAACCAAACAAGCACACTTTTGTCCCATTCTCATTGCATTCACTGTATATCCATTCTTCCCAGTTGATTCTACCGCATGAATTACGGCCCCTACGTTGCGAGGGTTGCGTTGGTTTTTCATATGAAACCCTCCTTCCGAGTTTTCTAATGAATTTCTCCTCCCAAACATACTGAGCTCGTTAGCTATTGCAGCTTGAGAGGGTATTGTTTGAGTCTCACGGTGCCGATCGCACTCCATCCATATGCAATACGGAAGGGATGGAGCTACAAAAACCGCCGATACCGCCGACTGTACCCGACGACGAAGAACGGAAAAGAAGAGCATTTGCCGACGTCGACGAATTTACGGTAACAACACATGAGCGTTCGCTTTGTAAGAAGACCAAAGCCGAGCGAGAACGCGCATGGCGTCTATGGAATAGGTATGTACCTTATCATTTTGCTGTTTTCTTTAATATTGCGTACTAACGCTTTTTAGATTTGTCACAGATGTGTTACAATTAACACAAAAAGAGGCTGATAAGGTTTGGTTTGGTGTGTGCCAAAACAAGAAAAAGTCCATTGCTATCTGCAAGAGCTTTCTGGCCGACTATACACGCTATGCAAGATGCAGGCGTCTGTATATAGACGGTACCGAGGAACAGAAGCTTCGTGACCAGCCGACCGGAATTTCCCATTCTAGGCGAGTTTCGGAAAATCAGCGGCGAATACCAAGATTTGATCTTGCATTGCATTGACGAACGCATCGTCGCGGGAGACATATCCGTGTACTTCGACTCGGAGCTTTCCAAGACCAAGGATGATTACAACAGGTCTTGTCCCGACTGGCCGCTGCCCTCGGATTGGCCAGGTCAAAGCAACCTCCAAATCCTGGTTAAGAGGGCCGTTCCGCTATTTGTTTTCGCCAAGACCGTCTGCCTTTTTGTTCAGGATCGAGAATGTGGTAATCCTAAAACGCAGCTGGACAAGATACTGCGGTATCAGACGATGGGGTAGGAGTTTCGGCTTCACGCCATGTATCTCCCGATTCTAAACCAAATGCTTATAAAACGCACCAATTCGGGATTCATCCCGCGTGCTAGTGAGGAACAAGAGGCGATAGTGAAAGAGTTCCGCGAGATTGTTGGCACGCTCGTAATCCTCGCCGATCCTCTACCGGTTAAGTCACTTGCTGGTCTGCTTGGAATTGAGGAACAAGTTATCGGCCATAGGCTCAGCCTGTTCAATTCGGTCCTGAACATTCCGTCCGACCTAACCGCGCCGGTCAAAACACTCCACCTATCGTTCCGCGACTTCCTCGTCGACCCTAAGAACCGGGCCACCAACCCGTCCTGGGTCGACGAGGAAATGACCTACAAGAAGCTAGTAGCCAAATGCCTCGAGCTGCTGAGAGACTGCCTCCAAGAAGACATCTGCAGCCTACAGAGGCCTGGGAAATCTCGAGCAGAGGTCGACAGACAAATTTTCCTTAAGCACTTGCCGTCTGAGATTCAATACGCGTGTCTCTACTGGGTCTATCACTTGAAGCGGAACAGGCGCACAGTCCGAGACGGAGATCAAGTACACCATTTTCTCACGCGTTACCTCCTCTACTGGCTTAAAGTATTGAGTCTCATGGGTAGGATATCAGAAAGCATAGGATTAATAGACGACTTACAGAGTGTAACGGATGTAAGTTAGCCACCGATGCCGTACGCTAGCGCTCGCTGACGAATCATCCAGCCGGAAACAGGCGTCAATATCTCGAAATTCCTTCATAATGCAAAGCGTTTCATCTTCAACTGTCGCTCAGTGATAGAGCTAGCACCCCTTCAAATTTACTCTTCGGCGCTCGTCTTCGCTCCTGAGAAAAGTCTCACTCGAGAGACATTCCGACACACTGTTTCTAGCTGGATAGTAACTAAACCAATAATGGAGAGTAACTGGAGTCCTTGTTTACAGACGTTCGAGGGCCATAGCAATTCCGTCATGTCGGTGGCGTTCTCGGCCGACTCGAAGTACGTAGCGTCGGCGTCCTCTGACAAGACCGTCATGATCTGGGACGCAGCGACGGGGCACGAGATCCGGGCGCTCGAGGGCCATAGCAGTTCCGTCGAGTCGGTGGCGTTCTCGGCCGACTCGAAGTACGTGGCGTCGGGATCCTATAACGAGACCGTCAAGATCTGGGACGCAGCGACGGGGGCTTGCCTACAGACGCTTCATACTGGAAGAGTGCTTAGCGATATTTCATTTGATCCTACCAGTTTACTTCTTCATACGGAAATTGGCGTTCTCGCTCTCGCCCTCACCATCAATCCCAACCCTAAACCGAATTCGAATCCACCGTCGACGCTATTGAGTTCGCATACCGCACCCAATCTATCTACTACTACTTCTTCTTGCGAGCCTCAAACCCGTGGCCTTGGACTAAGTCCTGACGGAACATGGATCACGTGGAATGCGAAGAACCTGCTATGGCTGCCGCCGGAGTACCGGTCGATCCACTCGGCGGTGGCGGCGTCGACGGTTGTAATCGGATGTGCGTCAGGGCGCGTGTTTATTATAAGATTCGACGGGGAACTTCTTTCGAAGTTCTAAGTATCTAAACCTCGGTACGCTTTGCGATGGTATAAATGATGATTATTTTTTAATTTCAATTTTAATAACTTTGAAGCCCTCTCCGGTCCAAGGGGGAACCGTAAATATATACCTTTCTCATTCGCCTCGGGATTATTCTAGCACCTTCTAGATGCTAAGTTCTCTAAATCCTCGCGGGTTTAAGTATCACTAAATCAGCTTATTAAAATTCGGGTCCCTGACGTCTGTGACGGCCTGGTCATCCGTCACAACTATATAAGACCACTTGAGCAACCGAATTGCCAGCTTCGGTTACTTGTATCCTTTTGCAGGAACATGGCCTGGTTAGTGTAGCGATCTGCCACCGCCGTCACAACGTCGTTGGTGTCATGGCATGGCTGGACAGGGCACCATAACACATCGGATGGAATGAGGCTCATTGTTACGAACTTAAGCGAGTAGCACGGGTCAACCAAGCCACCGGGACACGACCGCCACGCAGAGGCGGGGCCGTGTAACCATAGAGGCCAGTAAGACAGAAGACTAGAGGGCTCACAAGCTAAGAGGGCTCACGCGTGAGCCAGGACAACATCAAGAGTCTAAGGACACTCGGGTCCCAGTTAATGGCAGAGATATAAGAAGGCACCTGGAGAACCAGCTAGCCAGATAGTTCGACAGTAGTCAATAGACCATCGTCATCAAAGACACGTATAACGATACTTATTGTAAACCCTTTGGCTTCACCGAACTGCACTTGATAGTCGTTACCTTCAGCTATCCCACTTAGGCAGATCAAGACTGCCGTTCGTCACACTCATGTCCTTATCGATTAGACCATACGGAAAGAGAAGGCGGGAACGAGTGGCAGTTCTGACTTATATGTCCAGAACCGTGATGTCCTCGTTTGACAGCTTCCTTTTCCTCCTTACACTTAATATTACTTTGATTTGTGCCTTCTAATCTTATTGTCTTATCACTTGTAGGATCACGCTATCACACGAACTATAATGGCTTAGCATGCCACCACCTGCTGGCACCTGGGATCTGGGCTTCCAGATCCCATCTGTCACATGGGCATTGCATATAAGACCCCTTCTCTTCCATCCCATGTATCTAGATTCCTCTCTTTTCTTCCCCATCTTTAAAATCTTATTATATACATCAGAACCTTTTGGAGCTTCGGCCCTTAATTCTATGTGCCGTGACACGAACGAGGTGCGCCTTAAATAGGTGTCATGGCTTAGTCCATGCGCACGCCAAGGCGCCTCCTGATTGGCTGCATTGATGTATTTAACCATATGTCACGGCGGTGGCAGACCACTACACTAACCAGGCCATGTTCCTACAAAAGGATACAAGTAACCGAAGCTGGCAATTCGGTCGCTCAAGTGGTCTTATATAGTTTGTCCCGGAAGAGGCACCCGAGTGCATTCCGTGACACTTGGAATCTTTTCATTACGCGATTCTATGGATTAATTGCGTTTACGATGGTGTTTATGGCACCTATTATACAAGATTCGCAGTGCTGATTTGCGTGTTCGGGATCCGAGTCCCGCTATCTGTACCACGGGGGACTTGATTAAGAACAAAAACTGGCAGAAAAAAATAATAATATAACTACGGTTGATACATTATCCTGGCTGCCTTATCGTCAACCTTCACAAACCCGAAACAGATCCCTGGCTACCCGTTGCAGGAACTTGTAAAGTCACTACATTGCGTAACAGCTAAGTCACCTTACTGTGACGGCGCGAGGCCTTGGCACATACAAAGACTGAGCGAGGCACAGGTTGAATCGAAGATACTGAATTGAAGAAGCAGAAAGGCCTAACTAGGAAGGTGAACGAGAGGGAGAGGTTTTATACCCACGACCCTATGGAGCCACGAGTGCAAGTCCAAGTGGATCCATATAATGTAATGTGCCATGAGCACCCTGACGGCCATGCCGTCACACTTAAACGCAATTCCAACTTTAGGTTCAGCCTTCCATCGATTCAGATGGCGTAGTTCTCGTAGGGGCTCTGCGTATCTTATCTCGTAAGTTATTCAAATTTTTGAGCGTCTCCTCTTCAACGACGTCTTAGTTGCGGCTGATGAACCCAATTGAAGCGGAGCTTCAACTATCGTGGAGGTAATTTCATCTGCCGAAGAATAATTGAACGACGATTCGATTTCTTATGATGAACCTAGTTGTAAATGTTAGCAAACTTAACTATTAGTTCTTGCAGGGAGAGGCTACCTTTTACAAATTGTAAAGATGCTATATTCTTTACAACAAGGAGAGATTTCGCGTGGGACGAGCCTAAGGCTGCTGAATAACCAGACAGCGCCCGCTGATACATCACTTCAGCCTCGTTCAGCCGGCCCTGAGTCTTATAGAGGTTGCCCAAGTTGTGAACTGTACGGAGAGTCGACGTATGATCTGGTCCGAGCGCCTTCTCCTTGCCTTCTAGCGCCCGCTGATACATCGTTTCAGCCTCCTTTAGCCGGCCCTGAGTCTTATAGAGAAGGCCCAAGTTGTTAACTGTATCGAGAGTCGACGTATGGTCCGGTCCAAGCGCCTTCTCGTAGCCTTCTAGCGCTCGCTGATACATCGTTTCAGCCTCCTCTAGCCGGCCCTGATCCGAGTAGAGGTTGCCCAAGCTATATGTTGCATGACCGATGGTAATGTCTTCAATATTGCACTCTCCTCCTTCTAATTCTCCCATCCACCATAAGCACCTCTCCGCATGAGGGAGAAGCCGTTGCTGGAGTACCCAATAATTCTTAGTCGTATGGTGGGGCACCGAAAATCCTATCAACATTACCGCTAGCCGTAGAAACACTCTCTTCCCAGCGTCATCTTGTATATGCGATATCCATCTATGCACTACCGGATGCATGCTATAGCTGCTTTGTGTGACGGCCTAGTCTGCCACCGCCGTGACACTTTGCTCGGACTCTCGGGCCTCGATCATAGAGTAGCGGAGCAGTAGTATCGCTATATTGAGAAACTTAACCTCGTTGCATGCTATATCGCGGAGCCATTTGGGCCACTGCTCCTGGTCATTTCTGGCCACTTGCAGTAGACTGTGCCTGTAGGAATAGTAAATCAGCAGTTGAAACTAGGAGAGTTGCTCGACGGACGAGAACTACTTACTATAAGTAACTAACAAAATTCGTAGCGTATATGTCGGTGGGTTTAATTAGGAGCCTTGAAGGTAGTTGCTGTTGTTGTTTTTGTTTCAAGGCGCTGCCTTTGCTTGGATTACAAACCCCGCACGCTGCGCATTTTGTCTGCGTTGGTACGTGGAGAACAGGAGCCAACCGCGTATAATTCGAAGCATCGTCATTGGCAGTGTTAGTCGCGCGATACTTAGCCACAGCCTTGCCGGAGGTAAGGTGGGAATTCAGGACGAGCGTATGGGAAATATATGGATGCTATTGTCTGGATAGGTAGAGAAAGGGAATTGGGCTGGGAAGGAGAAATGCCAAGCCTGCCCTGGAAGAGTTGTAGTACGAACTTGAGCGAAGGCCAGTTAGTATCTTCCCTGGGTCATTGCACTGTGAGAAAACCACGTAAGCGTCGAGTCGCCCTACTTACCCGGTGCTACGTAGCAGGGTACATGCCGACAAGACGTCAGCAGGTTAGAAGTGGGCAAATGTCGGCCGTTTTTGGCGTCGTGCTGTACCTTTAATATTTCTCAAGTATAGCTGATTCGTGCCCAAACACTTTAAAAGAGTGCAGAGCGGACGCCAATTTCGCTCCTAGCTGTAACGAACTAGGTTTAGGAAAATCTAGAAATGAGTTTGAGCATTGAAGGCTGAAAGTCGAAGGCTTGAAGTAGCCCAAGTATGAGAACCGTTCCGAATTGTACTAGCGTAAGAAGATTCCAAAGGAGAAAGACACTCAACATCTGCAGTACGACTGACTCGGGGAAGATTGTTATTAACAAAAGATTCTGAAAGGGAAGAGTCAACTTTCGTAATTTCTTCCACTTGGTACTTCTTCAGGGCGGGTTCCTCGTACAGCGAAGCCTCCTTTCTTCATTTCTCCAGTCTTGCAAATCCACGATTCCCTGCCACACGTCAAACTCCGCATCCACGACATAATATTGACCATCTAGGACACGAAAAGATCGACCGAAAGCTTGAGCACAAGGCAAGGCATTATTACTAGAGCCTTCCGTGCCTGCTAGAATATACGAGAAGGTTCTATCACTTTTTACTGCTACGAATACATTCTGTGTGATATTGTATCGGTGGGCTGGAAAAGGCGACAACGAAAAAGAGCTTGATTGTTATCTAACGGAAGAGGAGAAACGGAAATCAGGGCAGCCTAAATACCTGGAAGGGAGTGCCGGTGAATGGGCGGCCCAGTGCCATTCACTGGGCAACCTGGGCACGGACTTCCAACATATTGCCATTGCGGTCCCTCCAGTATTACTATTGAAATATACAACGACCAGGGGGCTCCCAATACGATAGGAAGCAATAGGGAGTAAACAATAAAGATTGGGGAGTAAACCAAGATCAATTCTTGCAGGAGGAAAGATTGTGAAAGGCTGACTCGAGGTAGAATTGTCTTTCAAGCCTGCCTCTTAGGATGCAAGGCTGAGTAGCTTAACAACCGCTCCATGGCTATAGTATACCGCCATATGTGTCTTTGCCATCCACTCGTCCACAGGGGCAGCCAGTCGATCGAAGACCGGAACCCATTACTAGAAGTCACAAAGCGGAACTTTATTGAGGCATCCTCTAAGCTTCTAAGGGTAAGCTATCGATAATCAGGAAGAAGTACAGAGTCCGCCCTCGGCTGCGAAAATGACGACGCTACTATAAGTATGTTGGCTCTCCCAAGTACTAAACTTGAATCACTGACAAAGTTAAAACCCGTGTCATATTAACGAGAAATCTTCACATGGATGGCTCCGAATAACAAACCATATCCAAAATGTCATCCATCCCATCTTAGTAATCCTTTCTAATCCTTCCCCAAACCAGTTCATCCCAACATCATCGATCTCTGGCTTTCGTCCGAATCGGTGATCAAACCCCTGCACGCCAAGAGGACGAATGACATCATCCCGAGCGTGCCGCCCAGTCCAGACGGCGGGGGCCGCAAGGGGTCGCTGCCCGGACCCAATTGGCCGGGACCGGGACAGGACTCAAAGTGGAGCCCGGGTCTTTCACCCTTTTCTCAATCGGGCGTGGCACAATGGCAAATGGACATCGAGTGGAACGGGCAAGCCCGGAGGATGTGATGGCCTTGATGAGCTTGGTAATGGTGATTTTGGGTGATGCACACTGGGATTACAGCTTGGTGTCTTAGATTTGTAAGGCGCGGGAACAATTGCTGTGGAGGTGCTGGAAAGGCGACGGAATGCACTGATTTACATGTTTGTAGTGTAGATCATTTTGGATTTTGGGAGTTGAGCTCGTTGGGGTACAATTGGAGATGATAGGCAGGCTGAGTAGGTCTAGTGGAGTTAAAGGGCTAAATTGCACATGGGCAGCTTTGGACACTGCTTCGCTTCCGAGCAGCTTTCTAGTCGTGTTCATACTTTACTTGCATAAAGAGGAGAGTTCGCATGTTCAATTGCCGTTGAAGTCATCATGAACCGAAAACGTTTGATAAAGATATCGTATTGATAGTATAAGAGACATTACTGATCCTCCAAAAGAAGCGCCAAATATGTGCCTTGACCTATTTACCCCCTGAAAACTTTGTTCCTAAGCTCATAAAACCCATTCCATAGGTTTGCAACTCATACTCATTATGTCTGTTCCTGCCAGCCTGATGAGATGGCCATGCCCTTTCAGCACGCGAAGCATCAATTTGATGTCGCATCTCCTTTGGAAGTTTGACCATCATCATAAACTGTCTGGATTTAGACGGCGATCCCCTCGTACTTCTGGATAGCAATATCGAGAGTGTTGCCAAGGCTGTTGGCTTCGGAAGTAAAATCCTGAGGCGTAGACTCGCAGAGGTTGATGAGGGTGATACTGATATTCTACAAGTGATAGGATATGATCCCGGAACTGCTCCTCGCAGTAACCGTCAGCCTCGCCGGACCGCTGGCTACCATGGTGCTGCTCTGGGGGTGGTGGAGACTAGGCAGGAGTTTCTCCATGAGTCCGCTGGAACTCGCCAATGCGTTCAGTTCTCCTCCCGAAAAAGGGCCCTACGGAAAGTCATCGCTAACACTGTTATCGGACTCGAAAAGTGACCTGGGTTACAATGACGACGGCGGCGTTAGTACTATGCAACAGGAGAACGAAGCAGGTGGAATGGATGGTCTCTTTGTAGGTTGCAACAGTAACGCTTCAGCTGGTGAACTGGCTGATCACTTCCGCTACAAAGGGAAGGGCTCCGGAGGAGGAGGAGGAGAACCAAAGATACAGTATGGTGCTGTGGACGGCGGAGGCGGTCGTTTTTCTTTTACTGTTGTAGAGGGCTTGTAGATGGGCGCTGCTGCTCATCAGCCGAAGGAAGGGAGTTTGTTGCAGTGAGGTTAGGGGCTGTGTAGGAAGGGAGCGTTTTCAATGCTTGCATTCTTATAACTACAAAAAACTGGTTCTGATAGTCCGTAATCCTACTCGTTGAACTTGGATTTTGTACCAAAAAGCACGCTGGTAAGATGCTTCCGCTTGTCAGGAGAGACACTGGCTACCGACCCAGAGGATCTGCTTTACCAAGTTGCTTCAAATTACCACGTGATTCTGCAAGACTTTGGGATGGTTTATCTTCCCTATCTGTCGGGGGAATCGCATGTGTACCTTCTTCTTCCATTTGGCACGTCTCCAAGCGGCTGCCTAGCCTGTTACAGGAACAATTGGGAAATAATTTGGACTCGAGCGGACATGTGAAGGGCTGGTGTGTTAAGTCGACAGACACGATTTATACCCACTGGGTTTGGCTCAACACGCACTGGACCGGAACGTGTTCGATAGCAGACCTTCCTGAGTAGTTTCCTGTCTTCCCTCTCTTTGCTGAACAAGAGTATCAAGTGCCTCATGGAGGTAACTCCTCCTCTTCCTGGATAAAGGGCAGACCCTTGTATGATACTTCTTTTTTTAGGGAAGAAAAAACGCAATACCATACATCATCATTTGCGGGCATATGGCATGCAGTAGACGCCGAGCCGCATATGTCCGGACACTCAACCGGAACATCGCCTTCCACGGCCGGCATAAAAATGAAAATATCTTGTTTCAAATCTTTAAAGCCATATATATCATTCCCGTTGCATGTTAATTATTATGGTAGATGGTCACGGCTCGAGATGCTGACGAATTTGACAGGTTTGAAGGACTTGGATCCATCTTGGTGAGGGCCTGTGTTCTGAGATTTTTGCGTTCACGGTTGTATCCTTAAGGCAAGTTGAGCAAAATATCAGAAGTGACCCGTAACAGCTTTAGTTCTCAGCATATCCGCATGATACAGGGTGTGGCTGTCGACTTTGCAAGTGATAATTTTTCTGTTCAAAAAAGAGAAAAGATAGTGTGAAAAGGAGCATAGGGTGACTATGTTCGTTTTGCATCTCGACAATGCCTTTCATTGTTTATAATGATTTCAATTGAACAAAATTGACACATACGATCATAGATGGTAGAAAACTCGGGATCCCGTCCGCTCTCCCATAGATAAGCTACCCCTCAATAAGACTATCTATGGGAGTGGGAAGGACATGAAACGGGTCTTTTAATCACGTGGTAGGGTCAAAAAACTGAACAACCTCCTCCCATATCCATATCGTTCGGACGGAGGCATTACGGTGAGTGGGGAGCCAGCGCTAAAACGATTGATATAATTGGGCAGATTACGAGAAAAGTTGACCGTCCTGACATTGCGGCTAGATCTTTTACACAGGTAACCCCAAGATTGCACTCGGTCAGAAGACCATTCCTGATTGGTTCCTAGTGGGCTCTACTACAATTTGCAAGTTCCACTCGGATTTACAGCCCTACCCGCGCCACGCCCGCTGCTTGGTACACTATTGCCAATCCTGTAGACCCCGTGACAGAAAGCCACGACCTTCGCCCAAGTCGAGTTATTGATTAGCGCCCTAAAGTCTCTGGGTCCAGAATGCCCAGCCTTTAAAAAGGAATGTCCTTTGGGCCATTGGCGTGTAGTTAGGAGGGAGCCGCCAGCCATCCTACGCCTGACATGGTGAAACAAAAACAGACTCAACATGATGCCTCATGCTCCACCATAGCCTTGAGAAAACATAGCGCTCTAGTTTCTTTTTATTTTGTCCTTAGGGCCAGGAAAGAGGAATCTCCAGCATTTTTACAAACTCAATCCATTGATCGTCAACTGTATAGCATTCACTGCCTCCAGAATAACACGATCATCCTCGAGTGCCTCATCTACGTCGCCTCGCTCAAGACCTTCGTTCCCTAAAGCTACGATGTCTCAACGATTGCACAATACAGAGGATTGGGGAGACGATAAGGGCCAAGAGCAGTCTCGCCCTGCACCTCTGCAACAAATCCCCCCTGCCACCGCTATGTCCGCTACCCGTACGCCCGCTCCCCGGCTCCCAGCCGCTCCAGCTACCAGTTCCGCCGATACAGAGACGTCCGCCGGCGCTCAAAGCCTGAAGCAGGTGGAAGTAGGCTTACTCTTTTTCTCCCTACGACATTTCAGAATAATGCTAACACCTGTAAAGAATCCGTATTACAACGTTCCCATGTCACGTGGCCATATTCGCTTGCTTCAACTATTGCCGCATGAAAACGAGAACGCCGCAATACACTGTCGGCTCTTCTCCACCGCATTGGACTCAAAATGTGATGGCGCTGGCCGTTACACAAAAGGCACTCGTCCGTACGAGGCTTTATCCTACGTGTGGGGCTCCGAGGACAAGCCTTGTTCCATCTTTATAAACGGGTGCAACTTGGCCGTTGGGAAAAACCTTCACGCAGCGCTGTTACATCTTCGAGATCACTCCATTGAACGAACTATATGGATAGATGCCATTTGTATCAACCAAGAAGACGAAGAAGAAAAAGGACACCAAGTTCAATCTATGGCGAAGATCTACGCTAAAGCAAGTCGTGTAATTATTTGGCTTGGAGAGGAGGCAGCCGGTAGCGACCAAGCGCTCGAAGAAATACGCATCACAGCCGAGCTATCTACAAGACGATTAGACAATAAAGCTGGAATCCTTACACTGCTTGAACGACCGTGGTTTCAGCGCATCTGGGTAAGGGAACCGATGTCAAAGTATTATGACTAAGGAAACTGACAGATTGATGCAGGTGCTTCAGGAAGTTGCCGCGGCTCGCCATATCCTGATCAAGTGTGGTTCTGCTGAGGTTGACGGATCTGCATTCTGCTTAGGCCTAGATGCATTGAACCTGTCCAACGAACTCCCCGCAGACCTGCGGGCTCGAATCCTTTCGGTAACCTACCTTATAAGGGGCGCAATCTTCCGGTCAAAATACGCGACCAGTCAGTCAGACAACTTTTCTCTTGACATACGCCCTCTGGGTGAACTGATAGAGATGTACCACACCCGTGGAGCTACGGATCGTCGCGATAAAGTATATGCCTTACTCGGTATGAGCTCTGATAATCCAACCGCAGCAGGATTATTCGCCGACTACGATATTTCGTGGAAACAACTCTTCAACAAACTCATCCACTTCTTCTTATCTGAATTGGTCTCTGTAGCAGGCCTTTCGGACGATAAGGAGAATGCCGTCATTGAGGGCAAGGGCTGCATTCTTGGCGAAGTGTCCTCGGTCAAGAGAAATGCTATTTGGGAAGACAGACAAGATGTGGCCATTACTTGGAGTAATGCCCCCAGCGATATTTGCGTGAAGGAAGCATGGGGCTTTTGCTGGACCCTCCCGACCACGGTAAAATCCGTCCAAAAAGGAGATGTCGTCTGCCTTCTTCAAGGAGCGTCGAGACCCACGATCCTCAGGCCATACAACGATCACTGGGCGGTTATCATGATTGCAGTTTCCCCAGCAGGCGATCCACAAGCTACGACCGAAGATATCAAGTGGTCAGAACTTTTACAATCGATAACAGTCTTTCCACACAATTTTCTACTTATCTGGGATTGGGATATGGATCCAAACAAGCAGCAAGATAAAAACAACCACGACTACTTTGCAAGCATTCCAGAGCATTCAAAGACAGGGTTGGAAGGTTGTCTAAATGCGGCGACTAGGATACGGAATGTCAGATTGGTATTACAAGAGGTGAAACAGTATGGAGTTGCAGTGAAGAATCTTCGGGAAGAAACGGCGGTTCTTGAGAGAGCATTGAAGAGTATGAGAAACCTAAAAAAGACTTGCCCAGGTCCCGAGGATTTAGAAAAGGAAGATGCAAAGGAAACAATGGTGAATCAGCTTATTGAGGACAAGGGCCAATGGACGCTTCTATGCTTGGCGGCAGAAAACGCGCATGAGACGGTCGTAAAGTTGCTTCTCGATAGTGGCAAGGTCAACTTGCAGAGGGAGGAGCTACGGACGGCGCTGTGGCTTGTGGCGCAAAAAGACTATAAAGCGATCGTTAAGATGCTTCTCGATACTGGCAAGGTTGATGCAGGTGCTAAGGATGAGAATAGACAGATAGCGCTGCATATGGCGGCAGAGAATGGGCATGAGGCGGTTGTTAAGCTGCTTCTCGATACTGGCAAGGTTGACGCAGGTGCTAAGGACCGGGGTAAACGGACAGCGCTGCATAAGGCGGCAGAGAATGGGCATGAGGCGGTTGTTAAGCTGCTTCTCGATACTGGCAAGGTTGACGCAGGTATTAAAGATAAGGATGGAGAGACAGCGCTGCATAAGGCGGCAGAGAATGGGCATGAGGCGGTTGTTAAGCTGCTTCTCGATACTGGCAAGGTTGACGCAAATGCTCAGGACTGGTATAAACGGACAGCGCTGCATATGGCGGCAGAGAATAGGCATGAGGCGGTTGTTAAGCTGCTTCTCGATACTGGCAAGGTTGACGCAGGTGCTAAGGACCGGGGTAAACGGACAGCGCTGCATAAGGCGGCAGAGAATGGGCATGAGGCGGTTGTTAAGCTGCTTCTCGATACTGGCAAGGTTGACGCAAATGCTCAGGACTGGTATAAACGGACAGCGCTGCATATGGCGGCAGAGAATAGGCATGAGGCGGTTGTTAAGCTGCTTCTCGATACTGGCAAGGTTGACGCAGGTGCTAAGGACCGGGGTAAACGGACAGCGCTGCATAAGGCGGCAGAGAATGGGCATGAGGCGGTTGTTAAGCTGCTTCTCGATACTGGCAAGGTTGACGCAGGTATTAAAGATAAGGATGGAGAGACAGCGCTGCATAGGGCGGCGAAGAAGGGGTATAAGGCGGTTGTTAAGCTACTCCGCCTTGCATCCTAAGAGGCAGGCTTGGAGGATGCCACTGAGGTAACGTTGAAGCTATGGCCTTTTAGGGTCTGGAGGCAGCTCCCCGACGCCGGATCCCAGATCTTGATCGTGTGGTCCCACGAACCGGACGCAAGCCGCTGGCCATCAGGCGAGAATGCTACTGAGGCAACGAGATCACTATGGCCTTCTAGGGTCTGGAGGCAACTCCCCGACGCCGGATCCCAGATCTTGATCGTTTTGTCCCACGAACCGGACGCAAGCCGCTGGTCATCAGGCGAGAATGCTACTGAGGCAACGACCCTGCTATGGCCTTCTAGGGTCTGGAGGCAGCTCCCCGACGCCGGATCCCAGATCTTGATCGTATTGTCCGACGACCCGGACGCAAGCCGCTGGCCATCAGGCGAAAATGCCACTGAGCGAACGGGCCCGCTATGGCCTTCTAGGGTCTGGAGGCATGCATTCCAATCCAATTCTACAGCCGGCTTAGTTCGAATCCATTCAGGTTCTTCTGCCCTGAAATTCCTCTTTATCAAGCTACCGTTTGGAGCAAATACAAGCGCTGATATATATGCTTGAAGTGGAGCTTGCTCTATTATTGACTTATAAGACAGAGCAAACCGGTAAGCATCCCAAACAAGCTTTGATAACTGCGACTGATCATTACCTCTCTATATCTTTAGTTAGACCAAGTTCCTAGTGCGGAGTTAGTCTCATACTTACTAGTAGGCCCTCGAGCTTTCTAATAGCAACAACGCCCGCAGGCATAGCTTGGAGTAGACTTAGAGCTTCCAGCCAGTAAAGGTACTTCGTCTGGAGGAATGTATAGACAACCCCGTTGTCCTGTAAAAGATCATTCCGGTTTATGTTCGTGCCAGAAACCGAGTCACATAAGTGATCAACCCAGTAGACGCACGAGTACCGCACCGTCGCTAGCGGGTCCGGATTCGGTACTTGGACCTTGTCGCTCGGAAATCCCGGTGCCCTTAAGCTGTATATGTCGCGTCGCAGTGTTGCAGACATGGCATCAAGTGACCTCGAGAAGATGGTATAGTTCACATCTTCTTTCCCAGAAGGAAAAATCCACTTGAACGCCTCCTGAGAAGCTTGGTTGACAGCTTTATCAGAGGCATTGCCAAGTAAAAAGTCCTTAGCTGATTGATGGATAAAATAGATGGTTCGTTCTCGTAGTGTTAGAAATGAACTACAAAGCCCTATAGTTGTTTCTAAAGACTCGAAATCGTCGCAAGTGTCATCAAGTTCGTCGGCGAGAGTGGTTAGTTCTTCAAGGCTGATTGGCCGGCGAACAATTGTAACAATAGCAAGAAGGTGCTTGCAAAGATCGGATTCATCGAGCTGGCTCATATCCTCTCTCATCCGCGCATATAGAGCATCCAGCCCAGATGGAAACATGCGTAGCTTTTTTAGAGTAAACCCTTTCTGGACCTTTTCAAGCGCTTGACAGACTAACGCCACCCAAAGGAACGTATCTTGCGCATTGGAGCACAGGTAGTCCTGAACGGTCTTTTTTGTCCTTGGATCATACTTCTTTAGCCCTGCTAGGTCATCCACCTTGTGCAGGATAAATGCATTGACAGCCGCTGCGACGGATTCCGCATTTAGCTCCAGGGAAACCTTCACTTTATCTGCGGCTTTCTCAACCGTTCCTCAATTTGCGGCCAATTACGGCTTGAGACGATCCACTTGACTCGAGATCCAGATGATGATTGCTGAGCAATTAAATCGAGAAGCTGTGGCAGGTCTGTTTTAACGCACTCGTCAAGCGCGTCAATGACTAGGTAGGTCGTTCGGAGGCTTGGGTCTCGTAGGATGTTGGTGAAGATTCTCGACAGGGCGTCCCACGTATTTGCATCTTTGAAGAGGCCTTCGCCTGCACGGTCATACTCACTCCGCACGTGTGAGAGGATAGATGGCTGCTGGTCGATAAGTAGATAGATTAGGCCGCGCAGTACGGCGGTTGCATTGTTGAGGCGAGAGTCGGTAGCTTGGCAGAAGAAGTAGGCCACATTGCAGTGGCGCGCGTTGGCAGTATTGTCTTGATCTAGCTCATTGATGATGCCGCACAGCAACATAGTCTTCCCTTTGCCGGGGTCGCCCTTGATCCAGAGCAGTCGGTGCTGTGGGTCATCACGCCATTGTTGAAAGTCAGCGTTATTGAGGACCCAACGATACGAGTCCTGCAAAAGGCCGCCTTTGGTCCGTTCGATGCGGACTTTATCATCGCGAGGATCGGTAAGGCGCAAGTGCTTCAGGCATTGCTGGTCCTTCTCTGACATGTGCTGTATAACGAGCTGGTTAAGATGAGACGTCACTTGCTGAGCAGTGTATGTCTGGGTGTCGTCTCGGAAGCACTTTTCGGCGTTTTGGATAGCCCCCAAGTCAGCATTCCAGTCGTCAATCTTGACTATATCCCGGAGAAGGGCTAGGCCGCGGTTGCGATAGCAAGCACAAACACTCTTAATCTGATAGGAGAGGAGCACTTTATAGAGGTCAATAATTTGGATCTCCAATTCGCCTCTCACTCTAGAAAGTTCGCCGATATGGGCGGTAGGATCCTTGAGAAGGATATTCAACAGGTTCCAGTACCAGTTCATTCTCTTAACAACGTAGTCGATCCCTTTGCGGTTGGCTTCGGTCGCGGTTACAGGATTGATAAACATCTATAGAAGTTAGTATGTGAAGTATCGCGCTCTAAATAGACGTACCTCTAAAGCAATACAAATGCCAGTCCAGGCGAGCGCGGCTTGGGGCACGGCCTGGGTTGCCGCATTTATAATGTTCTTTGCGGATAGAACAATATCCATGGCTATACCAAGGCTTTCTTTCACCTTAGCTTTTTTCTCAGTCTTAGCTAGGCCAGCATTGATAAGCTGATTCATTTGACGGCGCCTGTCCGAGTTGTTTTGGGCAATGATGTTCGGCTGGGATTCGGGCACTGTTAAGTCGGGGCTAGCCTGCAGCTGTCGGGACAGTATCTTCTCGTATACGTCCACCAATCTGGCCTCTTCTTGTTTGAGGTCATTGTAGGCACGGTCCCAGAGTCGTACGGGTAAGCTGGTAGTAATGTCATCTGCATTGGTGGGCGTCTCTATGTTGGCGGAACTAGTAGCTGGAGCGGCTGGGAGGCGGGTAGTGGTATTATCCGCGCCGGCGAACGTCTCTATGTCAGTGGAGCCGGTAGCCGAAGCGGCTGGGAGCCGGGACGCGGATATAGAGGTGGCGGCGAAGATTTTTTGCAGAGGTGCAGGGCGAGACTGCTCTTGGTCCGTAGAACCTTCCCGATCCTGCGCATTTCCGTATCGCTTGAGACGCGTCTGGAACCGCGAGCGCAGTCGTCGAAGCATCGTAGCGTTGGGGAAGGAACGTCTTAACTGAGGTAGATGAGGCACTCGAGGATGATCGTGTTGTCTTGGAGGTGGCGAATGCTATGGTTGATGATCAATGGATTGAGTTTAGGGAAGTGCCGGGAATTTCTCTATCCTGCCACTAAGGACACAATAAGGAAAACAAACTAGAGCCCTATGTTTTCTTGAGGCTATGATGGAGCATGAGACTCTCTGTGTTGTCACCAAGTGCGAGATGGCTGGCGGCTTCCTCCCAATTACAGGCCAATCACCCAAAGGACATTTCTTTTCTAGAGGCCGGGCATTCTGGACCTAGAGACTTCAAGGCGCCAATCAATAACTCGACTTGGGCGAGGGTCGTGGCTTTCTGTCACGGGGTCTACAGGGTTGGCAATAGTGTACCAGCAGCGGCCTGGTAGCTTGCACCACTTATGGGGCCGTGGCGCGGGTAGGGCTCAGCTTTTCAGCTTTTCCCGAATGTCACGAGCGACGTGGTCACGAGAGACAAAGCTGAACACGTTGATTCCAGGTCTATAGTAGAATCACAAGATAAAGAAGAAAAAGAGGGAAACGTGCAAAGGCGCGCCTGGCGCCCAGGGTTTCAACCCAGGGCCCAGATGGCCGGTGCACGCGACACGACATCACGTGCACGTCCCGCCGTGCCGGGACCCATCCGCCAGTTGTTGTTTTTGTTGTTGTTATTTTTAACGTCTACTTCCGCCTCCCGTAGGGCATGAGACGTGCCACATCGGTGAATCTAGCGTACAAAAATAGGAGCAGCGCCCTAACTGTCCACCAAAACCATTAATCCGAGGGCAACCCGAGGCCTATTGCCAGTGTACATCACGTGTTGCCCATAGCGTAAACGCGGCCCAACACCTCCAATCGAAACGCCCAGTGAGCGAGCCGCCAGTATATGGCGGAACCTGTAGAACAAAGGAAAAGACAAAAGAAAGGGAAAAACAAAAACACTCTACTCCTCTCCGCTCTCTCCCTCGTTGTCGTCCCGCACGGCTTCCTCCCGCCGTCTAACCCGATGGACCAGCCTGTCCAAATCCGCCGTAACCTCCTGGATCTCGTGGCTTTGGCCAACTTCTATCCCTTCGTCCCGTAGGAACCCGGTAAGGTTGTCAGCGGTGCCTCCATTGTCAATGTGCTGTTGCCAGAGTGTCTGGCGCCAAGCCTTCCTTGTGCAAGTCCACGAAAAGAAGTGGGAGGTCTGTATTCTGGCAATAAATCGTTGCCAATATATGCCGATAGCAAGGGAGAGATTCTCCCGCGTAGCCGCCTCGCCTGTGACTGGGGAGACCGCGTACGCCTTCCTACAGAAGAAGGGATGGAAGGGAGGGAAAAGTTTATGCCGTTGGTGGGGAATACCCGGATATAGAGAAGCGAAGAATGTCCGATGTGTTGTTGATTTGAAATCGTGGTGGAGCCTATAGTACCGATGGTACAACCCCTTTCCACTCCACCGGTTTCGTGCAGACACTGATAGAGTATATAGAGGGAACCCATCTCTGGTATACGACTCTCCATGAAAATTCTCAGATACTTACCTCAAGCACACTTGTTCTCATCTCTCAGAGACTACACATTACAACCTCACTCGTTATACCCAAACCCTCTTCTCTAGATAGAGCCGTTAAAAACTCCCAGTCAACAACCCCTGGAACCACGAAGAAACACTATCCACAATGGCCGCCGCTGCTGAGTCCCGGCTCTTCCAGCCACTCAAACTCACCCCCAGAATCACCCTTGCCCACCGTCTTGCCATGGCCCCCCTGACCCGTTTCCGCTCTGACGACGAGCACGTCCCCATCGTCCCGCTCATGGCCACCTACTACTCGCAACGTGCCTCCGTCCCGGGCACCCTGCTCGTCACTGAAGCAACCTTCATCTCCCCCGCGGCAGGCGGCTACGCCAACGTCCCGGGTATTTACAACGCCGCGCAGATCGCCGCCTGGAAGAAGATCACCGACGCCGTGCACGCCAAAGGCAGCTTCATTTTTTGTCAGTTGTGGTCGCTCGGGCGGGCTGCTAACCCCGAGGTGCTGGCTAAGGAGGGGGGGTTCAAGCTCAAGAGCTCGAGTGCCGTGCCCATGGAGGAAGGGGCTCCAGTGCCCGAGGAGATGACGGTGGCCGAGGTCAGGGAGCGGGTGGCAGAGTATGCGGCCGCGGCGAAGAACGCAATTGAGGCTGGGTTCGATGGCGTCGAAATCCATGGCGCGAACGGGTACCTGATTGATCAGTTCCTTCAGGACAGGTGCAACCAGCGGACGGATGAATACGGTGGCAGCGTAGAGAATCGGTCGCGGTTCGCGCTCGAGGTGGTCAAGGCTGTGGTGGAGGCTGTTGGCGCCGAGAGGACGGGCATCCGGCTCAGTCCGTTCAGCACGTTCCAGGGGATGAAGATGAAGGATCCGGTGCCGCAGTTTGAGGATGTGATTCGGAAGATCAGCGGGTTTGGACTGGCGTACCTGCATCTTACACAATCGCGAGTTGCCGGGAATGTGGATGTTCAGTTCGGGGAGGATGAGGAGAGCTTGGCTTTTGCGGCGAAGCTGTGGGATCGGCCGTTACTGATCGCCGGCGGGCTTACGGCCGAGACGGCGAAGCATTTGGTTGAGCACGAGTTCAGGGAGAAGGACGTGGTTGCTACGTTCGGGCGACACTTCATCTCGACACCGGACCTGGCGTTTAGGATCAAGGAGGGCATCGAGTTGAACCAGTATAACAGGGATACGTTCTATCTGGCCAAGTCGCCGGTTGGGTATATCGACCAGCCGTTCAGCAAGGAGTTCGAGTCGTTGTACGGGGCACAGGCGTTGAACTAGAGCAGGACATATCGACGACAGGGCGGATATAGACTAGGTATTTAAGGTGGAGGTGGCCTGGCTGAACAGGAAGGAATCGAGCGATATAGAATTCCCTGTTTGTCGATCGCTTGGCTTTTTGGCTCCGTGTCAGGTATATTACCCTTCCATTGTGCCCGAACGGCCGCCATATTAGGAGTCCAGTCTTTCTTATCCAATGGCGATTTCCCTCCCAGATAGAAGGAAATGTTGCCTCTGTGTACATCTATGCATTCAAGCATCTCCGTTCTGTATGCTATCCATTTCTGGGTACTTTAGCTTGTCGAAGAAGTGGTGGAATTATACGGAAGTCACGACCGAAGTGTCCGCGGAGCACCGAAGAGCAAAGTGGGGTAAGGAAAGAGCCACTCGACTACATTAACTCCTACCTTTGGTGAAAATCGGAAAGGGCTACCTGACTGCCGGTGTCTATCCCCGCAGCGTCTGACGAGCCGGATGCAGCATGGCTTGCTCATGTGAGGGGTAGAGCTGCGTGCTGACAGTTCGTATTGTATAAACTGAGATATCGATTACGCAACTCGCTCCTTGAGGCTGGCTGAAGAGAGTTTGAGTGGTTGAGCGGTTGAACGTGTCACTTTTCAGCTCAGGTAACTGCGATGCAACTACTACAGCCCGATTTGATCCAGGCGCTCTCGTGACCACCCTGTGCAAGTACGTCGTCCAACAGACTCTTCCACTCTTGTATGTCCTCGATGTGAGTTGATCAGAACTTCTCACGAACTGCATCATCTTGTTGTCCGGCTCTGACGTTTCACTCTTCCCGCCAGGCACAATCGTGAACTCATCAACTTCCCTTGGAGCCCGGACGTGGTCAACTATGGCTTCTGGGAGAGAAAGCAGCTCTGTCGAGGGCTTGAAGCCAGCAACACTTTCAGACACTTCGCCCAAGCTCTTCGAAGAGACCATACAAAATGCCACCGCCACCTACCACATTGCTTACAGAGCCGCGACACTGATTCCCGCATCCAAGGCAGCGACCACAATAGCTTACGCCAGTTCTACCGTCTCTTCCGTCCGCGTGGTAGTCCAAGATGGTCGTACAGCGCCGAAAAACATTGTCATTCACGCCGAGGACCTATACATCTACGCTGGAACAGATTTCGATTTCAGAGGGAAGACCGTGACCATCAATGCTAATCGAATTTTCTGCGTTCCCGCTATGTTGCCGCCGCCTGCACCGATGTCTCTTCCACAACTTGGGCCGGCGCTTCCGCCATCGACTGGCATATCTTCAAAGGCAGTGGCTTCAGCTACAGCCTCAGTTTCAGCTCTAGGCACACAACCAAATCACACTCTCCAACTTGCACATGGCCCAGCGGTCACGGTACCCATCATCACCATCAATATCTCTGGCCGTGATTCTGCTGTCCGTCGTTGGCCAGCTGCGGCTCCTGGCACTCCTGGAATCGATTTTGGACTGCTCTGGCGGGAGCCGCAATGGATTATCGCTCGCCCGACTGACTTTGTGCCTCCACCCGCTGTATACCGAAACGGGGTGGATTGGGCAAAGCGGCAGAGGAACGAGGCAATCAAACAGGCCAACATGAGGGCTCAAGTTGCTCGCTTTCCGAGGCGACCGGGCTTTCCCAGGATTTGGGGAACTTGATGCAGTCAGATGTCAGCTGCGCTTCTCTACCTGACGAGCGGGGCAGCCAGTCGAGCAATGCCGGGCAGCAGGTGGTCACTCCAGGTACCTCATTCAGTGAGCCGAAGAGGAGGAAAGGATAAGGCCCGGAAGGGCCGTAATGTGTTGGCGGGTAGATAGCATAGGATTCAATTGACCGTCATCTTCACCTTGGCTACTTCGCTTCTTGCCTTCCATCATTCATAAACCAGGTGCTTTGAGTGATCACCCTAAATGTTCGGGTACCTTCGTTATGGCGGTCCCCCAGTAGACACTTTTACGGTAGTTTTACATGTAACCGAATAGAGGCCTTCAGATTACACTATACAGCAAGAAGAATTAAGATGAGCTTAGCTACTCCATTTCGATACAGCAGTTAAGGACGACAGCGTATAGGGATGCTCGGGCCCGAGGACTCGCTCCCGCGCCTCCACGCAGTCTTGCATCAACGCTAGGGCATCTTCATGTCGACCTTGACTCTTCCACGCGAAAGCAAGGTTGGCCATGCTCGTCAGCGTGTCGGGATGATCGGCCCCGAGCTTCGCCTTGCTCGTCTCCATCACCTGCACCTCCAGCTTCTCGGCCTCCCCCCACCGGCCTTGGTCCCTGTACGTCAACGCCAGGTTGTTCATGCTCGCCAGCGTGTTGGGATGATCGGCCCCGAGCTTCGCCTTGCGAGTCTCCATCACCTGCACCCCCAGCTTCTCGGCCTCGTCCCACCGGCCCTGGTTCATGTACGTCAACGCCAGGTTGGCCATGCTCGTCAGCGTGTCGGGATGATCGGCCCCGAGCTTCGCCTTGCTCATCTCCATCACCTGCACATTCAGCTTCTCGGCCTCGTCCCACCGGCCCTGGTCCCTGTACGTCAACGCCAGGTTGTTCATGCTCGCCAGCGTGTTGGGATGATCGGCCCCGAGCTTCGCCTTGCGAGTCTCCATCACCTGCACCTCCAGCTTCTCGGCCTCGTCCCACCGGCCCTGGTTCCAAAGCGTCGACGCCAGGTTGTTCATGCTCGTCAGCGTCGAGGGATGATCGGCCCCGAGCTTCGCCTTGCTCGTCTCCATCACCTGCACCTCCAGCTTCTCGGCCTCGTCCCACCGGCCCTGGCCCCAAAGCGCCGACGCCAGGTTGGCCATGCTCGTCAGCGTCGAGGGATGATCGGCCCCGAGCTTCGCCTTGCGAGTCTCCATCACCTGCACAAACAGCTTCTCGGCCTCCTTCCATAGTCCTTTATCCAGAAGCACTTCTGCACATAGCGACGTGCTAGCTAATGTTCGCTCGTCTTCTCTTCCCAGGGTTTCCTTGCGGCTTCTCCTCGATTTACGAGCCATTTGCTCTGCCACATCATATCTACCCTGCAATTCTGCATACCATCCGCCATTGTATAACAGCGTTGCCCATGCCTCCTCCAGTTTGCTCTCCACTGGTCGGTAATCTACGGCCCTCTCAACGTGTGGAAAGAGACGCTGACACGTCGCCCAGTTACTGTAGTCTCCGGGTGGGAACAGCGCGGCTATCCGTGACACAAACTGATGCTTAAATTCCTCCTCCCTCCCACAGGCCTCCAGCCACATCCTCGTCGACAGCTGTACGAGGCCGTGCATCTCGAACGTGTCTCCGCTCTCGCTTACAGTTACGAGACAAAAGTTTGTTAGTATTGTTATATTGTCTTCGAATCCGTTGTCCGTCTTGTTGTTGTCTATCTTGTCATCGCTATTGTTGGATCCCAAATCGTGTTGTACATCGGATCTCCTCTCCTGTATTGCCCCGTCCATGTGAGGCGGCCTTAGTAACGACTCCGGAATGCCTTGTCGGTCGAAGAAGCTCATGAGTGAGAGCAGATCTGCCGCCGAAGCTCTCTTAGAGCGGATATGTTCGAAGGATATCTGCCAGGTCGCAAGGATCGCACTCGAAGCCCCTCCCTCTCGCCGAAACTCGCCCTCGTCATGACTTAGAAGCCAGGCTCTCTCGCTTTCGCCCTTGCGGAACTCGGCCAAATACTTTTCGACCGAGCTCCGTGGCGACCTTTTCTGAATGTAGGCCGCCGCCTGGCTAATAGCTAGTGGAACGTATTCCAGCGCCCGTACAAGCTCCTCTGCTGAATCCTTGTCCGAGAGCAAGCTCAATTTCCTCTCCAGGAGCAACAGAGCATCACTCTGCACCATTGGCCCGATCTTGATTATATTCTTGTACCCCCCTACTAGCCTATAAGCTAGATCCTTATCGCGTGTTGTGACAAGAAGAGACCCGTTTGGGCTCTGCGGAAGATAGGCAGCTAGCGGACGTCGTTCAGGGTTACTGCCAGCGCCGAAGAACACGTCGACGTTGTCGGCGCTGTCGAGGATTATGATCCATCGGCGCTTTCGCTCGTTCGACAGCCAGCTATACACAAGCTGCGGTACATCGGCCTTCGGCTGCCTCCGGCCTGGTAGCTTCACGGCATCGGCGATCGCCTTCAACCCTTCCTCGACGCGTACTTGTGTGCCGGCATGGACCCAGAACACCCATCTATCAGGGTCCTTCGCCGCTGTTCGATGCGCGTATTCGATAGCCAGTTGCGACTTGCCCACGCCACCGAGGCCCACTAGGGCCACACGGCCGGCCGGCTCCGAACATCGCTGGTCGATCTGGTCGAGAACGTCTCCGCGGTTGACGAAGTCAGGGTCGCGGGAGAAGGGGACGGTTTCCAGTCGCTCTAAGAACGTCAGCGGGGTGTCCCTCGGCTCGAGCGGCGGTAATCTTACCCGGCGGCAGGTGGAATTGGAAAGATCTATATAAGACTCGGGGTAAAACTGTAATTAAAACCTAGAGAGCGTACCAACTTTCATGCCAAGCTTGTGATGTCGCTTGCTCCGGTCGAAGCAGTTCACTGCTCCCAAATCTTCTCCGCACCACCTCCTGTGAATCCTTCTCGAAGATATTCAGATAACGAATCGCAATCTTGTAAGGACCGGAGTACCTCTCGCTGAATTTCGCAATGTCAGAATGGTCAGCGGGAAAGCCGAACTTCTTCTCTTTGCTGTCTGGCAGCTGGAGCATCGCGGATTCGGATGTCACAGCTGTTCTAAACTGGCCGCTTCTTCCAAATCGCCCTGAGGCCACGTCCTGTGTTGGATGAGTAAGTATAAAGAAGAACGAGACAAGGATCAACAAAGAAACAGAAAAACGGACAAGAAAGAGGAAAGAACAACAGACGAGAGGTATGTTTGCACAAAGGCAATGAGCGGAGGAGAAATTTGGATGGGTTAGAGGGCAAGAGAATAAACCAATTGGGGGTCGAGAAATGGCGCATGAGAAAAAGCCACCCCCTACGCTTCGCAAGTACTCATAGACGCCAGTTGTCACTTACCCGCTCAAGCTCCCTTGTTGGGCCAAGCTCATAGAAACTCACTAACTCATAGTCATGGCAAAGATTCCTGAATCTGTCCAGCTGGGTCTTCAATGATGGCGAATCCACTTGGAGCTGCTTCACAAGTTCCTCCCGTGGATGATTCGGGTGAATAGCTCTAAGCATGTCCAGCATGTCGTCTACCCAGAGTCCCCTATGGGGAACGCCCAGGAAAAAGATGCCGTAGGTGGCTTTGCTCAAAGCTTCCATGTCCGGATTGGTATCACGGGTCAACTTGGCATGGACAAGGGCCTGAAGTAACAGATACGTGCCATGTCAATCCATGTACATGGTAAAAGTTTTTTCAACGGTATGTATGACGAACCTCGGCAAGTATGATGCCCCCAAAGCTGTAACAAATGAACACGATCGGCCTCTGGCGCAACTGCAACATAATTTGGTCAGTGGCAGGGACGAGAAAGAGTGGCATGAGGTGCTTCAGAAAGATGTTTTCCAAGTTCTCACCCCCTCCGAGTCTCTGGCAATGATGATTTCTTCCAAGAAATGGCGTCGGTAGTCCTCTACTTTCTCAACGCCTCGTTTCAAGAGCTGTGAGCTGTATCCGTATGTCATTGTTCGGCAACGGGGCATATCTTCGAACAGAAAGTCACGCAGCCACATCTCGGGGCCAGTTCGACTCCTCCAGGAGCCATATGAGTGTCCACCCAGACCGGTAATGGCGATGATACTGTGTGGATTTTATCCACGTTAGCACGCGCTTGCCCAGCTAGAAGCCGAAAGAACCGGACGCGGTGAGAGCACGACTTACTCGACAGTAACACTCTGATCAGGAGGCGTGGGGTATAGTTGTGTGAGGCCAGCGAAATGCAGATCAAAATAGATAATGATCCTCTTGCCGTTCACCCTCTTCAGAGTTCGTAAGTTGGATTCTCGGTTGTTGAGGACCTCCTTCAAGAACTCGGGTTCTGTTGGTGAAAATTCAACCAGGGCATTGACGGTGTTACTGGAAACAGTACAGGAGGGTATGATCTGAATGTCCGGCTCGATTTGCCCGCGCTCGTGATCCTGAAACTTGTCCTGGATGAACTCGAAGAGAAACGCTTCTGCATCCTGCTGAATTGAGTTTTCGGCATCGCTGTTTGCTGGAATGCCAGAAACCCGGAACACATTCGGTCGACTTAATGACATGGCGACCTGGATACACAGCCAAGTTCCAGACTGAATGTGTTCGAGGCAAGACTGGGACCGGTTACGACAAGGACGAGAGTGGGTGCAGGTTGTCGTCGTGGTGCTACAGGCAAAAGGTAGGTACTGATAGACATAGGGAGTGATGGAATGTCCGCACAGAGCTCATACGACTACCGAGGACGTTTGGTGTTGATGCGGAGCTACAGGAGGGAGCCCCAGCACCGGAGCCGGAGGTTCATGCCCAATGCCGCCGTAAAAGTGGCGTCTGGCCCAAAAGGGCTTGGCCGGCTGACCAACGCCAAGGTAGCCTGCATGAAATAATGTCGAGCCATCCCTCAAGAGAGCTCTGTTGACCAATCATTATTCCACAATGGCGGCTATCAAAAGCTTATTTCACTGCCTCAGAAAGGCGCAACACATTCTCTTCTCTCTCGTTGGATTGGCGATGTCCTTTACATCAAGCCTGATGTCAGCGTGCCACATCAACTTTTCGTCTTTCAAGGATCAAATGTAGCTTTGATGCTGCAATGGAGGACATGCCAAAAAGGCAACCAGAGGGTTCACTTCGGGTACTTTGTTTTGATATCAAGGCTTCCAGCCTCGCTTCGAGCCAAGCCCCATGCAAGTATGCCAGGGGGCGGGGGTGTTGACACGGGCCCCCACCCAGGCTTAAAGCCATACCATACCGTCCGTCCACTCAACCCCCAGCATATGGGGGTAGCGACGGCGAGGTGCTTGGCTTGAAGCCATGCTTGAAGTAGTTGTGATACGCGTGGTGGCCTCTGGGCTTTGCGTGCAGTATTAGCATTCCTTGACATTGCTAGAGTATAACAGATGACAGGCTTGATCTGCTTAGTTCCTCAGGCATGCACTTAAGTCAAGGCAGACAAGTAAAAAGACGGGCTTATAAATAGGGCACGTGCATACTGTGAATGGTGTTGGAGGCTGCTGGTTTCTGATCCTAGAGCTGTGGTTGCCTTGTCGCTCTCACCGCCGCCGCCACTTTGTTTCGCAGCCCTGGCTATTGGGTTCCCCAGTTAGCTGGCTCAGGTCCGTGAATGGGATGTTCAAATCACTAACAGGAATGGGTGCGATTCTCACCAAATCTGTTACGGTTCTGCACACCCCATTAACGAAACCACCCACCACCAGTAATGCCAAGGAAATCAGGTCAAAATCAGGTGACGTGGTTGGACCGCTGACCTCGATAGAGGATAGCCAGACTCCACCTTTGAAATCTGAGAGGTTGCGGGGGCAGCGGAGGAAACCTCCGGACTTAGGCAGCTGCAGAGCCCAGCAAGGCCAAAGAATCATTGGAACCAATCAGTGGTGGTTCTCCCTGTAAGGGGTACAGCATAGTTGACACAGATGCTGGCCAAAAGAATCGATAAGGTTCTACGAAGAGAGAAGGGGAGAAAAGAGCGCCCTCTGGGCAGCCTGGCCGGCTGTCCTAAAGAAGGGGCGTGCGCACGCACAGGCCAGTGTTGCCTGCCGCGAGAGTGGAGCACTCGCCTGGCAAGGCTGCCAGGCATTTCAGCCACGGGCGCCAGCCCCATGACACTCCCGAAAAAGACGCGAGTGCTTTGTTTGTTCGTAGTTTGGTTCTTCAGCGTCTTCCTGTTCCGCAGCCCTGCCCCGTATGCACATCTTTCAGCCAATCGACTCGTCTACAAAGGTGTTGGCGGCTGCACCCACAGTGTGTTGCAAGCTAACCACCATGGTTATGACATGCCAGGATGGAGGGGAAGAGGTAGGCTGATGCAGGCAGATGAAGAAAGTAGGCTAATGCAGGCAGATGAAGGAGGTAGGTTAAGGCAGGTACATGAAGGAGGTCCATCGTGATCAGTTTGTCGTAATGGGATCATCAAACCGTGATTCAACAAGACAAGAGCGAGAGATCAGTGTCAGGATAATCCGCCCAATTATATTCATCTTCTTAGCGCCGCCTCCCCACTCACCGTAATGCCTCCGTCCGAACGATATGGATATGGGAGGTGGTGGTTCAGTTTTTTGACCCTCCCACGTGATTAAAAGACCCGTTTCCTGTCCTTCCCACTCCCATAGACATGCAGACATATCGGTGGCTTGCCTATGGGAGTAATTTTTTGTAGTTTTTAACAGGGGTTTTGATGGCTCAGCTACACCTCTGCCGGGATATGAATGTTAGGGCGAGTACGTCGATCCTACAGAAAGTAGGAAAACAGAGGTTAGCGGCTGGGCACTTTTGTGTAAATGCTACGCTGCGGCAAAAGTCAAAAATTAACCTTTCATACCCCGGCAAGGATGTAGAAACGCCGGCGTTTCCAGAAGCGTTTTCATCCTATCACTCACGCCAAGCGCGGCTAAGGCTATGAGCTAGGCTAGCACATTGAAAGTTAATTCTAAATTAAGCTTCGATACCATAGTTCCATGGGAGCACACGGTGACTAGATGTCTCGTTTTTTTACGAGCTTCTTAGGTAAACTTGACTAACTTGGAGTGGACGTTTGTACCTGTTATGCCCATTCAGCACCGTCACACACTTGGGTGAAGCTGCATCCTTCAACTTCAGCGCATCGACAGCCGATACAAAATCCAGGCCGATGATTAGAAATACTCAACTATTATTCCCTTTGCCCTTACTGCAACATTCCTCAGCTACGCTCGTAGGACGATGGATTGGGGGCCGCCCTTCTCGCGATTAAAACGTCCCCGCTGACACTACGAATGTGACGAACGGCAGTCTGATCTGCCCAAGTGGGATAGCTGAAGGTTGATGCTACCAGAAGACGTTCGGTGAAGCCAAAAGGTTCACAACAAGTATGGTAGCGTTATACTAGTCTCAATGATAAGGATCTGTTGACTACTGTCGAACTATCTGACAATCCGAGTTCTCCAGTCGTCCCTTTATACCTCGAATGCCTTGAATGCCTTGGTCCCTGTTTATTCATTTTGAGTGTCTGCTCACTCGCGAGTGTCTGCTCACCGTGAGCACCTGTTCACTGGTGAGCACCTTCCCATAGTGAGCATCCCCTGTGCGCCTTCTGATTCAATCCTCGTTTGGGGTTACACTGTTCGTCCTTTAGCGAGGCTGCTCGCTTAAGTTCGTAACAACGAAGCGTAAGAACCCGAGATATTTGGGCAGGCGAATCCGACTAGAACCCAAGAACCTAGGCCTATAGCAGACTCCACCGCGCAATAGATCACAAGTGTTCCTCACTTTATCCTCCAGCGGCGGGGGCGTAAAGTTGTAGAACTCGCTGTCCTGTTCTGGGTTATCACAACCAAGTTCAAAGCCGCAGGCGGAATTCTGAACCGGAGATGTCGGAGTGGCAGTAACGACCATTCACAAGACTGAGCTTCTTCCCATCAGTCAGCATGGTTAATCTAGAAAGAGGGATAGCATTCCCATACGAGCCGAATTACTACCTAGTGTGAAGCCAGTCTTGGAGTACCTTCAACACCCAGTCGGTAGTATAAAGCCGCATGTTAAACCGCGATCCCCCACATCTAGACTAGGGAAGACCATGTAGCTATTGTCACGCACGTAGATCTCGAGATAAGGGACACGAATAATCTGACGTTGTTGATAAATAACTAAAGATGAAGAAGAAGAAAGGAAGCTAGTCTACATAGGACGAAAGAGATGACATCCTTATATGCAGTGGCAGATGGGATGGTAGATTGAACGTGCATGTGATCTGGCACCTGTCTGGCACCGCCATGACAGCTATGACGAAGCTACTGCAAGTGTGTTGGCTCATCCAAGCACTACCAAGGAAGAGACCACTTATCCGATCGAGGAGAATCGAGGCTTCTCCATTATACCAACCTTGGCCATGAGTGGGCAGTCAGGGGTTAATCCCGTGGCATCTGGACCACACAGGCACCTGCAAAAGGAGAGTCAAGGGATGGAATAGTCTTGCTTCTTCGTAATGGAATACGTCATCTTGACAATAGTAGGAGGTTACTAGAATTTACAAAATTCCTATAAATTTGCTTATCCTCCCAGACTCTTCTGGTGCCACGCTGGAAAAATAAAATAGAGAGAAAAGAATTAAGAAAGATATGGAATACATTATATATCTTGTGAGAAACCAATAAACCAAACCCGTCCTGATAAGCTGCCGATGGATATCATCTGTCCCTGGAGGCTACAACTAGACGGTCGGTAATTCGGTGGCAGCCAGAGTACGTTTTGGCCGTTGCAAGTAATCCAAGAACTACCCTGTTCCAAGCCATAGCCATAGCTCTTTGGATTATCTAGTACAACTTGGCTTTCAGTAGTTTCTGTATCTATTTTAATACGTCCAACGTTGGTACGTAGGTAGCGATTAGTATGGTCAAACGATATATGGGTCATCGTAGTACTAGTATTAATCGTTTGGAGGCAGTTCTCCGACACCGGATCCCAGATCTTGATCGTTTTATCCCCCGAACCGGACGCAAGCCGCTGGCCATCAGGCGAGAATGCTACTGAGGCAACGAGATCACTATGGCCTTCTAGGGTCTGGAGGCAACTCCCCGACGCCGGATCCCAGATCTTGATCGTTTTGTCCCACGAACCGGACGCAAGCCGCTGGTCATCAGGCGAGAATGCTACTGAGGCAACGACCCTGCTATGGCCTTCTAGGGTCTGGAGGCAGCTCCCCGACGCCGGATCCCAGATCTTGATCGTATTGTCCGACGACCCGGACGCAAGCCGCTGGCCATCAGGCGAAAATGCCACTGAGCGAACGGGCCCGCTATGGCCTTCTAGGGTCTGGAGGCATGCATTCCAATCCAATTCTACAGCCGGCTTAGTTCGAATCCATTCAGGTTCTTCTGCCCTGAAATTCCTCTTTATCAAGCTACCGTTTGGAGCAAATACAAGCGCTGATATATATGCTTGAAGTGGAGCTTGCTCTATTATTGACTTATAAGACAGAGCAAACCGGTAAGCATCCCAAACAAGCTTTGATAACTGCGACTGATCATTACCTCTCTATATCTTTAGTTAGACCAAGTTCCTAGTGCGGAGTTAGTCTCATACTTACTAGTAGGCCCTCGAGCTTTCTAATAGCAACAACGCCCGCAGGCATAGCTTGGAGTAGACTTAGAGCTTCCAGCCAGTAAAGGTACTTCGTCTGGAGGAATGTATAGACAACCCCGTTGTCCTGTAAAAGATCATTCCGGTTTATGTTCGTGCCAGAAACCGAGTCACATAAGTGATCAACCCAGTAGACGCACGAGTACCGCACCGTCGCTAGCGGGTCCGGATTCGGTACTTGGACCTTGTCGCTCGGAAATCCCGGTGCCCTTAAGCTGTATATGTCGCGTCGCAGTGTTGCAGACATGGCATCAAGTGACCTCGAGAAGATGGTATAGTTCACATCTTCTTTCCCAGAAGGAAAAATCCACTTGAACGCCTCCTGAGAAGCTTGGTTGACAGCTTTATCAGAGGCATTGCCAAGTAAAAAGTCCTTAGCTGATTGATGGATAAAATAGATGGTTCGTTCTCGTAGTGTTAGAAATGAACTACAAAGCCCTATAGTTGTTTCTAAAGACTCGAAATCGTCGCAAGTGTCATCAAGTTCGTCGGCGAGAGTGGTTAGTTCTTCAAGGCTGATTGGCCGGCGAACAATTGTAACAATAGCAAGAAGGTGCTTGCAAAGATCGGATTCATCGAGCTGGCTCATATCCTCTCTCATCCGCGCATATAGAGCATCCAGCCCAGATGGAAACATGCGTAGCTTTTTTAGAGTAAACCCTTTCTGGACCTTTTCAAGCGCTTGACAGACTAACGCCACCCAAAGGAACGTATCTTGCGCATTGGAGCACAGGTAGTCCTGAACGGTCTTTTTTGTCCTTGGATCATACTTCTTTAGCCCTGCTAGGTCATCCACCTTGTGCAGGATAAATGCATTGACAGCCGCTGCGACGGATTCCGCATTTAGCTCCAGGGAAACCTTCACTTTATCTGCGGCTTTCTCAACCGTTCCTCAATTTGCGGCCAATTACGGCTTGAGACGATCCACTTGACTCGAGATCCAGATGATGATTGCTGAGCAATTAAATCGAGAAGCTGTGGCAGGTCTGTTTTAACGCACTCGTCAAGCGCGTCAATGACTAGGTAGGTCGTTCGGAGGCTTGGGTCTCGTAGGATGTTGGTGAAGATTCTCGACAGGGCGTCCCACGTATTTGCATCTTTGAAGAGGCCTTCGCCTGCACGGTCATACTCACTCCGCACGTGTGAGAGGATAGATGGCTGCTGGTCGATAAGTAGATAGATTAGGCCGCGCAGTACGGCGGTTGCATTGTTGAGGCGAGAGTCGGTAGCTTGGCAGAAGAAGTAGGCCACATTGCAGTGGCGCGCGTTGGCAGTATTGTCTTGATCTAGCTCATTGATGATGCCGCACAGCAACATAGTCTTCCCTTTGCCGGGGTCGCCCTTGATCCAGAGCAGTCGGTGCTGTGGGTCATCACGCCATTGTTGAAAGTCAGCGTTATTGAGGACCCAACGATACGAGTCCTGCAAAAGGCCGCCTTTGGTCCGTTCGATGCGGACTTTATCATCGCGAGGATCGGTAAGGCGCAAGTGCTTCAGGCATTGCTGGTCCTTCTCTGACATGTGCTGTATAACGAGCTGGTTAAGATGAGACGTCACTTGCTGAGCAGTGTATGTCTGGGTGTCGTCTCGGAAGCACTTTTCGGCGTTTTGGATAGCCCCCAAGTCAGCATTCCAGTCGTCAATCTTGACTATATCCCGGAGAAGGGCTAGGCCGCGGTTGCGATAGCAAGCACAAACACTCTTAATCTGATAGGAGAGGAGCACTTTATAGAGGTCAATAATTTGGATCTCCAATTCGCCTCTCACTCTAGAAAGTTCGCCGATATGGGCGGTAGGATCCTTGAGAAGGATATTCAACAGGTTCCAGTACCAGTTCATTCTCTTAACAACGTAGTCGATCCCTTTGCGGTTGGCTTCGGTCGCGGTTACAGGATTGATAAACATCTATAGAAGTTAGTATGTGAAGTATCGCGCTCTAAATAGACGTACCTCTAAAGCAATACAAATGCCAGTCCAGGCGAGCGCGGCTTGGGGCACGGCCTGGGTTGCCGCATTTATAATGTTCTTTGCGGATAGAACAATATCCATGGCTATACCAAGGCTTTCTTTCACCTTAGCTTCCTTCTCAGTCTTAGCTAGGCCAGCATTGATAAGCTGATTCATTTGACGGCGCCTGTCCGAGTTGTTTTGGGCAATGATGTTCGGCTGGGATTCGGGCACTGTTAAGTCGGGGCTAGCCTGCAGCTGTCGGGACAGTATCTTCTCGTATACGTCCACCAATCTGGCCTCTTCTTGTTTGAGGTCATTGTAGGCACGGTCCCAGAGTCGTACGGGTAAGCTGGTAGTAATGTCATCTGCATTGGTGGGCGTCTCTATGTTGGCGGAACTAGTAGCTGGAGCGGCTGGGAGGCGGGTAGTGGTATTATCCGCGCCGGCGAACGTCTCTATGTCAGTGGAGCCGGTAGCCGAAGCGGCTGGGAGCCGGGACGCGGATATAGAGGTGGCGGCGAAGATTTTTTGCAGAGGTGCAGGGCGAGACTGCTCTTGGTCCGTAGAACCTTCCCGATCCTGCGCATTTCCGTATCGCTTGAGACGCGTCTGGAACCGCGAGCGCAGTCGTCGAAGCATCGTAGCGTTGGGGAAGGAACGTCTTAACTGAGGTAGATGAGGCACTCGAGGATGATCGTGTTGTCTTGGAGGTGGCGAATGCTATGGTTGATGATCAATGGATTGAGTTTAGGGAAGTGCCGGGAATTTCTCTATCCTGCCACTAAGGACACAATAAGGAAAACAAACTAGAGCCCTATGTTTTCTTGAGGCTATGATGGAGCATGAGACTCTCTGTGTTGTCACCAAGTGCGAGATGGCTGGCGGCTTCCTCCCAATTACAGGCCAATCACCCAAAGGACATTTCTTTTCTAGAGGCCGGGCATTCTGGACCTAGAGACTTCAAGGCGCCAATCAATAACTCGACTTGGGCGAGGGTCGTGGCTTTCTGTCACGGGGTCTACAGGGTTGGCAATAGTGTACCAGCAGCGGCCTGGTAGCTTGCACCACTTATGAAGCCGTGGCGCGGGTAGGGCTGTAAATCCGAGTGGAACCTGCAAATTGCAGTAGAGCCTAGGCTGCCAGTGCTGTCAACAACCAAGGCGTTGCGATAACCAGTGTCCTTGAGCGGACAATGCATTGATGCCTTACTTTTCATTTCCTTTGGGACCTGTGGGCGCATGGAACCGACGCCAAGCGGCGATCGCACTGACAGTAAGACAGAAAGCAGCTGTTCATACTGCCAAAGAAATGCTTTCGTTGAAGTCCAAAAGAGGAGCTTGTACGGCCGCGACTGAGAATTGTGCTAGTATACTCATACTACGGATTGCGCTTTGACAAACGTTAACGGGGCTAGCTACAGTGTCGCCACAGTGTCAGGACGGTCAACTTTTCTCTAATCTGCCCAGTTATATTCATCATTTTAGCGCCGGCTCCCCACCCACCGTAATGCCTCCATCCGAACGATATGGATACGGGAGGAGGTTGTTCAGTTTTTTGACCCTACCACGTGATTAAAAGACCCGGTTCATATCCTTCCGACTCCCATACATAAGCTACCATATCGCCTGACTAGTAGTTGGGTCGGTGACGACCAGCGAATCCCAGGTGTTGTATGTTTTTGCGATCTTTTTTTTGGTGTTTTGGTGCTCGCTTTAGCCGCGGATCGCGACAGGAACTCAAGACGGGGCATGCCAGCAGTGTGCAGGCAGCACAGTGTAAAACGGCAGAAAGGTCCAAGTCAGTGGAAGCATCTGGCGCAGCCACTCACTTTTTGGTAGTTTGCCTGTGCGAGACTCAGACCGGAGACTGGTCATCCAGCGGCGTCTTTCGTTTCAGTTGGTATGGAACGAGTAAAATCGACTGGGGCTGGTAGAACCAAACATGCCTTTGCACAGGATGGACATTAGTGACTGGATGGGACTTATGCTCCCCATCTCAAGGAGGGCGTCTTGTTGTCGAAGACTGGTGGTGATGGGGTGGTCCACACATGGCGACAGCGACTGGTTGTTGGATGGAAAGAGATGGAAGAAAAGACGAGGAAATGAGGAGAAGGAACGAAGTGAAATGGGAAGAGGGAAATTTCTGTCATGGAAATGCAGGTACAGTAAGTCTAGATACTGGACGAACAGCGGCAGGCATGATGGATGTCCTGTCGTGTCTTATCGATAGGCAGGCACCTGCTTGTAGAGACGGCAGGCACGTGATAACCTTCATCGTGACCACCCGGAAACTTCAGCTTTGCTTCTGGGTATTGAGGTATGGCAACTACAACCTGGAAGGTATGTCATGGAGGCGGCTGCCTCATTGACTTACTTGATGATGTCTGGTCTTTGGAGAATCCTTCCTTTAACCTGACATTTTCTGTCCTGGTTGTTCCGTTACTCACAATTCTGTTGTTTGTCGCATTGAAAGCGTAAAGCACAAGCATGAAGCTGGCACCTGATATCTTTGTGGTAAAAAACTGCGTGATATTCAAGAATGAAGCAAGAAAACGACAGATGCCAGTATCAATCAGTAGATATCAAAGACCTCCTCCTCTGGTTCAGTGTCTATGAACTCCCCATGCATGATACCGTCCACCCATGCCTCTCCCCCGAAGGTGAAGGTGCTTCCACTGCCTCCGCGGTCGGTCGCAATCTCATCCCCGTCTTGCGGGCGTGGACGCAGGATAAAGGGGGTGTGTGCGTTTTGCAGAATTACCACAATGTCTCCAGGTCTAACATCCCCAATCCCGTTGCCCAGCATTCCTTTAGTCGTCTTGAATAACGTGGAATTCTTTGACCTTGAACGGCGAAATAACGCTCTTATTTTCGCGTCCATGAAGGATCTCAAGTCGCTTTCGCTGATGCTATCCGTTACACACTCCGGATCAACTGATTCACTTTTCGTCTGCGCCTTCCCGTCGGTAATTGTAGTCGCACCACGGCAAGTATCATCATCCGGGTTGGATAATTTCCTTTTCAAGGTGCGTTTCGAGCTCCTGATTTTCGATAATGCCTTCAACTCTCCGGATCTTTGTATGTACTCGACCAGAAAGTCTGGGAGTGACTCAGGATCCGGGTAATCCTGGCGCATGAGCCTGCGGATAAAGCAAGCAGCCTCTGTCTTGTACTTGGGTTCCTTCAGCCATAGTCCGAGAAAATTTGCGTTGCGGCTATCCATCACCAAGCGCCAGACGTAGTCTTCTCCCTCCAAGTTCCAAGTATCTGAGCTCACTGGCAACCCCGTAAATTCACGAATGTGTGCCAGCCAGTCGCTTGGTCGATCCTTTTCAAGAGCATTCTCAGCCTGGTAGTCATAGGCCATTACGTCGGTGACAAAATCAACGCGATACCCGGGCAACTGGATGGCCGACGAATTCCCATGTCCCCAGAATATATGGTAAGAGCTCTCCATGCGGCTATCGCTGGCGTCGAGGTATGCGAGACGCATGGCTACTAAGCTTTGCGGCAGCCCATTCACACCTACATCCCGCCAGTCGGGGACCCAGCTTGGTAACTCGCTTGGTTGGTCTCTTGGACGGGGCAGACAATGTCCGATATTATACAGTACATCGTCAGCAAACAACGATGAGGTGAGAGACGCCTTAATCAAAGATCGCGTGGCCTGAGTAAATAGATCAACCCATGTCATGTTTTTGTAGTCGACATGGCCAAACGGACGACGGTCATCGTTGGAAAGGAGGCCGAGTATACCGTAGACGATATCGCGTGGGTCAGTCGCCTGATACCATGGACGTTCGGTTTGGTTGGAGAAAGCCACAAGAATGTTGCCCAAGCTCAGTTTCGTTCCGCGGCAGAGTAATTGACGAATGAGCATAGCCTTGTTTGGATAAAGATGGGAAGGGAACCGCTCACAGAACCCGCGCCGTAGTGGGCATTTGTCCCAGAACGGGGTGAGAAGTCCACCACGAAATTTCCAGAGGGCTTCTAGCACCGCTTCGAAGTATGAAATTGGTGTGAGCTTTCCGCCACAGATAAGAAGTACTTCCCGGGCCAAGGCCACTTCCTGAAATATCCATATCCGGTGCCAGTACTCATTTGTCAGTAGTTGAATGATACCAGTTTCCAGATCACTCAAGACGGATTTTCCACGCGTCCTACGTAGCCCTTCAACATGGAGCAAGTCGTAGAAGAACCTTGCCATACCATACCCCTCAGAATCCATGCTCAAAGTATCCTCAATCGTGCCTCCCTTCTCAAACACCGGTTCCGGGAGAAAGTACCGTTCGAGTTTGTGCAAATTAAGGGATGCTGTGAGGCGTGAACTGAATGAGCCATCCATGGGGATATCTGTAGGCCACAACTTCTCCATCACTCCAACCTCCAACGCACGAGGGCCCCAGTCCGCAAAGAACTCCATAGCAACATCGGTAGCCTCAGAACCAGGACCCAACCAGGAATAGACCAACTCGGCATTCTTGAAGATGTCACACATGCTCTGGACATGCCAGCTCTTTTCATCATCATCGGATTGTTGGATGCATATGGCGTCGGCCCAGAGCCAGGATTCCACGCCGTGATGCTGAAGCATTTGGAGAAGCGCATGCAGGTTCTCGCCGACAGAAAACTGTTCGCCGTTGACCTCGATATCGTCTTTATCCTTTGTATCTCCCCAAACGTAGGACAGCGCACGATATTGGAGGGCGTCATCGTCAAGAGAGGCGTGGCGAAGTTCAAGACTGATACTGTCGGGGGTCGACTGGCAGGCGGGACTGTATCGGAAGACACGAGTCTCGCGCTTTTCGCGGCTCAGAGGGCTGTATGTGAACATTGTTGGCGACATCTACTTGTTTGGATGGGAGGTGAGTTGCCCGGATTGGAGTAGCTGTGGCCGTCGGTGGCTCGGTGCAGCGGTGCAGTGGTTTTGCAGGCAGCAAACGGAAGGAGTGATAAGAACCCGGTCTTATCAAGACATTGCCCTCCGCGCAGGCGCCTTCCACTTGGTTCCTTCCAAATGTTAGATGATGAAGATACCAAAGATTTGAAGGAGAACCCCAGGTGATAAGAACATGACCATGAGGAAGGAGTGTATCTGGCCGAAGACCTCCACGTGATGTGAACTTGCCTGCCACCTGCGCCGGTTCTATCTCTGCTCCTCCACGATTTGTGCAGATCCAACTTTTCCCCAATAACCACTGCAAGCAAAAGAACAAACGTTCACGGCACCTTGTGATTTCTTAACCTCTTTTGTCATTGATGTGCACCCCGCACAGAGCAACCTTCCACACCTGCGACACTTGCCTGTTGAGACTCGGCCTAACCCTGCCTATATCCGCACCCAACCACAGTCATTGCTCTCGATACTGTCAGGTATTATTTCATGTCCCATGATTGGATCATGGGCATTCAGGCCAAGTTCAGGATGACCACTGTCTATCGGAAAGTCTTGGCATGCGTGAGGGGTACCTGGCTGCGATGTGACAGAACAGATGGCCAATGATCCAGGAATCTAGAGACCTCGTTGTCCTAGATCTGTCAAAGCCAAACGAGGTTGAAGCACTTCGAGGATGTGGGTAAGAAACACCACAGAAATTCTGAGAGCCTTGAGTAGTCCGCTTTGTGTGAAATCTGACCGTTGCTGACTTCTTCTGGATGTCAGTACTTCTTTAGCGCACGCAGCTCCCGCAAAAAGTCAAGCTCCAATGTCTATACTACCAGCGAGAACAGAAGCTTCGAAGTTGAGAGCCTAGCATCCTCCCTCACCTCTGTCTCCCAGGGCACCGAAAGTAGCCATGGAGAATAGAGAAATTTCGAATTTAGATGATGAACCTTCGAACTCCAATGAAGAAGCTTCCGATTCCGGATCAGACTCTTAGATTGTTTCTTTCTTTCTTTCTTTCTTTCTTTCTTTCTTTCTTTTTTTCTTTCTTTCTTTCTTCTCTCTCTCCGCCTCTCTCTTATGGTGTTATTCCCCCCATTTCATGGCAGTCGCTTCAATTTTCCTTGAGTCGATATCTTGTAACAAGACGGAAGAGGGAACATGACAAAAACTTTCTTGACCATGACATTTGTGGAAGTTGACGTCCCTGAACACCTTCCATATCGTACTACTCAATAATCATCAGTGTTTTGATCAAAGTATGAAAGGTATCAGGTAAAACAGAAGAGCATTCAAAACGATGACATCTTGAGCATTTGCTCGGCATGTCTATCCGTTTATTCGTGCTAACTCAGAGCCCGTTGGTTACCGGGACTTCACATTCCATGGCACCAACAAAACTCCGTACCCAGAGTAGACGACAAAGGACGCGGAATTATGCCGTACGTTTCCCGCAATTGGCAATGCCAGTGTCAAACTGGAAGCACTAATGGCCAGGACCATTGCAAGTTTCGGACGAATATTATGATTGAAGCACCCCTTCATCTATGCCATGTGAACGCTAGCCTTGTCAATGCCGTCCACAGCACATACGGTTTACACTTCGTTCACATTTGATGTTAGGTCCGGGGATTGTATCCGAGATGAGATCATGACCGGTCACTGGTATGTATGTTGTATGCTGAGCTCAGCTCGTACATGGAGGGACAAGTCCCTAGGCGGTTTTTGACAGTTGGTGAGGCAGAAATATGATCACTTTATCCATAACAGTCCGTCGTCTTTCTATGTCCGAGGCGTTTAAGGCTACGATGAGACGAGGCTTGATTCGAATAGAGCAACCCGTATTTGTGAGCGGCAAACATCAGCTGGCCGTTGGCGGCATTACATTCTGCTTTGGGTTTGGCGGGCGTGTTGCCGGTTGTTCCTTCCCGTCTTTCTCCTGTACAAGTTGTTCGTGAAATTGCACCTTCCTGGTGTGATGAATGAAAAGTTTTCGGGTTTTTATCGTAGGTTCCCTTGGTACTAACAAATTCTACAGCTTCAGTTTCTCCGCGAAAAAAAATCTCGCTAGCGGCTCGCTCGAGCAACACTTAGTATGGGGAGGAGGCAGGGGGTTTCTGAAGCCTGTCAGCAAGGTTTTGTTTACGAGGGAGTTTTGGACAAGGAAGTTGACATGTAAAGGCGAGGGGGGCTGTCGAGGAGCAGTGGTGGCGCTGAGTGATGGGGAACGGGAAAGAGACAGGGAAGCAAACGACAAAGCACAAAAGAAGGATGACACGGGAGTATGCAAACGATGCGAAAGCCGGCCAGCAGCGCTTGGGTTTTTGTTCAGTTATGTTGGTCTGGTGCAAAGGGAGAGCGACTTTGATCTCGCCACCGTCAAGGGCCTCCTCCCGCGCGAAGTAACCTGGGGTCAATAGCGTCTCTTCGTGGATGAGCTGCTCGCCTCGCCAGACGCGATATACAAGAACATCGCCGTTCGGTTCATCTACGGCGAATTATGACTGAACCGACTTAACCTCATTTACATGTTCACGCGGGGGCCTTTGTCGCTGGGGTTCATGGCTATATGGACTTCGTACAGGCAGTTTGCCGTGCAAAACAGCGCGTGGGTTATAGGCGGGATGGCGTGGATTTTAGTGGTCCTGTCAGGGATGCAGGTCGGGTTGGATATCGCACTTGGGGAAGAGGGGGCATTTAAGAGGGCGAGTTATGGGTTTGCGGAGTTTTCAATCTTGGGGCCGATTAGTGCCATGGTGCTGATGTTTACGTACATAGTGGTGTTGTTTGTGTGAAATTTGGTGAGGACGAGGAGGTTTGAAGTCCAGAGGAGCCAGAGGCTCGGAAGGACCCGGAGTGGGTTGCATCTGGAGACCGGGAGGTTGGGGACGAGGATGGGGACGCTGGGGAGAGGGAGGACGGGGGACATGGAGGTGTGAGGGAGTAAGTGGTTGGGCTGATGGATGTACAAGATGGAATCCCGCGTCAGCGGGTTGATTGTCTTGGTGCTGAAGATCCCGATGGCTCGGGCGGTGCGACGGAGACAGAGTGTTAGTGGTAATTCACCATCTGTTTACTTTGCCCATTTTTACAGTTTCTGTTAACTGCCCATTTTTCACTTGTGGCTCTACCTACAGTGCTGGGAACCAACGGATACTAAACGGCTTTGAACAAATAACTTCAAAGCACGCGCGTCGAGGCTGCTTTTCCCTTACACGTGTTCAATTGTCCAACTTCGTCATTAGAAGTATTTCTCACGCGGCAAGACGGATAATGTAATCGTTACACTGCAGTCGTAGAGCCATGTCGAAATCCTCCGACACGTGACTCTCGGACCAGAACTTCTCGTAGCCATCTTCATCCTCGTACGAGACTTGCTGGATGGCAGACCAACAAAGAATGACGTTGTAACCAACGAAGGGAGCAACATCACCGTTAGAGACGGTATACCGAATAGCGCTGTAAATCAGATTGGTGAAGAAGGTGATACCATTCTCGAAATACGTGTGAACAACCTGCATGATACCAACGTCGGGGGACTGCTCCATCTCCGAGACAGTATCAAGCAAGCAGTCGGCCGGTACACGGGTATCCGAGTCAATCAAGAGAATGTAGTCGCCCATCCGAATATTGCCGTCAGTCCAGGCACGGCCATCTTCCGCGAGAACCTCTTGGAGGGCGCGCTCATAGGCTTGAGCTTCGTCATGCTGGGACCATTCCGGGGATCTCTGGATTTGGCTAAGCTTTTCTTCCACCTTGCACGAGATCATGAGGGCAAAGTTCATGTTGGGTGCCTTCTTGAACTTGCCACGGCGCTGGAAGCCATTTTCGCCGTGTCTAGGGCGGGCAACCCAACCGATGCTGTGGTCTGCATAGAACTCAATTCGTTCCTGGCGGTCTTCCTCGGAGATCAGTTGAAGACCATCGTCATTGATAAACATGTTTGCCGCACCACCCTGGAGCTCGTACGTGGAGATGGCGTGCTTGATCGACTTGGCTGTGGCACTGCGAGTGTAACGGCCATGACGAGGCTCGACTGGGATTGGCAGGACTGCGACTTGTGCAGCCTTGTATGATAAGATAAGGATTAGCCAAGTTGGGTATGACTTCTACGCGTCCAGTACCAATATTAGCGGCAAATTCCCAACACCCTTTTAGAGGCTACGGGTAGATCCGACCGTCCCATTCAGGCACCAGGATGTGGGGCAGCTCTTGTCGATTGGCTCGAGAGAGCTGCAGGCTGCGAAACGGGGGTAGCGTTGAGAGCGACGAACCAACCACAGCTTTTGGATCCGAAGCCGGCAGCCTGCAACTCCACTTAGAGTATGCACGTGCCCGACTTTTCACTTGTCTGCCTTGACCTACCTCCTTCATCTTCCTGCCGTAACCTGCCTGCATTAGCCTGCCTCCTTCATCTACCTGCCTTAACCTACCTCCTTCATCTGCCTGCATCAGCCGACCTCTTCCCTTCCATCCTGGCATGTCATAATCATGGTGGTTGGCTTGCAATACACTGTTGGCGCAGCCGCCAACACCTTTGTAGACGAGTCGATTGGCTGAGAGAGATGCATACGGGGCAGGGCTGCGGAACAGGAAGACGCCTGCAATTTGGCGGCGTTCGACGAGCCAACCACAGCTCTGGGATCTGTGGCGTTTGCTCGTTCTTTTCTCGCATCTCTTTAATCAATCAATCCTTCGAGCGGTGCGGAAATATAGCCGATAGTGATTGTGGGGAGCTGTGTTTCTAGATATGGCGGTCAGAACCCTATCCCTAGTGCTGGCTGAGCCAGAACTAGGGTTAGGGTTCCTCAACCGCCACGAAGAAAAGGATGTTACCCCACAAAACAAGCATGTCGGGCTTGATAACTATATATCTCAAACCGGTGACCCACTGATACCGGAAATGGCTGGATTCCCAGCCACTACCTGTATCCCTGTATTATAGCTTAGATCCTATTACCACCAAGGCGCCGGGCTTGGGTACTATTCCGCAATCTTCATGTTTCCTGAATCCAATTCCGCTGTGGTGGTTCTGACGAATTCGATGCCACTCAACGACGTTGCGGACTGGATCGCTCAAATATACATCACCGCGCTATTCCAATTTGAAGATGGAGGGAAAACGTACCTTGACCTGGCAAAGAAGTACGTTGAACTGGCGAAGGGAAGTCGGGATCAGAAACTCAGGCTTGTGAAAACAATGAGAACGGGCATTGACAGCGAGCGCAACACGAACTACTTTCATCCGCGACAATTGTACTTATACACCGGGAGATATTACAACTCGAAGGGTAGCTGGCCAGGGAATTTTTTCATCGACATCCGTTGTCCGAAGGATCAGGGGGAAAAGGACGATTGTTTGGAGCTCAGGTTCCAAGGACGGGAATCACAACTCTATAAGCTCCGTCACCTCGTGGATGACATCTTTGAGTGGGCACTAGACTACAACCAGCAAGCACGGCGAGCACGATTCACGGTATGGGACCCGGAGTATTTCAAGATCCAGTTCAACTTCAACCCAAAGCGGTCTCATGAGGCTGTTACGCTCAACTGGGCAGGGAATGGGATGGTTCTTACCCGACGTGAGAACAAGGTGCATCTCCCACGAAACCTTCCAAAGCTCTCAAAGAGTCATACCGTCCCTCCAAGCAACACTTCGCGGGGTTGTCAAGAAGAGCTGGCGCTTGGTCTCGAGAGGTTCACGGAAGTTCCCGAGATAGTTACCCGAAAAGGCACACTTCTCTCGTTCAGGGCGGTGACATGCTAGTCGGCTGGGAGGTATACATGCACTACAAGCAATGGAATCTCAGTGTATTCCGCCACGAAAGACACTACGTCTTTTCGCAAGGGTTAGGGTGCATCCTGCTGCCTTGTCTGGGTGATCTGGGTTCCTCTCTCCTTTCTTTTCATTCGGAAGACACCTTCTCCGGCGACTTACCATCCTTGACAATCACCCGTAACCATCTCGGGGAAGGTTCTCGATTTGGAACGCTGATTGGCCTCAAACTGGCCTTCATTTGTAGTCACTGACAAAGACCTCGGGCTGAATGGGTGTCAGAAACTTAACGAGGTCTTCGTTGGGTAGGTTTTGCAGTTCGCTAAGCTGTCTCCTTTGGAACAATCTTTCTTTGAACTCTCCTTCACCCCAAACAGAGAGTAGAAACTCATTGCCCACCTCACTCAACAACATTAGGAGGGGGAAGGGGGGATGATCGGGAATGCTTCGTCGTCGGTGTCGTCGGGTTCTGGCAGGGGTGCTCGGGTGCCGAGGAGTCTGCCGTCCGCGGTGGTGGTGACGCCGGTGAGGCCTTCGTCCTTCAGGGCTCTGAGCCGGGCGAGGAAGGTGGCGTGGCTGGTGCCGAAGGCATGTGGCGCGTCGGATGTGGCTCGAGGGTTTTGCCACGTGACGAGGGGGCATCGGAAAAAGTGGCCTTTTTCGCATGGTTCGCCGCAGACGCATGTGCGGAACGTCTCGGCCGGGTGGTTGAATCGGGCGTGGTAGGAGTGGAAGTCCCAGTGGCTCGTGCGTTCGCCAACCCATCGTGCGAGGTGTATTCGGGGCAGGCGGAGGTATGGGTTGTCGCGATACCACAGGGTAGATCAGCCAGGCATGCCGGTCGGTGCGTGAGCCAGTGGAGCTCCGGGTCCGCTTCGGAAGGGAGGGTCCACATTTTCCAGCGTCGGGGTGGTGCTGCCGAGTCGGGGGCGAGCCACGTTTCCTCCGGTGTGTTTTCATCCCGGGGGGCTTGGGACTCGGTGAGGGAGTAGAGATGGAACCAGCCGCGCAGTGGGGGCGTGCGCAAGCGTTGGGTTAGCGGGTGGTGGGCCGGGAGGGTGTGGAGCCCTGCCACGGCCCGGGCCGTTTCTCGTCTGATGATTTCGGGTGGGGCGATGCCGGCCAACCAGAAGGGGTCAAGCTTGGGGACTGTGCGCCAGACCGGCATTGTTTTTCGGAGAGCCTTCGATGCTGCTGTCTCGATCTCGTCGAGCGCGGTCTTGATATTGGTGGACACTTGTCCGCCCCTGCGTCCGATTCGCGTATGGCCAGGGAAGAGGGCGGCTGCACCGTATGTCAGGGTAGGGATCTGACGACAAGCATCTTGCTGCCTTGTCTGGGTGATCTGGGTTTCTCTCTCCTTTCTTTTTCATTCGGAAGACACCTTCTCCGGCGACTTACCATCCTCGACAATCACCCGTAACCATCTCGGGGAAGGCTCCGAAATTACCCTAATTCGCTAAGCACACGTTCGCATCACCACCGGTGGCTGTTACAGTCACGGATGTCCCACTCTCCGGAGGTATGGCTCAATAGCACAGTCGCGAATCGTGGGAGAGGGTCAAGCCGTCGGCTGCGATGGACTCCGGTAAATATCTCCCCTAGCTTGTGTTCTCGGTCTTTTGAAGATCTACATGATGCCATTGCGTTGGTTCGGGGATTCTTCCCGGATACTGGGGGCTCGTCAATGTTAGATTTTACCGAGCGATGAATAGTCGGACCAATGAAGTAGGGCAAGGCAGGCAGATGAAGGAGGCAGGCTAATGCAGGCAGGTTACGGCAGGAAGATGAAGGAGGTAGGTCAAGGCAGACAAGTGAAAAGTCGGGCTTGTGCATACTTTAAATAGAGTTGGCATCAGATCCCAGAGCTGTGGTTGGCACGTCGAATGCCACCAAATTGCAGGCGTCTTCCTGTTCCGCAGCCCTACCCCGTATGCATCTCTCTCAGCCAATCGACTCGTCTACAAAGGTGTTGGCGGCTGCGCCAACAGTGTGTTGCAAGCCAACCACCATGATTATGACATGCCAGGAGGGAAGGGAAGAGGTAGCTAATGCAGGCAGATGAAGAAGGTAGGTTAAGGCAGGTAGGTGAAGGAGGTAAGTCAAGGCAGATATCGACGGTACCTACCTGCCCAGTTACCATCCACTCCTACTTCCGCTTACAAGCGATGATGAACACCAATAGTAGGGCGAGGGATGGACATCAAAACCTCTGGCCAACGATGGATCTCTTGCGGCTCCCTCCTCAGCCCTGCAATTGTTTCTTTGCCATGCCCACCATGCCCATCCAGGCTGCATTAAGTGGTGGCTTTGGTCTGCCCTGGGAATGGGATCCCGCCCGTTCCGCTCTTCCGGGGTAAAAGAAAGGTGGAGAAAGAATCATCGTCACTCTAATCGGGAAGCCAAAACTTGGGAAAGAACTATCCTTCGTAATGAAAGCTGGCCAATTAGAGCCTCTTATTGAGCAATCGAGCTGGAGAATTAACAGTGCTAGATTTGACAATAAGGCTTATTAAAATTCCAAGCATTAAACCCCCCTTACAAGGCCAGATACCCTCGTGATTTTCCCGCTATAGTAGGCTTAATAATATAAGAATCAGACTAATCCTAACTTACAACATCGCTTCACCCACCTTGGCTTATCTCACCTAGCCGTCTTCCATCTTCGCCCTTTCCCCATACTACCACCCATCGACAGATATCCCACCGACAAAACAGCACTCACAACTCAACCGTCGGCCCCCACGGGCTAAGAACATTGGCCCCAGCACTACCCCAACAACGACTATATTATGATGGACGCCGATGTTATGCCTTATAACGTACGGCCAATGACCACAGCACCGATGCAACAACGGCCTTCCTTGGTTCCCTACCATATGCCAACGATATTTATGAGCACGGCTCCCATCAACAGCATCAGCGCGCCAGCACATTATCAGCCATCCGTGTCTTATGGCGGAGGATATCCGGCTTATCCGCTGCCTACGCCTACTGCCATGAGCTCTCCGTACAAGCATCAGCATTACCAGGAACGACCATCACTACATATGGTTACGCCTGAACTCAAGGACACCAGGGGACTGCATCATATTAGGGATGCGAGGAGGTACAGTGAAGAGAGCAGGAGCCCATCGGAGCATAGCGATTCTCAAGCTTCTACGGCGGAGACGACCATCTCGAACCACTCGACCTACTCGCGAACCATCACCCCCAATGCCCGGGTCAACGGAGCGCCTCAAGTCGAGTTTACCACTGCGGTGGACAAGCTCATGAAGGTCATTCAGTCCAAAATGAAGGACACGGACGCCGAGCAGAGCGGTGATGATAAGGACATCAAGACTCAACAGGTATGGCGGACCCTTCTTTTGAGACTGAGTGAGTCTAACACTTTCTTTTAGCAATCATCCCCCGATTACCAGACAAGAGTGCAGCAACCGGCCAATAAGCATAAGCGTAAGCGATATGAGTGCCAAATCGAGGGCTGCAATAAGAATGTCTCCCGGAAGACGAACCGCGACACCCATGTTCAATCTCACACTGGAGATAGACCCTATGTTTGCCCTATTCCTGGCTGTGGTGGAAGATTCACGCAGGCCGGTAGCCTCAAGGTAAGTTTCAGCCCTACTGTGGCTATAGTGCCAATACAGTGTGACAGAGTCTTAGATACACAAACGTCGTCACACAGGAGAGAGGCCCTACCGCTGCGAGGTATGCGATACGGGTTTTGTGCAACGTGGAGATGTCAAGGCACACATGAAGACACATCTTGGCATAAAGGCATTCCTCTGCAGACTCGATAACTGCCACAAGCAGTTTACCCAGCGGGGAAATCTCAAGGTAAGAAATTTGCGCTTTTATATTTTTTGCCAAGGTGTCAAACTGACTCGGCTTGCTTGCAGTATCACCAAAACAAGTACCACAAGGAGACCATCAAGGCTCTCGCCGTAAGATTCGGCACTATCGAGGACTGGTCGATTGTATCGAAGGAAGATATGGAGATTTTTAAGGACTTCGCCGAGGTCTACAAGAATAGTAATAAGGGTATTAAGGGTCGGGGAAAGTATCGTAAGGTGAAGTTGGTGCCTCTAAGCTTACCTACCAGCCCGACCGGCCATTCGCCGCTTCCTAATATTATGATTTCCCAGTACCCTCTTCCTTCGGCTCCCGGACTTTCGCAACTTCTTTATACTCCTCATCCGCTCCACCCTCCGCTTCATCACCAAGGACCTAGCCACTCGGCTATGTACGGCATGCCCCGACCGGGCCTCCATGGCCATTACGAAACCTACGATCACCACGAAGTCCACATTGTGGCCAGCAGCCGCGGTTCTGTAGCAGAACCCATTTACTACTACGAGGAGCACCCTGGGGAGCTTGCTTTCGGCGACCGGATACTAGACTATTAGCTATTGAGATGGCGATACGATTATTAGTGTGTTTTGACTTGTACGAAAGGACGAGCCTGTTTCGCTTTTCTATTTGCAACCTTTTACTTATTTGTATATGACCTATTATCGCCTTTGTTATTTCCTTTTTATATTGTTTAGTTATTACCTTTGTTTGATATATACATCCCGAATCAGATCCGTTCGATCAGCTGATATCGTTATTTGCAGACTTAACTGTACCTAGTGCCTATATAGTTCGGACTCTCCTACCTAATCTAGTTGAAGACTGGACCTACCGGGGTAAAGACTTGCTCCCCCGACGTCAAATTCCGGATGGCTACGACGCCAGTACCATGACCAATGCTGTTTCGTCATATACAGCGCTGTCCATCTATCCTTATGCTTAGGATCTGCGTCAACCTTGCCAGTATCGAGAAGCATCTTAACGATCGCTTTATAGCCTTTTTCCGCCGCAAGCCATAGCGCCGTCCGTTCATACCGGTCCCGAAGATCTGCATCAACCTTGCCGGTATCAAGAAGCAGCTTAACAACCGCCTCATGTCCATTCTCTGCCGCCATATGCAGCGCTGTCTGTCCATTCTCATCCTTAGCACCTGCGTCAACCTTGCCAGTATTGAGAAGCAGCTGAACGACTACCTCATGCCCAGTTATCGCCGCTCGATATAGCGCTGTCTGTCCATTCTCATCCTTAGCACCTGCGTCAATCTTGCCAATATCGAGAAGCATCTTAACGATCGCTTTATAGCCTTTTTGCTCCGCAAGCCACAGCGCCGTCCATAGCTCCTCCTTATGCAAGTTGACCTTGCCGGTGTCGAGAAGCAATTTTATGACCGTCTCATGCCCGTTTTCTGCCGCCAAGCATAGAAGCGTCCATTGGCCCTTGTCCTCAATGAGTTGATTTACCATTGTTTCCTTTGCATCTTCCTTTTCTAAATCCTCGGGACCTAGGCAAGTCTTTTTTAGGTTTCTCATACTCTTCAATGCTCTCTCAAGAACCGCCGTTTCTTCCCGAAGATTCTTCACTGCAACTCCATACTGTTTCACCTCTTGTAATACCAATCTGACATTCCGTATCCTAGTCGCCGCATTTAGACAACCTTCCAACCCTGTCTTTGAATGCTCTGGAATGCTTGCAAAGTAGTCGTTGTTGTTTTTATCTTGCTCCTTGTTTGGATCTATATCCCAATCCCAGATAAGTCGAAAATTATGTGGAAAGACTGTTATCGATTGTAAAAGTTCTGACCACTTGATATCTCCGGTCGTACCTTGTGAATCGCCTGCTGGGGAAACTGCAATCATTATAACCGCCCAGTGATCGTTGTATGACCTGAGGATCGTGGGTCTCGACGCTCCTTGAAGAAGGCAGACGACATCTCCTTTTTGGACGGATTTTACCGTGGTCGGGAGGGTCCAGCAAGAACCCCATGCTTCCTTCACGCAAATATAGCTGAGGACATTACTCCAAGTAATGGCCACATCTTGTCTGTCTTCCCAAGTAGCATTTCTCTTGACCGAGGACACTTCGCCAAGAATGCAGCCCTTGCCCTCAATGACGGCATTCTCCTTATCGTCTGAAAGGCCTACTACAGAGACCAATTCAGATAGGAAGAAGTGGATGAGTTTGTTGAAGAGTTGTTTCCACGAAATCTTGTAGTCGGCGAATAATCCTGCTGCGGTTGGATTATCAGAGCTCATACCGAGTAAGGCATATACTTTATCGAGACGATCCGTAGCTTCGCGGGTATGGTACATCTCTATCAGTTCGCCTAGAGGGCGTATGTTAAGAGAAAAGTTGTCTGACTGATTGGTCGCGTATTTGGGCCGGAAGATTGCGCCCCTTATGAGGTAGGTTACCGAAAGGATTCGAGCCCGCAGGTCTGCGGGGAGTTCGTTGGATAGGTTCAATGCATCTAGGCCTAAGCAGAATGCAGATCCGTCAACCTCAGCAGAACCACACTTGATCAGGATATGGCGAGCCGCGGCAACTTCCTGAAGCACCTACATCAATCTGTCAGTTTCCTTAGTTAGAATACTTTGACATCGGTTCTCTTACCCAAATACGTCGAAACCACGGTCGTTGAAGCAGTGTAAGGATTCCCGCTTTATTGTCTAATCGTCTTGTAGACAGCTCGGCTGCGATGCGTATTCCTTCGAGCGCTTGGTCGCTACCGGCTGCCTCCTCTCCAAGCCAAACAATTACGCGACTTGCTTTAGCGTAGATCTTCGCCATAGATTGAACTTGATGTCCTTTTTCTTCTTGGTCTTCTTGGTTGATGCAAATGGCATCTATCCATATAGTTCGTTCAATGCAATGGTCTCGAAGATGTACCAGCGCTGCGTAAAGGTTTTCCCCGACGGCTAAGTTGCACCTGTTTATAAAGATGGAACAAGGCTTGTCCTCGGAGCCCCACACGTAGGATAAGGCCTCGTACGGACGAGTGCCTTTTGAGTCCAATGTGGTGCAGAAGAGCCGACAGTGTATTGCGGCGTCCTCGTTTTCATGCGGCAATAGTTGAAGCAAGCGAATATGGCCACGTGACATGGGAACGTTGTAATACAGGTTCTTTACAGGTGTTAGCGTCATTCTGAAATGTCGTAGGGGGGGAAGAAGTAAGCCTACTTCCACCTGCTTCGTGTTATCCACGCCGGCGGACGTCTCTATATCGGCGGAACCAGTAGCTGGAGCGGTTGGGAGCCCGGGGGCGGGCATACGGGTAGCGGACATAGCGGTGGCGGCGGGGATTTGTTCATCTTGTCGTTCCTGTTCCTTCACATGGAGGAAGGGAATCTTGGCCACGATTTGTCGACCAGCGGTCGGGAAACGTCCTTCGCCATCAGACGCATAGGAAGCGAAGTCCCGCTTGCCCCCCATGCTATCGAAAATAGTCGAGAGGTTGTAACGGTTCCGGATTGATACAGTATGGTAGATAGGTGCCGTAGTTGCCGTCACCGACGGGATTGCAGTGGTGATGCTTGTATGGTAGCCGACGCAGAAACAGGCGGTTCACGTCTCGCATATGATGCTGACCGCACCTGGGTGATAAAAGTGAAGCAACGAGTCGAAGACGAAAGAAACGAGTCGTAGACGGATTGTTGAGGTCAAGTCCGTGAGCTATCTCTGTGTTGACATGAACAAAGACGTCGAAGTTGCAGGCTTGTCAGCTGAAATATGAGCGAGGGCCTATCACGTGGTTGGGGAGACCATATGCCAGTCATCGTAAGCCACGCAATGCGACCACCATTCAGGCTGCTAGGCTGCCACATTCTCGTGGCGGGCACGCTGACGCTAACGACGGGCCAATCATGCAGTCCAGTTGAATGCTGTGTTTTTTTAGTTGCTTTATTGAGCACGGCAAGTGTGAGGAAACCTGCAATGTATTGGGATAGGACAAGACCCTGAAAATGCAGCGCATCGGAATACCTCTAGTCTGTATGGGGCTTGGTAATAAAGAAGGCGGGCAGGAAGGCCAGCTAACCAACGAGAAGGTGCTGGCGTGCACAAGATGTCGTAAGCTCCATGCTACAGTAATGACGAAAGGATTGCCGCGCAACTGAATGGAGGAGACCGGCGGAGTTGAACGGTTCAAGTGGAAGTTGATGGAATAGTGGTCTAAGTTTCGACAAGACGAGACACTCCCGAGGACCCAGCTTAAGTACCCGAAAACCGATAACAACCTGGGTTGGGCACGAGCATCGAGCGGGTGTTCCTTCCGTCGCATGTCGTATAGCCAAGGCTCACCACTGCACTTTCCCTTGGGGTGACTAGTGTTCGGGGTGGCAAGCCGCTGCCCTTCCCAGAGGGTGCAAGGCTGGGTCCTGGGTTGTGGCCCGTGTAGAGCTGGATTCAGGTGATGAAAGGCTGGATTCCTAGTCGTCGGTTGGCTTGTTCTCAGTTTATCTATCGTAGATGTTTTAGAAGATAAACCTAGGGAACTACGGGTACTAGCTAATGTAGATGTCTCTATGGTATCCGATAAAACATTAAGACAGCGAACAGTCCCATTTTGAACGGGTATGGTTTTCATCGCGTCACCAGTTGTAACCTCAGCTATATGACAGTTTTCAATAGATGCGCCACATTGCCTAACTTAGGTTAGTTTATGTTAAAAGGATCGAAGACTTGAGAGAAATACCAAAAGACAAGCGCATCGCCACTTGGAAGAGTTGGTACAATGAATTCAAATACTGATAGTTGCGGGCAATTGGGATATTCGAAAGGGATTACGTATTCGACGTCGGCAGCAATGATAGTAGCTTCGTATAGCGACTTTGCATTTCCGCTTTCAAAAGTTAGTTAAGTACTTTACTAAGAGCTTTGTGTTGAATTTACAAAGCACGAATAGAAAATCCAGAGGTTAATTGTAATGGAGGTTCTATAATACAAAGGCTATTCATAGAAGCGCCAACAGCGACGTAAAAGAAGAGAAGTTGCCACAGCATATTGATTGGATAGAACATAGTAGCGGTAATGAGAGGAGTTGAAGAAGAAACCAAGTATACAGCATAAATCAAAAGATAAAAGGGGTATATATAAGTCGTCTTTGACGATGGAAGCTGGTTTTTAGATTTAAACTTTATGTTTTACTCATTGTATTAGCCCATTATATCTTCTCTCTATACGAACACTAGCACCATGGATAACCCTGTAGATCTACAAATGTTCGAGGATTTAAATCCTGAAGCTTTCTTACTTCCTCCACCACCACAATCAACGCGGTTGCCAACACTGTTCGATCCAATTGATTCGGCGTGTCCACATTGCAAAAGGTATTTCTTCCTACTATATTACATTACCTTTACTCAACTAACAAACATAGACATTTTGACAACACCGTTGTCAAACCTGAGACTTTAATATTAGAATTAATCAGAAGCGCAAGAATCGAACGTCGTCTGGAAAAAATGGATAGGGCTCAGGAAAGAGATAAACGGTTGGAGGTTCTTAAAAACAACATCATGAGGATCTCTAAGATATCCGAAACGGCATTGGAATCTATAAATACCGTAGCTTCTAGTTTGGAGAGCGTTTCTGTCAACGTTATAGAGCTTTTAAAAACTACAGCGTAAATTAATAGACGATGAGTCTAAGTAAACGCCTCCTATCACTACCAAAGACAAACATAAATTGTAATAAAAAGATGAAATAACTTATACACATTTATTAGAACAAGAAAATCAACAACTTAAACCTCAAAATCAAAGGTTATTACACCAGCTGAATCAGTTAGATTCGTCTTATTTACTACCACGCCGGAATCTTATACGGGAATTAAAACAACATGACGAAATGGTTACCAATATCGCAACGACAATTATTAGCGCATTCCGACAATATCAAACTATAGTAACCACGAATCCACCGTTGGGTCGTATTTCTGCCGACGATTCAGAAGAGATAAAAATCGGACTACAACAAGAAGACGCTGGAAATTCTTAGCGCGGTAACGAAAGGATCGAATGATGGTTATGGCAGAATTGGATTGCAAATCTCGAATGTAGCGAAAAGGAACCTAGACCTTAAAAGGTGATATACCTCGTAGGTGGCGAGAATAGGGGATAGCCAACTGATAATTTAAGAATGGAATACCACCTCCTACCAACAACCATACACGTATATATACCCGTAATCATCCTCTATTATCCACCTTTAACTACTCAAGCTATCCGGTCTTTTTATTCCTTCTACGACCAGTTCTTTATTCTTCAACATGTCTATCTGTTGGTGGGTCCCGGGCAGGCATCTGGGCACACTGCATGAGTCACATGCTCTGTGCCGTGCCCACTCTGTGCCTTGCCCAGACCACACCGTTTCTAGCCTTCCAGCCTCGCCAGTCTCTCCTCCTCTCCATAGCACACACACTCAATAAACCTCATACAATCGCTTGATTTCGTCGTTCGTGATCTCACACTATCACTTGCTAAGTCCGAGACTCTACCAACAGACCACTAAAGGGAGGTTATGCTACTCTTACACTCGTCGAACCGCTACATCCAACCGACATATATTTCGGCCAGACCGATGATAATGGTGATATCCGAGATTGGCGTCTAATGAAAGACGAAGACGACGAAAACAAACAAGGAACCCCCATCTGGGGTGTGCCAGGGAGCACTTGGCACATTGTTGTCTGTGTAGAATCCAATAAATTGCCTGGCAACACTTATCCCATCAACAAACCCCACCCGAACTTCTCGGTCACGGCTTCAGCATATCACAACGTTAACCTCCGCGTATCTAGCGTGGCATACAAAATACGCCACGGACACGGGATTGTGGAGAGGCGATCCCCTACACCTTATCCTACTCTGGAATATCCTCAACCACGCCGCATATACCCTACGGCCATGGTGGATTTGCCAGAAGCGCTCCCGGATTTGGACGACACAGTTAGTTCGATGATGACTCTAGATTCTGATGGAGCCAGCTCGGATTCCTTCACGCCCAACTTCTCCACGCCCAACTTTTTGGGACCCGACTTTTCGGCTCCGGTTAATCCCATGCTACCTTTGATCCGGTCCCCGTCCCCTACTTCCCCTACCAGTTCATCTAAACCCCCGCCTAAGCCGGTACTTACGCCTATCTGCCTTACCTCTCCAGACTTTATTTCTCTTCTTGAAGAGAGTCTGAATGATGGTGAAGGGCTGAAGAGTCCTGAAGTCCCAAACAGGGTCTCTCGCAAACGGAAGAGGGATACCCTCGAGAAGGATACCCTCGATGAAGCAGTAGTGGTACCTCAGAGGTCTGAAAGGTTGATAAAGAAGGCTCGGAAATAGTAGGAGAAAGAAGGTGTAGAATACTAGTTTGGAAAATCGTTTCTCTATTTTTGTAGTAAACTATACTTAGCTTGGCGAAAGGTTAATGATAAAAACTACTAGAAAACTCATATTATACTAATATAGTCGAATTTCTTACTTATATACAAGCAAACTTATAACTTATTTATTAATATAAAATATACTTAAAGCTTTATATATTCTTGTAGTTCTATAATAAAATATTTTCGGTTTATTTTATACTTTTACTTTGTAATACGAAAAAAACTTACATAGTATATATTATTATTGGTCTTATACACGTTAACTATTTACATAGTCTACCCAGTGGGTATGCGGTGCTGCTTCCGTTCTTAGTCGGTGGGAAAAACCGTACCGTAGCCGGCTGAAAACCCTCCGCCTCTCTGTCGCGACGACGCCGTGTCGGCGCCGTGCCTTCGGTGTTTATCTTCCTCTCGGTATGACCTCACCGTCATTCCCGAGGCCCGATCTTTGATTCCGTTGCGCGGTCCCTCCGGCCTCATCTTGGAGTGTTCTAAGCGCACTCCCGCCCACCAGAATCAAAGATCAATCTGAGCTCCCCAGTAGCTCTTCTGCTTCCCTCGCTTGTTCTATCTTCACCGCCAGCTTGTACTCCTGCAGTCGTCCCAGTCGCAAGGCCCAGCGGAGGATTCGTTCCGCCCCCGCCACGGTCTCGAGTTCGTCGTGGAGTTGTTCAATGTTTGTCGGCCACGTTGGGTCTCCCCATAACCATGTGTCTTCCGTTTCCCTACATTCTAAAACAATGTGTTCGAACGTCTCCTTAGCTAACCCGCACCGGCAGTACGGCGTTGTTACCTCCGGCACTCTCCTCTCGAAGAGGAACGCCCGTAAGCCTATTTTGCCCGTCCTGATTTGCACCAGGAGTGAGCTCATAGCCTTCGAGAGGTAGTGCGGGGATGACTTCTCATCCGTGCTGGGCCATGTGTGGTACTGCAGCGTGGTTCCATCGAACCGCGCACGTGCCTCTGCGGCACTCAGCTTCTTCCTTTTCCTCATCGCCTCGGCCACCTTAACGTACCACCTCGCTATCCACTCCCTCCGAGTCGCCTCCTCCAACCACCGCTCCTTTTCGCCCGGCGTGGGCTCTCTCGCTTCCCCCTGCGGTATTGGGATATCTTCTTTCGGGGCCCATCGCTCAGCCCACTCCGCCTTCGCCCGGCCGCTGACCGGGGACGGCTGTAGTTGTCTACCTCCCCTTCTACCCCGTAACTCTACCGCCACCCAGGCTGGCGTCCCTCTAACGAAGGCCGCCGCCGGTGAGCGGGCGAGTCGCTCCTCGAACGCTCTAACCCTCTTGTTGAGGTAGAGGTCGAGGGGTGGGCAGAAGGTCTCCGTCTCCACACTAAACGTAGACGCGGCCTTGTAAGCGCCAGAGACTACCTTCAAGCAGTTAGTCTGGGTCGTTGCAAGAGCCTTCGCGAGTCCGCGTGGTTTCCCAAGCGGCTCCGTTGGTGTGTGGTACGCTGACGCTCCGTAGGCTACCACCGCACGAATTGCCTTTGTATACACTTCCCTTGCTCGGACGAGGCTACAACCCCACTACATAGTATATAAATATTTACTTTAATACTAGAAATTAATTGCAATTAAATTAAACTGCTTTGGGGCATTGCCTACCACCCCTACCGAATTCAGCGGACATTAGTGTCACGTGTCACAGTGATGGCAGACTACCCATATCAACCAGGCGGTTGAGGAACCCTAACGCTAGTTCCGGCTCGCTGGAACTAGGGTTAGGGTTCTGATCGCTATATATAGAAACATAGCTCCCCACAATTACTATCGGCTACATTTCCGCACCTCTCTCGAAGGATTGATTGATTAAAGAGATGCGAGAAAAGAACGAGCAAACGCTATTTCTCAGCCCGGAATGGGGAACCTGTCCCAACTTTTCTCTTGTGCCTACGTATGCATAACTTTTCCCAGTAGCACCGCTCTCCCAAGTTAGGCCCGGCCGCTGATGGAAGCCATCACCAATGGCCTCCTTGACCGATAAGACATATTCTCTGCGTTGAAGGAGTGTTTGACCAGCAAGAACATAATACTGTCATGGAAACTCGTTGCTTAAGCCCTTGCCGACACTCATGGTGATCGCATCACCAGCAATACCGTGTTTGTTGTCTAGAAATTAGGCTAGATTATTGCGCCATACAGCCAGCTGCCTAGTCCAAGGCCTGATAATAACTAATGATCGGTACCAAAAGAGCAAGGATACTTGGCTTTAGTTCGGCGGAAAGAATGGAAGGGTGAAAGATTGATAGTTATAATATAGGATTATGCGATATCATTCAAACAGTTTGTTCCTGATCTTTGTTCGCAGTGCTAATAGATCTGGGATCCGGCGTTGGGGAGCTACCTCCAGACCCTAGAAGGCTATAGGGACCGTGTTACCTCAGTGGCATTCTAGCCTGATGGCCAGCGGCTTGCGTCCGGTTCGTCGGACCAAACGATCAAGATCTGGGATCCGGCGTCGGGGAACTGCCTCCAAATGATTAATACTAGTATTACGATAACCCGTATATCATTTGACGATACTAATCGCTACCTACGTACCAACGTTGGACGTATTAATATAGTTACAGAAACTACCCAAAGCTAAGTTGTACCAAATAATCCAGAGAGCCATAGCTATGGCTTGGAACAGGATAGGTCTTGGATTACTTGCAACAGCCAGAACGTACTCTGGCTGCCACCGAATTACCGACCGTTCTATTCTAACTTCCAGGAACGGATGATATTCATCAGCAGCGTATCGGGACTGGTTTGGTTTATTAGCTTCTCGCAAGACATCTAATGTATTCCATGTCTTTCTCAATTCCTTTCCCTTTGTTTCATTTTTCTAGCGTGCTACTAGAAGGGTGTGGGAGGATAGGCAAATTTATAGGAATTTTGTAAATTCTAGTAACTTCTATTAATTTCAAGATGACGTATTCCATTACGAAGAAGTAAGACTATTCCATCCCTTGACTCTCCTTTTGCAGGTGCCTGTGCGGTCCAGATGCCACGGGATTAACTCGTGACTGCCCAGTCATGGCCAAGGTTGGCACAATGGTAGAAGTCTCGATCTCTTCGATCGGATAAGTGGTCTCTTCCTTGGTGGTGCTTGGGTGAGCCAACACACTTGCAGTAGCTTCGTCACAGCTACATGGTCTTGGTTTAGATGCAGGGAATCGTGGCTTAACCTGTGGCTTTATACCACTGACTAGGTGTTGAAGGTACTCAAGACTTTCCTTCACACTAGTCATTTCGCTTGTATGAGCGATGAAATGATACTCCTCTTTCTGGATCAACCATGCTGGCTGATGAGAAGAAGCTCACAGTTTTGTGAACGGTTATCACTCCATTGCGGCATTTCCAACTCAGAATTCCACCTGCGGCTTTGAACTTGGTTGTGATAACCCGGAATGAGGCTAGCCATTGGAATCGTCGTTGTTGCACTACTCACTCTGCTCAGCAACTCTTCTACATCAATGCGTTCCATGTCGTTACCGGTGCTGGTTCCACTCCCCACATGATGTTCAATATTTATACCTGCCGCTCAAGTAAGTTATAAGACAAAGATATTCAACTTCCTCGGCAACCATTTATGTTAGAGAAGCTCACATATAACAATAATAACAGGCGAACCCTATCTTCTTCCAATTCTTTGCTGTCAAAAACTGCGGGAATCGGAGTTTGACTTGCTTTCATCCCATTCGTACAAGATAGCAAGCAACGATGCCTTGGTAAGTGCCAGCCTTGAACACCCGTCAACCTCAGCACTACCACTGACGAAAGGAAGGCAACAGCTAAATCCGCTTACACGCGGAGTTAGATAGTTGCCTTGGCCATCATATCGTCGAGTTTTATGCCCCGAGAGAGACTTGGACTCTGCTTCTAGACTTTCAATGGCCTCGCTCGTCGAGATATCGCCTATTGCTGAGGTGAGATGTAACTCGGGTCGATGGAGCTGGTGATGGCTGATGAATAAGGTAACCGAGCTCCTTGAGTCCCTTGGAACATTCTTCTTTGGGAAGTCCACGATGGCTTCGGCTGGCTATTGTCCTCAACATCAGCCAGACCACATAGAGGCAACGGAGAGCCTCGAATGGCCTCAGTCCATCTACAAAGAACCCGAATCCCATCTCGAACTCAACCATCTCTTCCCTCCTCACCATCAACCAGCACCTCAAACCTCCACCACTTCTCTACCCACTACCTCACTCAACAATTATCCAAGTTCCAGTCGGATACCCATCTACACCCATCACCATGTAGTTCACCTCCGTCCTCGCCACCCTCCCTTCTGCTTCCTCCGAAGTCACACAGGTCGTCACCGGCGTCCGCGTCTCTACGAACGAGATTCTTGACGCGATCAAGAACAACCCCGTCAACGGCACCGCGACTGTGGCTTCACGCGGTCTTGACAAGCGTGCTTCGCTTGGTGTTTACCTCTGCAGGGACGCGCCGTTTGTGGACGGTACTTGCGAGCACATCTTTGGCAACCCTGGTGACTTTAGTATGTGGTAACCTCGCTAGTACCTCTCCCTCTATCTCTGGAAGTCCCGGGCTGACAATCCCCTGACGATAGTGACTCCACCTGCCCTTCAAACAATAACGAAAACGGCTGCCGCCAGTTGGACTCCTCCTACCCCAGCCGCTCCAACCTGAACACTGCCGCCAACAATGTTTGTGGCGTCAACTCGAATGATAAGATTAGGAGTTATAGGTGCCGGAATGCTTAGATTGCCTGACTCTCGAGGGTGTTGAGGTTTACTGAAGCACTGAGGAGGGATGTACTGGTAGCTGATTGGGGGGTGTGAAAGGGAAGGAGCAACTTTAAGGATGAAAGATGGCAAGAACGATGCGATGCGTTAGGGCACGAAACCTATCCAATGGACGAAAACCGCAGAATTATCTTCTCCATTTGCTGTGACTGGGTGATGGAAAAGGGTTATCTTTCTTTCTCCCCTCTGCCCGAGACTTGCTGTGAGCATCACGCTTCCAAACCCCTCCCAAACCCCTCCCAAACCTCCCTTTTCTTCTCCCCGCGGGTAATTGGAGCTTCAACATGAACTCTTCGCCGTCGCTACTCCGTCGGACCATATACAAACATCTTCTTCCTCGAATTCCACATTGGGAGTTCGTCTGCTCAATAGAGGACTGTTGCGGCTAATCCGTTCCCACCAGTGCGCATCAATACACGCTTGTCGGGAAGCAAACACCGCCGGACGCGCTCTGGCAACCACCAAGTCCTCGTACCTGTCAATGGCATTCCGCAACTCCGCAGTCGTGTCTTCTAGGTGCGGAAGTACCTGTTGAGCAAATTCCAGGACGTCGAAGATGGCGTGGTTCGCCCCCTCACCACGGTCTAGACACAGATATTAGATTGTCCCCTTCCACTTCTGACGATGGACGGCAAACTTACACATGGCCATAGGATGCAAGGCATCTCCCACAAGCGTCACTCGGCCTGTACTTCGCAGACCCTTTGGCGGTGCCCAGTCCGACAGGTCAAGTCGCTTTACTTCGGTGTCTCCAGGAGCATTACAGACGAGTGATTTGAAGGGCTCGCTCCATGATTCAGCAAACGTCTTGAGAAGCCCGAGTTTCTCATCATTGGTATCAGGAACCGGGACGGGTGACGATTGCCCAAGCACGCCGCTGCGGATGGGCCACGAGACGACAACCTGGACAGTATACTTATCCGTCCGCTTATCGGGGTTGTTCCCGGGCGCATCGAGGACTAGAGGTATTTTCATGTCAACACCTCACCCGATACATCTCACTGGCGGAATCTGGAATGCTTTCTTACCGCTGATGTAAACATACAGCCTCGTCGCAGGACAACTCCCTTGCAAGAAAAACGGATCAAGCGTCCTTACCGGCTCGATATCTTCCTTTGAGCAGTCGAGTCTGACACCCATCACTCTCACTGGAATTCGGTACCTCGGATACTGCTCCTCCGGGAACAAAGCACGGCGAATCACTGAGTTGGCACCATCGCAAGCCACGAGAAGACTCCCTGAGGTTGATGTCCCATCGTCAAATGTCACGGTGACAGAGTCCTCTCGGTTATCGACTTGGGTGACGCTCTTATCCCACTACAACCCCATTCAATTCCGGTTAGCATCATTCCACACCACTGACAATTTTCCCATCTGCCCAGCAACGTAGCTCAAAAAGCACCAACCTTCACCTCGACACCCACTCCGAGCAACTCCCTCAATCTTCTCCTCTCAACCCTCACCCTGCTGTTCTCTCCCACCTCTGGCACAGAAGCCTTCAATTCCCCTGTGCTCAAATCATGAAAGGGGAAAGTTCCCGTTCGGCCATCTTCAACGGCTTTTCTATCGACGTACGTCTCCGGCAGTCGCCGCACCAGTTCCTCAGGCAGGAGAGAGCGGAGAGCAGACAGGGACCAGTGAATGGTCAAGCCCCAACCCAGATTTTCCTTTTTGTCTCGAGCCGTTGGACTTGGCTCGCGGTCGAAGATGGTGAAGGGGATCGAATGGAGCTGGAGAGATTGAGCGAGGAGAAGACCAGAAATGCCGGCGCCAATGATCAAAACGTGTGGTTTTGGCTTCTGATTGCTGTCGGAGGCGTTCGATCCTTCGACGGGGGCGTTGCTTGGCATTTTGGTTGGGGTTCACAAGTCGTGATACACTGGCAACTTGCAGACGCGGAGACGGAAGGCCCATTCCAGATTTCATGTGAGAGGTCGTACCAAGTTATATCTACCGTTCGGCTTGGGAACATACACATATTTTCCCGAGAAAGCGGATGCACGGCGGATGTAAGTTGTCAGTAGTCAAGTCTTGGGCCGTTTTCCGGGTAGTGAGAACCATGCATGTGAGCTGATATTGGTCGTCAGTTTAAGCTCGCTTGTTTGAGTTTTACGGTACAGCAAACCAGATGGGCGCCGTTGCATGAACATGGTGGAACGTGGGTTGCAATTGGGACGTGGAGGGTACTACCTCAGTCTGACATGCCGCCACAGGGTCTGGATCGGATCCCGCCTTTGACCACTCAGGAGCGTGTACCCTGTCAGCTGTGGATAGGCGGATGAGGGGGATAAGAAAATGATCAAGGTAAGCAAGGGGATAAGAAAATGATCGAGGTAAGCTGTCCCGTGTTTTCTCAAGGCACGATATCCGGAGATGAGGATATATATCACCTGCATAGCCCTCTACGACCGTTAACTCCGTCGTCAGGTTGCTTTCACTTGTGTCACCAAGTGATGAACCTTTCTTTCAATCCGCGGATGGACACAATACCACACAAAATGGTAGCCATGGGCCCAGGCAGTGACAAAGAAGCCGTGACGAACGTCAAAGAAGCGCCAGTCAGTCCCAGCGAGAGCCTGGAACTGGACGCAGCATGGACCTACCTCAACGAGCATCGAAATACCAGCGCCGCTGCCGATCTGGAAACCGTTGACCTCTCCTCACTTCGGAGGAAAATCGACTGGCACATTGTCCCTCTTATGTTCCTCTGCTACACCTTGCAGTTTCTCGACAAGGTCATCCTCAACGTGAGCCCCCTTCTCCCATCACATTGCCCAAGTCTGTCACCCGCTAATTTCGGAACTTCCAGTACGCCGCAGTAATGGGTCTCCCTGCCGACCTACACCTCAAAGGCAACCAATTCTCCAACATAGCCACCTTCCTCTTCGTCGGCCTGTTGTGTTTCGAGGTCCCCAACGTCTACCTCCTCCAACGTCTGCCCTCCGCCAAATGGCTCGGCGCCAACGTCACCCTCTGGGGCATCGCCACCGCCTGCGGCGCCGCTGCGCACTCCTACCACACCATTTTGGTGTCTCGCGTGTTCTTGGGCATCTTCGAAGCTACCATCGGTCCTTCCCTCATGCTCATTAGCAGCCAGTGGTACACCAAATCGGAAGCTGCTCCTCGCTTCTCATTTTGGTATTTGGGCTTAGGCGTAGGGCAGATTGTCGGCGGATTGGTGTCATTTGGGTTCCAGCATATTGTGCCCAGCGAGGGGAGACTGGCGGGGTGGAGGATCATGTTCGTTGTGTTGGGGGTGATCACGGTTGTGGTTGGGTTGGCGGTAATTCTGGTGTTGCCAGATACCCCAATGAAGGCGAAGTGGTTGAGCGAGAGGGAGAAGGTGGCGCTTTTGAGGCATGTCAGTGTTAACCAGACGGGGATCGAGAATACGAAGAGGGGGTTTAGATTGAAGGAAGTGGTGGAGGCGGTGATGGATATGCAGGTTTGGTTATTGTTGCTTTCGGTTGTGTTGGTGAGTTTTGTCTGCCTTGGTCTTCGTGGTGTGTGATGGCGAGATACTGACATGTTTTAGCTTTCGGTGTCGAGCGGTGTGGTGACGACATACTCGGCCACTCTTATTCGTAATCTCGGGTATGCTCCGAAGAAGGCTGCGCTGATGAATACGCCCTCGGGAGCTGTCAGCATCTTTTTTACGCTGTTCGTCGGCTATGGCATCCGCAAGCAGTCGCATCGTTGGGCGTGGATCATTGCCTGCATCATTCCTGCGTATGCCTCCTGTTCCTCTCTCCTTCCTCCCCTTTCCCATTTTCCCTTTTACACCACAGACTGTCACTAACACTCACACCCCCACAGCATCCTAGGCGGCGCGCTAATGTCCTTCCTCCCCACCACCAACCGCTCCGGCATTCTCGCAGGCATCTACCTCGTCAACGCTGTCGTTGCTCCCCTCCCCATCTTCTACAACTGGACCGTATCCAATATTGCCGGAACCACCAAGCGTGCTTTTGCCGCCGCCATCATCAGCGGGTCATTTTCCTTGGGAAACATTATCGGTCCCCAGACTTTCAGAGCAAAGGATGCGCCTGAGTATAGACCTGCCAAGATTGCAGTTATGGCGACCCAGGCTGGGTGTGCGGTGACTACTTTTGGGCTGTTTTTGTGGTATGTTTGGAGGAATAAGACGAGGGATGGGCAGAAAGAGGTGGAGAGTGGGGAAGTGGGTGAGTTTGGGGAGAAGGAGGCTTGGAGTGGGTTGACGGATTGGGAGAATAAGACGTTTCGGTCTGTGTACTGATTTGGAACAGGGTGGGAGTGGAAGAATGATGCGGTGGTGCATTTGACCATCTGCTATCAGTGTGTACACAATCTGGGTTTCAATATTAGCCTGCTCGGCCGATTCTGTAGAAGGCTGCCCAGGACTAGACCATATCAGTCAGTCCGTCGGCCGCTGGATCAATCCTCCTCTTCTACTTCTGTCCCTCTCAACATCGGCGCCCCTTCCTCTTCTTCACCGCTCTCACTCCTTTGATACCTCATCCCGCCCTCCGTCCTCTCCAAATCCACATTTTCCTGCCCACCCCTTATCCATTCCTTCTTTACATCCGTCTCCTCCCCCAAAACAGCCCACAACGCACTCCCAACAATTAGCCCACACCCAACCACACTCCACCCACTCATCGTCCGTCCAAATACCCATTTATCAAACCCCGCCGCGAACAACATCTGCGTATAAATCATCGCCGTCGCCCGATTTGATTTTGTTGCTCCCTTCGTCATCGTCACCCGTCTTTCCCTTCTTTCACCCTCACCCTCACCCTCACCACCTCCCCTCCCCTTCCCATCCCCATCCCCGTCCTTGCCAGGCCCAGCACCCAACCCACTAGTCAGAAGAAACTGCATCACAAACCCAGCAACCCCTAATCCAACCAACAACCCCCATTGATACAAACCCCTTGGCAGTCCCCATCGAATAGCGGGTACCAAGTCCGTAGCTTCCTGTCCGATGTCCAAAAGGGGGCAGAGAAGGAGAGCAGCAAGGGAGACGAGGGTGCACGAGAGACCGAAATAGTTGACGGATATCAAGGGGTGCGTGGAAGGGCCGAGGACGCTGAGGAGGGCTGAGGCTATGCCTAGGAGGCGGAGGGAGGGGGATACGTCGAGGATACCGGTGGAATCAGGGATGCTGGTAGTTGCAATGGTGGTTGCGACCGAGGGAGGTGCGGAAACAGTGGCAGATGGTGTGTGTGTGAGGTTGGTTAATGTGAGAAACGCGGAGGTAATGTTGTTTGGATTGGAGCCAAAGGAGGGCGAGACGGTTGCTGGTGGGTGTAGAGGAGAAGAACGAAACAGGGCGAGCGATTAGAACGACGCCAGCCAAAGCTACAAAGCTAGCTATCTGCTCTTTCTTCGTAAAAGGGTCTTTGAGGAGGAGGTGGGAGAGGTAGCCTGAGAGGGAAGGGGCGAGAAAGGTGATGACTGTTGCTTCGGCGATAGGGAGGTAGAGCATGGAGTACCAGAGGGGGAAGATGCCGAACTGTATCATCTCAGGTCAGCTTCAGTTCCAATATCATAGTTCACAACTTTCCCAATTCTCCCTTTCACTTTCACGCTTCCTCTTTGTTCATTCATCCCTTCACCCCATAGATCCCCGCCACGCAACCCCACCCACGAACCATGCAGCCATCGAAGAAAGAAAAAGAAGTAGAAATACTCACAAACCCAGTAACACCCCTCAAAACCAACAACCACCGCACCTCCCTCCTCCCCCACGGCGCAGATTCGATTTTCTTCCAGTGCATGTAGAGAAGCGAGAGAAGGGAGGTGAGGAACATTCGGGCGAAGAGGATTTGGAAGGGGTGCATTCCTCCTTCTTTTTCGCCTTCTCCAGATAGTTCGAGAAGCCGAGCAGAGAGGTTCATCAATGCACCGAACAATTGTGCTATGGCTACTTGAAAGAGGGGGCGGTTGCGGTGGAGGAAGTTCCTTGCTCGGAATCTGAGGGACGAGGTGTTCGACAATGGGCCAGGGTCATGGCGGAAGGACCTTGAGGGTGACGGGGAGCGGGAGAGGGTCCGACGGATGTGCTGAAATGAGGGAGAGAGGAGTTCGTGCTCAGAGAAGGGGGAGGTGGTTAGGGAGCGGAGGGCGGAGGCCGTGAAGAGGTCGGGGACGGGGATGTGGAGGCTGGTTTTATTGGATTTGGTGGTGGTTTGGTTGGTGACAGTTGGGTCGGGTGAGGCGGAGGAGGATGAGGATGATGAAGAGGAGGGGATGTTGATCATCGTGTTGGAGTCTTCGCCATTGTCGGGGTTAAAGTCCTCTTGGAGTCGGGGAGTTTATCGTAGCGGGACATGTTGACTTCCAGACCATGGGTGGTATGCTTGGTGCTTGATGCTGGCTGTACTTTCGCTGATGGAGTCCGGGAGGGGTGAACTGAGCAATAAGCAAGGCAAACTTTGATGACAAACGGATCGCTGGAAAGATAAACAGTGATGAATACGTCTAGAGTGCTGCGATGAACGAAGATGGTGATCTGCTCTAACCCATCAACAATATACAAGAACAAAAAAGAGCACTCAATCGAAAAGGTGATGTAAGGTTGAAGGATGAAATGAAGATTCTGCAGTTAGGTAGCCAAGACGAAAAGATCGAGTCACCTGCGAATATGACAACTGCCCTGGGTCCATCACAATCCTGTGAATGGTGTAGGTATGCAAGGTATGGAGGTTGCGTAACGGACTTGTAAAAACCCCACTTTTCACCTCTTTTCAAGTGACAAAGTTCAGAGGTCGACTTTGAAACTTCAAACCCTCGCATTCCACCATCCGCAACCCGATATGAAGCAAAACAGAGCAAAAAAGCTCCCTTTTGGGCCAGCTGAGTTGCGTGGATGCGTTACTTTTTTTTTTGCAGCGTGGATATTGCTCGAGATAGACTTGGACTGTTGAAATTGGAGGGAGGTACTTGGTCTGGCGGATCTTGGTGAGAAATGCGGGCCAATGGTAAGAGGGGATGTGAGAGTTTTACAAGTCCGTTACGCGACAGCCAGGTATGCCATCACTGACGTTAACACACATAATTCACATGAGGGGAAGGACGTTAAACCCGGTCGTCAGATGTGATATGATAGGGCTGTTGGATGTCGGCATCATCTTTCCCGAATTCACGATGGATGTCGCGTGTTCAAGTGGTGGTTGGTTGGCCGGCTGGTCACTATCCGACGACCAACGTGGTTGCAGAACCAAAATGGGGGTCGTAGACATAACTTAAAATTGTCTAGATTTCATTCGATTTGGACAGTATTGAGGGCACTCAGACATCTCGATAATTAGAAAGCGATATCGGAAAAAGAATGAGAAACGGGAGGAGAGCTGAGGAGGGGAAATGGACCCCGAAGAAAGTAAACCAAGGTCATGGCGAGCTGAGCTTGGGATGGGCCACGGATAAGACTCGTTAACGATTTCGTTCCTCATTAGGCTGCAGCACGGTTAGTGACTGTTAGTGCAAGCTGCTGCCCCCCCCCCCCCCCCCCCCCCCCCTTCTCCACGTTTCGAGCTTGAGCTACGCCCGCCAAGCTTCACGCAATCCGTCAAAATTCTCCTCTTCTCTTTCAAGACTTCTCAAAACCTCAACTCATCGCAGCAAGCAACGTCGACAAGTTCTACGACCAGCGACAGCGCGGATTCGAAACCGGAAATTCCCGATCTGGCAGGAAATTTGGCGACTTTCCGCAGCCGTCTTACGTGAGAAAGGCCGGGATGGCGACCACCTAAAAGGTCGATGCGACGTCATTACGGCACCCATGACTCCTTCATCCACATCACCACGGCAGCGGTGCAAGTCGTCAGCACTGACTATGCCCACCCAGCAACGATGAGAAGTGAGAACTTTGTTTTCATCGCATGTTGTCCTCAATTCAGCAAGACAGCCAGCTTCGACGGACCTCCATCGCTGTCTTCCATCGGATGCACTTTCGCTTTAACACGGCGGTCACGACGAACTGTACCAGGAGCATATTGTTGACCATGGGCACCAACCACGCAGTGGAGCAAAATCATTATCTATTACAAGTTACAGTTCTTAAACATCATCAGCTGACCACCTCACCCGCCAACCTACCCGGGGTCGACATCATCCACCTTAACGGCCCGCCGCAAAGTTCTTATCCAACTGCTCCTGGAACTTGATCCACTGGCCCTTGAGCTTGCACGCCGCGGTCCAGTAGTTCCCCTTGGGGTCCTTGCCTAGGATGAAGAAGCCATCACAAGGCTTGGCCGGTCCGTGGTTCTCCTGCACATACGAAGGCCGGCACTGCGCATCCTTCGCCTCCCTGCGAGCTGGAGAAAAGTCGACCTCGAACAGGTTCGCCTTGGACCAGTTGGAGAAGCCGATCTGGTACATGCCACCGTCGCCAAAGATGATGATGGGCAGACCTGTATTGGATGTCCGCACCATGTTGTAGTACGCCATGTGCTGCTGCCGAGTGCCCTGCTCGTTGATCGCCCGGCGGACCTGGCGTGCTACCCAGCTCAACGGCTTAGTCGACACATCCCCGGCAGTGACCAGCACGTTACCCCAGCCGAAAGCGTTGCCGACATAAGGGGCCTCGGAAGCATATGGGATTAGGTCGCCTTCAAACGCCTTACGGAGGGACATGGCAATCGATCCGGCAACCTACAAAAGTCAGCATCCACTCTGGTCCACGGCATCGGGAAACTTACGGTGCGGTTGGGGTCCATTCCCATGGACTCAACGACGCATCTCATGATCCACGCCGTGATGACGTCGTTCTCGGTCAGGAACACCTTGCCTGGGTCTTCACCCTTCTCGATCGCCTCGGCCCGCAAATCATCGAGTGCCTTCTCATATTGTGGCCTCCAGTAGCTCTCCGGGATGCACACCATGCCGTTATCCTTTGCTCGCAGGACCATGTCAACACCATATCCGAGACCCCATTTGAGGATACCGCCCATCCCGACACGTCGGTCGTTGAGGACATGCTCCTCGGTAGCCACAGCCGAGCCCGTGGCAAGGGGGTCAAACGGGTCCCCATCGATGCCACACGGCGTGAGGACTTCGTTCTCCCTTCCGTGGAGGATCAACTGCCACGCATCCACCACATATTGTAGGCCGAGCGCATCGAAGGTGACGTGTTGCCATTGGAGGACAACTACGGTTTTGTCGGTGAAGGAGTTGACGCGCAGGCCGAGGACGGGCTTATCTTCGGTGAGGTAGTCGGTGATACCGTTGGGCGTGTAGCCGGCTTCCCAGGCGAGGTCTGCCAGCAGGTCAGGGTCGCCGACAACACAGGGACGGTCGCTTGGGACGGGGATCTTGGAGGCGGCTGGGTGAGCCGAGGCAGGCATGCCGTGGTCGACGTGAACATAGTTGATTGCCGGACGCTCGGCCGTGAACTTCTGGGGAATGTGCCATTCGGTTTTGCCTGCAGCCTGTGTGTAACACTGTTGTCAGCAAAGATCATCGGGGGGAGGGTGCCATTGCCACGTGTGGTGGTTCCTACGTTCTTCCTCAACCGACCTCCCAGCCTCTGCCACCCATCTCGCTTCACCAGGCTCTCAAGGGGTATCTTCAGCTTCTCCGGATCCAACACCTCGTCAAACACTATGGACACAGCCATGTTGCTGTTCTGCACCAGCACGCTGCTCTCAAAGAAGTGAAGCGGCAGCACCCGATCGGTCGGGTCCAGCGGCGCCACAGCCGCCTTACGTCCAAAGAACATGGCCATATCTACCGAAATTCAACGATTGACTGATGCAAGGAATGTGTGTGAGATGTCGAGTTCTCGTTTGTCACTCCTTTCCTTTTTTTTCCTGCTTCGAATAAAGAGAACAAGAGGCCCGGGAAAATGTTGGTCATCGAGTCAATGTATTACCATCTCTCGAGGGCCCTGGACCTTCTTGTCTCACGAGCCCGAATGGGGACGGACTCCCAGTGAACTCCGAGTTGCCATCGAGCCAATGCATCGATCCCAATGCACTCTCCGAGGCATAAGGACATTACCGTCTCATCTTCTTCTTCTTCCCCCGCCCCCGGTTCGTCCTCCGGTCCGGGGGTGCCGTATAAGGACCCGGCTGACGGAAGGCTTCCCATTGGCGAACATGGGGGTTGGATGTCACTCTACAAACCCATATCCATTGCAACACAGTGTAAGTCATTTCCTTTTATAAAAACCAACAGACTCAACTACGGTAACTCAGCCCGACGGAATGGAAAGGGGTGGTTGCACGGTCGCACGGTCGTTTCGCACGTGGAAGAACCGTTGAACCGGCAAATAACTGAATTGCCGAAATGTTTGTTGGTTCTGTTAACGGTTGGGAATGGAATCCTTTCGACGGAACGTCGTCCAACATGAAAGTCGACGATATCGTCAGGCAGGCCGACTATAAGAGGGCCTATCTGGCCCTGTCAATGCAACTCTGCATACCTACCTATGCGGAGCGCTAGGAACAACCGACAATCACCCCACGGGGTCAGCAAGCTTGACAGGCCTAGTTATTGCAAGGTGAGATCGTGCCTGGCGACTTCCTTGCCTCGCTTGCAAGAGAAATGCCAATACGCCTCCAAACCCCGGAAAGAAACGATGGCGTGGAACATGCAGAACTTTACCATATCTAGTTGGTGTCCACTCTCCGCGGCCGCCCGCAAGCCTCGATTCTTCTTCATGCCGTGACGATCAAATGATAGGTATTGTTTTCTGGTTCTCGGTCTTGGGCTGGTCTTGGGATGTGGGCGGAGGTTGGTTAGATGAAGCCGAAGCACGTCGGAACCATTGCCAATGGCACGTTCCCCCTGATGATCGTTGCTCACAACGGCGTCAATGTCAGCTTTATTCGTCTCTGGTGTCGATGAGACGAGAGCAGGGAAATGTCAGAAGTTCATGTACGCCGTCAGGGGAAACCTGGGGTTGTGTCAAAGCTGAACGGAGAAAATCCTTTTGTGTTTCTTCGATTCTCGCCCCCCAAAGAAAGGATTCCCTTCCCTTCGGTTCCCCGGTTTTGATTTTCACTTATCTGTAGTCATTCGTTTGTATATCCACAGGTTCGGTCTCCAACTCACTCCACTCCTTTAAACCATCCACACTGCACTAGGCCGTCGGTCGGTGTCTATCAAGCGGATACTCCCTACACCCCACTTGCATACCCAGCAGAGGTTCGCAAGGTCGAGGATTGTTGTTTTGTTGTCGTCGTTGTTCTTGTTACAAGCCCGTGCGAACCACAGAGTCTCACAGCCCAGACCGCCGTCCATCATGGAGTTCACTCCCGAGATGCTGGCGATGCCATCGCAGCTTCCGGGAAAGCCCTACAACGACTTGCAGATCGGAACGTTCATCGGTTTTGGCGTCACATACTTTGTCGCTACCCTGTTCTTGGGTTTTCGATACCTGCAGGCCGCGAAGATCACGAAAAATATTGAGTTGGATCTAGGTAAGTGGTCACTCACGATGGTTCATTGAGATAGGAAGAGTGAGTACTAACCTTTGTCAACAGTTGTCCTCACGATATCATGGGTCTTGGCACTGGTATACTTTATCACCATGTACCAATGTGAGTCGCCGTCATCCATCCCAACTTCATTCATGAATGAACCATTTCTAACCATGATGACCATCATCAGTAATGGCATTCGGCTGGGCCCGCCACACCTCCGAGCTAATGCCCATCGACTTCGTCAACTTCAACAAAGGCCTGCTTCCCAACACCCTGACCTACCTGATCACTCCCGCCGTCACCAAAATGGCCATGTGCGCCGTCCTCTACCGCATCTCCCCCTCGCGCGCCTACCGCATCATCGTCATCGGCATCGCCCTCGCCATCTTCGCCTACACCCTCACTCTCACCTCCATCACCGGCGGGCCCTGCAACCCTCTCAAGACGGGCACGACCAAATGCCTCGAAAACGTCGCCCTCTCCCAAGCCGTCCTCAACATCGCCTCCGACCTCGCCGTCATCACCGTTCCCATCCCCACCATCCACAAGATCCAGACCTCGCTCAAGCAAAAGTGCTTCGTCGGCGCCCTGCTCTGTTTGGGATCAGGAGTCGTAGTCTGCTCCATCGTCCGCCTCCCACAAGTCCTCGCCCTCGACACCTCTGACCCCACAGTCGACATCACCTATCAAGAAGGCGTGTTGGGGGTATGGTCGATTATCGAAGTCAACCTGGGTATCGTGTGCGGATGCGGCATGCGTCTGAAGCAGCTCATTCAAAGGTATTGGCCTAGATTGGGCATGGGCAGCTGGGGAAGCTCGGCGAAGAGGAGTCAGGGTGGTACGCATGGGACGAGCGGGATGAGGACGGGCGAGTTTGGTAATGGGAGTCGTACGGCGGGTGGTCATGTGCATGGGACGAAGCAGGATGGGAAGTATCAGTTGCATTCGATCCAGAAGGGGAATAAGGATGAGACGTTTGTGAATGTGGAGGGTGGGGATGAGGGGAGTACGGATAGCATTTTGAGGTGAGGGGTGAACGCTGATGAAGGGTTGATGATTTGATTGTTTTGAAGATTGAAGGACTTGAGGATTTGAATGGGAAGGGATTGAAAGGATTGATAGCATGAAGGATATGGTTTTTCTTCTTTTTTTTCTTTGGAATACGGCGCGCATGACTGACTGGTATCATGCCACTTGGAAAGGTTGAAGAGCAGAAGGGGAAACAGCACCTCACCTCGCCTTCCCTCATTAACACACAAAACACCAAATCCAAACGCCCACCATCACCAATCCCAAGGTAAAAAGGGTACATATTAGGGATCGGATTTTCTCTTCTTATTTTCTTTTCGTACACTCATTCCATGTAACATTATAGACCATAGTCATGCACACACAGCACAAAAGCAGAGCGTTGTCCTTCTTTTCCTTATTGCCTTTTCCTCAATTCATTTTCTTCACGACATTCACTCATTGCTTTTCCCCGTCACCGTTGTCTTTTCCTGATTGCATTTCCCCATCCCCTTCAACCCCAGACCCCAGCTGCCCCCATTCATCCACCACAGTCGGGTGGTTCGGGAACTGACAGGGGGGGTGGTTTCTTGTGGGTTGGCACTGTACCAAACGCAGCCAAGCGCTGCACCCCATGAATCCGTTCCCCACATCGCGGCGGGAAGTGGAAGTGGAAGCCTGGACTTGGTGGGCTGGAGTGGAGCACACCGCCTTCATGTGCAGCCCGCGAAAAGGCGCGTCAGAAACTCATCGAGGACACTCGTGAGAATAACGACCTTCTACCACTTTGCTTCCCAAGCACTCAAGGCCTTTCTTGTTAAATCTGACTGAACTACTTACTCAAGGAGTTTTAAGCTGATTTGCCCTACTTCATTGGTCCGACTATTCGACGCTCGGTAAAATCTAATGCCCGCCAATGAACGTTCTAGCCCAAACGCTAAACCCCGCCAGTAAACGCCTGCAGCTTTGTAAACAGGTCAACCCGAATCCTCATTGCGAGGTAGATTCCCCTGTGATTTGCAGGTTCCACTCGGATTTGCAGCTTTACCCACGCCCCGCCCCCATAAGTGGTGCAAGCTACCAGGCCGCTGCTGGTACACTATTGCCAACCCTGTAGACGCCCTGAAGCCTCCGGGTCCATGAATGCCCGGCCTCTAAAAAGAAACGTCCTTTGGGTGATTGGCGTGTAGTTGGGAGGGAGCCGCCAGCCATCTCGCGCCTTGACAAGGTGACAACACAGAAAGCCCCATGGTCCATCACACCCTCGAGAAAACATAGGGCTCTAGTTTCTTTTCCTTTTTTTGTCCCAGATGGCAGGAGAATAATTCCCGGCACTTCCATAAACTCGATCCATTGATCATCAAACATAGCATCCGCTACCTTCGAGACAAAACGCTGAGACAAAACGATCATCCTCGAGTGCCTCACTATGTCACCTCAGTCAAGACGTTCCTTCCTCAAAGCTACGATACGCTCGTGGTTCCAGACGCGTTCCAAGCGACAGGGAAATGCGGAGAATAGGGAAGGTTCTAAGGACCAAGGGCAGTCTTGCCCTACACAGCACATCCCCGTCACTACCTCTACGTCTTCCCTCCCCCTCCCGTCCGCTCTGGCTACTGGTTCTACCGATGTAGAGACGTCCACCTCACGACTCCCAGTCACTCCGGCTACCGGTTCCATCAACATGGAGACGTCCAGTTCACGGCCCCCAGCCGCTCCGGCTACCAATCCCACCAACACAGAGACGTCCGCCAGCGCAGATGACACTACTACCAGCTTACCCGTGCAACTCTGGGACCGTGCCTACAATGAACTCAAAAAAGAAGAGGCCGAATTGGTGGACGCATATGAGAAGATACTGTCCCGACAGCTACAAAGTGGCTCCAACTCAATGGTGTTCGAGTCTCAGCCGAACATCATCGCCCAAAACAACTCGGACAGGCGCTGCCAAATGACTCAGCTTATCAATGCCGGCCTAGCCAAGACTGAGAGAGAGGCCAAAGTGAAAGAGAGCTGTGGCGAAGTCGTGGACGTTGTTCTATCCGCCAAGAACATTATAAGTGCGGCAATCCAGACCGTGCCCCAAGCCGCGCTCGCTTGGACCGGCATTTGTATCGTTTTAGAGGTACGTTTATCTGGAGGATAATATTTCTCATGCTAACTTTTGCAGATGCTTGCCAATCCTGTAAAAGCGACCGAAGCCAACCGCAAAGGGATCGACTACGTTGTTAAGAGAATGGACTGGTATTGGAATTTGTCGACTAGCCTTCTCAGGGATCCCACCAACAACATCAGCGAACTCAATGGAATGAGAGGCGAATTGGAGAACCAAATTGTTGACCTTTACAAAGCGCTCCTCTCTTATCAGATTAAGAGTGTTTGTGCTTATTATCGCAACCGCGGCTTAGTCTTTCTGCGGGATATGATCACGCTTGATGACTGGAAAGCTGATTTGGGGGCTATCCAAGACGCCGAAAACTGCTTCCAAAACGACACCCAAACATACACCAATCAGCAAGTGACGTCTCGTCTCGAGCAGCTCGTTAGCTATGCAATGTCAGAGAAGGACCAGCAATGTCTAAAGCACGTACGCCTTACCGATCCTCGCCACGATAAAACCCGCATCGAACAGACCAAAGGCGGCCTTTTGCAAGACTCGTGTCGTTGGGTCCTCGATAACGCTGACTTTCAGCGATGGCGTGACTACCCGCAGCATCGATTACTATGGATTAAGGGCGACCCCGGCAAAGGGAAGACTATGTTGTTGTGCGGCATTATCAATGAGCTGGATCAAGGCAATACTGCCGACGTGCGCCATTGCAATGTGGCCTACTTCTTCTGCCAGGCTACCGACTCTCGCATCAACAATGCAGCCGCCGTATTGCGCGGCCTGATCTACCTGCTTATCGAGCAGCAGCTATCTGTCCTCTCACACGTGCGGAAGGAGTATGACCGTGCAGGCGAGAATCTCTTCAAAGATGCAAATACGTGGGTCGCCCTATCGAAAATTTTCACCAATATTTTACAAGACTCAAGCCTCCGAACGACCTACCTAATCATTGACGCACTTGATGAGTGTGTTGAAGATCGGTCACAGCTTCTTGACTTAATCGCCCAGCAATCATCTAGATCTTCTCGAGTCAAGTGGATTGTTTCGAGTCGTAATTGGCCGCAAATCAAGGAACAATTGGAGATAGCTACGGCCAACTTGAAGGTCTCCCTGGAGCTAAATGCGGAATCCGTCGCGGCAGCTGTCAATGCATTCATCCTACACAAGGTGAACCAACTAGAAAGGCTGAAGAAGTACAATCTAACTACGAAAAAGGTCGTTCAGGACTATTTGCGCTCCAACGCGCAGGATACGTTTCTCTGGGTGGCGTTAGTCTGCCAAGCGCTTGCAGGTCCGGAGGTTAAGAAATGGAATACCGAAGAGATCCTACGCAAGTTTCCACCCGGACTGGATGCTCTATACGCGCGGATGAAACAGGATATAAGCCTATCCCACCATTCTGATCTCTGCAAGCGCGTGCTTGCCGTTGCCGCCATTGTTTGTCGACCAATTAGCCTTCAAGAACTAACTACTCTCGTCGAGATGCCCAATATCATTTACCATGATCTCGAATCTCTAGAAGAGATTATAAGGCTTTGCGGTTCATTTCTAACGATACGAGAACGAACTATTTATTTTGTCCACCAATCAGCCAAGGAGTTTCTATTGGGCAATGGTTCTGATAAAGCTAGTAACCAAGCTTCTCAGGAGAACTGGATCTTTCCTTCTGGGAAAGAAGATGTGAATTATACCATCTTCTTGGGGTCACTTAAAGCCATGTCTACAGTATTGCGACGCGATATATACGACTTAAGCGCACTGGGATTTCCGAGCGACAAGGCCCAAGTACCGGATCCGGACCCGCTAGCGACGGTGCGGTACTCGTGCGTCTACTGGGTTAATCACTTGTGTGACTCGGTTTCTGGCACGAATACAAAACGGCATGATTGTTTACAGGATAACGGGGTTGTCTATACATTCCTCAAGACGAAGTACCTTTACTGGCTGGAAGCTCTAAGTCTACTCCAAGCTATGCCTGCGGGCGTTGTTGCTATTAGAAAGCTCGAGGGCCTGCTAGTAAGTATAAGTCTAACTCCGCCTTAGGAACTTGGTCTAACTAAAGATATAGGGAGGTAATGATCAGTCGCAGTTATCAAAGCTTGTTTGGGATGCTTACCGGTTTGCTCTGTCTTATAAGTCAATAATAGAGCAAGCTCCACTTCAAGCATATATATCAGCGCTTGTATTTGCTCCACACGGTAGCTTGATAAAGAGGAATTTCAGGGCAGAAGAACCTGAATGGATTCGAACTAAGCCGGCTGTAGAATTGGATTGGAATGCATGCCTCCAGACCCTAGAAGGCCATAGCGGGCCCGTTCGCTCAGTGGCATTTTCGCCTGATGGCCAGCGGCTTGCGTCCGGGTCGTGGGACAAAACGATCAAGATCTGGGATCCGGCGTCGGGGAGCTGCCTCCAGACCCTAGAAGGCCATAGCGACCTCGTTTTCTCAGTGGCATTCTCGCCTGATGGCCAGCGGCTTGCGTCCGGGTCGTCGGACAATACGATCAAGATCTGGGATCCGGCGTCGGGGAGCTGCCTCCAGACCCTAGAAGGCCATAGCAGGGTCGTTGCCTTAGTAGCATTCTCGCCTGATGACCAGCGGCTTGCGTCCGGTTCGTGGGACAAAACGATCAAGATCTGGGATCCGGCGTCGGGGAGTTGCCTCCAGACCCTAGAAGGCCATAGTGACCTCGTTGCCTCAGTAGCATTCTCGCCTGATAGCCAGCAGCTTGCGTCCGGTTCGGCGGACAAAACGATCAAGATCTGGGATCCGGCGTCGGGGAGCTGCCTCCAGACCCTAGAAGGCCATAGTGACCTCGTTGCCTCAGTAGCATTCTCGCCTGATGACCAGCGGCTTGCGTCCGGTTCGTGGGACAAAACGATCAAGATCTGGGATCCGGCGTCGGGGAGCTGCCTCCAGACCCTAGAAGGCCATAGCGACCTCGTTTTCTCAGTGGCATTCTCGCCTGATGGCCAGCGGCTTGCGTCTGGTTCGTGGGACCAAACGATCAAGATCTGGGATCCGGCGTCGGGGAGCTGCCTCCAGACCCTAGGAGGCCATAGCAGGTCCGTTACCTCAGTGGCATTCTCGCCTGATGGCCAGCGGCTTGCGTCCGGGTCGTCGGACAATACGATCAAGATCTGGGATCCGGCGTCGGGGAGCTACCTCCAGACCCTAGAAGGCCATAGCGGGTCCGTTGCCTCAGTAGCATTCTCGCCTGATGGCCAGCGGCTTGCATCCGGTTCGTCGGACCACACGATCAAGATCTGGGATCCGGCGTCGGGGAACTGCC